CAAGCTGATATTACTTGTAGATAAATTCTTTGATTGCTGCAATACGCGGTCATTAAATGAAGGTGTACAGAAACGAAAGCCCTTTTTGAAGCCATATACAAGTGTGGACGATGAACGGTTCAAATTCATGAAAGAGGAATTCCTAAAATATTTGGCTGATTGGAAGGATGTCATAGAAAACCGCAAAGGGAATTTCAAGTCAGCAGACAGAGAAAAGATGTTCCTAACCAAAGCAACCTATGAAGGTTTGCAAACCAAAGCTCATGCGTTGATTGAATGTGTCCAGTATCTGCTCCAAAATGGCTTCAAGTATGTCCTTACGAACAAACTTAGCCAGGATCCCCTTGAAGACCATTTTGGACAACATAGAGGTTTAGGAAGACGGTCTTGCAATCCTACTATCCATGCACTGGGTCATCAGGAGAACAAGTTGAGGGTGCAAAGATCTAATGCCACAAGTATAACCCCTAAAGGAAACACTAAGGGTTCAAAGCGCCCAAAAGAGGGAATAACAATAACTACAAGTCCATTAAAAAGAAGAAAGAAATAAAGTTATTAGGATACAGACACATCACTTAGGTTGCAGAGAGTTACCTTTGTTTGGACCTCTGTTATAGTTTTTGTTCTAAGTTTCTGTAGTTTTTATAATTGATTGAAGATTTTCTCCAAGTATGCCCTTGATTGTTCATAGTTATTTGATGAAGGACACATTAACTTTTGGTTTTAGCCCCATTTATAACTGTGTTGAGAGCATTTTTAAAGATTTTCTTACTGAGAAAAGTTTTAATGAATCAAAAGCATAAATGTTTTATAAAACGTTTTTGGGCAACATGTCAAATTTGAGTTCATCAACAGGGCAATTGGCCATTCTGGATTTTCCAGTACTTTGCCAGCTGAATGCTGAACCCCTTTAGGTCTAGGTTATACATGGGAATAGGCTTAAAGGACATTATTGCCATTGGGCTAGCATATCCAAATGTAGCATTTTAAAGCTTTAACATTTTGCCTATCTTTAATCAAAATTGTCTGTTGTTACTCCATTAAAGAATGAAGTAGTGCACATGCAATCTTAACCTAGAACATGCAGAAAAGACCATGTAACACGCATATATTACAGCATTATTAACAGTGAAAGCAGTGGATATACTATAGACACTATATTTATTTATTTGAGTGAAGTAATCACTTTTTCTGGGCTTAGAATAAATTGGGGATTTTAGTAGAATATGTGTAGCTTATTTCAACTTCTCCCCCTATTTTTCCACTGGAAGGTCCAACAAAAGTAGCTTTTTTAATCAAAAGTGCCCATTTAACTCCACTGCTCTGATTAAAAGTATTGTACCCTTATTAGAACCCTTATTCAGGTGACCTCAAGTTGTTGCGTTGAATTTTGTTGTCCCCTTGCCTCTATTTTGATCATTTTGTTTATTTCAAGCCTGTAAGGAATTTAAGGATTGTTTTTAAATAAAAATTGTTCTATTCTCAGTCATGTTAAAAAATCAGCAAAAATAATTTTTTTAAAATCTTCTGTCATGTGATTGAGAGGAAAACAATTGTTCAGTTAGTTCAATAAGTTCAGTTTAGCACAAATACATCTAATTGTTATCCATTTATAGTCTGGGCCTAGAATGCTAGTTTGGGGATATGGGTGGATATTTGGGTACATCAGTACAACAATACATCATAGGGAACTTGTCCTGAGCTCTATTGAAGCATATTTGTAAGAAAATAAAAAAATTAAACATTAGAACATTTGGGGCAAAGCATGTTTTTTGGCATGAGGCTATGGTTGTGGTTGAGGCTATTTCAGGGTATGCTGGTGAACAGAGAACAAGGAATTTGAAGCAAAAAAGTTACAAATTCTATTTTTGGGAAATGATCTTATCCTGTAAAATAATTCTAAAAAGGATCTTATCATCTCCAAAACAACTTAACAAATTACAACTTTTTGTCCTTTGAAACAGATTTTAACTTTTTTCTCAAAGCCTTTTCTTTTTTCTGTTTCCTTGATGTTGACTTATAGTTCTCAATCAAATGTTTTGCATGGGCATGGGCTCTCAACTTCACATATATTTTGATGCTGTCTTTTAATATGACTTTCTGCATGTTTACAGGTACATTTTTTGAACTGAATATTGATTTTGTTCTTATACTGTAGTTTCCATTTGCTTCCTGACTGAAGAATTGGGATACAATGGCTGCCACATTAATTTTTTTAACACCACCAGAAACGGAATCTTGAAATAACTTTTCTGCTCTGTGAAAAAGGTCAGCAAATGAAGCTTTCGGATAAACAAGCCCTCCACGGTCAAGAGTTTCTATCAGTTTTCCAGTGTAAACTCCAGTAGAGTGACTACTCTTGCAGCAATTTAAAGCTTCAATTCTCTTTTTGAGTGCCAATTCTGCATTTTCATTTATTTGTGGCTTCTGCAAATTGTCATAGGCCTTTTTAATTAACTTGGACAAAACTGCTCCACAGATATATGTGACAGTCTCTTTTTCTTGCTCCTTCAGTCGTGCTTCGGAGGCTACGAAAGAAACTTGAACTGAAGCATTAAAATTATATTTTGACACTTCTTCTTGGCAATATAACAACAGCCAGGAACAAAAGTATTTAGGTACATCGAGACATTCAATCAGCTTGTCAGTAACATTTGCGTTTATCCAAACCTTGCTGAAACGAGTCCACATCATCTCCATTGAAAAAGATTTCATGTCTACGGTCTGTGCAAGGACTTCATCAAGGAAAGATAGTTCTGGTATACTTTCAAAGTTGATTTTTGATAAACGTCCTATCACATTAGCAAACATCTCACACAACATTTCATTTTTCTGCATTACTTCAAGTGCATTCCTGAGCATCACGCGGACATCAACGTGAAATTTTGGCTTACTTGTTTCCCCGATACGCGCATCAGATTCGGTATTGCCCTTCTTCGCTTTTCTCCGCCGTTTTTTGATATCATTTTCCTCAATAAGCAGCTCAATCCTGTCTTCATTGCAAAATGCTATCGTTGTCACCTGTAGATGAAAGCGAATCAAAAATCAGTAATGAGTGAAGGTGTAGGCTTGGGCCTATTTCTAATGATAAGAGATCAAGTGAACGCAAGATTAAAATTCAACAAAATTCAAAAATAAAACAGACCCTTACCTCTGCCGAATCTTCAAGCATTTCTTCGTCTATATCAGGACCAAAATAATCAAATTCCATCTTTTCTACCACAATCAACTGCGACCTTCGCTTTTCTTCCAAAAAATACGCTGAACCGGAAATGAGGATACCCTACAACTTTTTCGATAACACTGTTGTGAAGATGAGAATAATCGCCTTTTGTTCTCAGCTCAGTGTCCTATCCAGTCTCCCTTCCACGATCTTTGATAATATACATTAAGGCAATATAAGAATTGTTTTTTGACAAGATTCTGTGAGTTTTAATTATTTTCAAGCTAAGAACCTGTGTAAATAGCTCAAATTCAAGGAAATTGGATGAAGTCTCTTCTGGGTTAGAGGGTTTTCGTCATAACTCTACCTTTAGAAGATGGAGCAGTGTTTACTTTATAGATGTGGGACGTTTACTGATTACAATTCATGTGGCATTATTTACCCAGAGTCCCACAATTATCGTCACATTATTGGTCACTATAACCTAAATACTAGGGAATAATTTATTTCTATATTTGACAAAGAATAAATAAAAAGGTGGCATTAGATATAGTTGATAATTATTTTGAAATTTCAATCTGTTCTCTTTTTTCTCAATAACTTTTTTCTTGTTAACATAATTATTGCTCTTTTTTATCTAAATAACAACCTGCTCTAAAAGTGTTGATAATTGTCAAACGAAAACTGTCACCCACCACCACACAGCCTCTGACAGCTTGAGTAGTGGTAGAAAGTCTCTGACCAAGACCAGGTTGCTCTGCCTGGCAGGCTGAACCTTTTTAGCAAAAATATAAATATAATAGAAGTTATGACTAAGAACTTATAAAAAGAGATGTTCAATAGTTTCATTCATTCGATTATTAGTTACATCATGCAGTACTGCTTTGAGTGTGTTTTTTCTACTTAGCTTGTTGAAGTCTCAATCACTTAGTCTCTTAAACTATTTTCACAAGCTCTTTGATTAGGTAAAGGAGCGCATTTCCTTTTTTGTTATCAGACAGACAACAACAGATTGAAAAACCTTCGTCAATCTTCAAGTGCCTTATTGATTCAACTGTTTAACTGCATACCTGACAAATGAAGAATGAGGCCTATGTTAAGGTTTCAGCAATTTAATTGTTTACGATAATGTGTTTTTTTCTGCAGATGGTCTTCATGAAAGCCTATTGGCTGATTTGGCGTGCCAGTTGCTTCAAGTTTCCTGCGTGCCAATAAAACTTGACGAAATACTAAGGGTAAAGAGCAATGGTGTACCTTCTTGGTGCGAACAACTCGTCAAGCAGCTGCAGATGACGAACGTTATTCAGGTAAAATACCTTTTTTCTAATTGGTGCTTATCCTATCATTTGGGGAATACTGCTAATTATATAGTATGACAGGTCATAGTTCAAAAATGACGAGATGATGACAAGTGACAACACATGACATGACATGACATGACATGACATGACATGACATGACATGACATGACATGACATGACATGACATGACATGACATGACATGACACGACACGACACGACATTACGTGACAGGCCACAACATAACATAACATAACATGACATGACATGACATAACATGACACGACATGATGTGTGATATTACAAAAAGCAACACAGCAAAACAGAAAGCACATCATATAGCATTTCTTTTGTTTGCTTTCCATTTTTAGACCGGGCCTAGCAGCCTGCTTAGCACAGCGGAGAGTGTAGAAGTAACCCCAGCTGATAAAGAATCTAGTATCAGTATTCCGAGCGTAGGAAGCCAGCCTGTCGAGCTGCCGGTTTCTTCTGCAAGGAGACGCTGGAGTGTGACAAAACACATCGTCACTGCCTTTAAACGACACAGTACTAGCTATTCTACAACGTCAGAGAATCACTCAACGGTGGATCCTGAGTCGAGAAGAAGCTCAGAGCACCTTCCTGGCTCAGAGGTGCGTAGATCCAGTGTGGATTTAGAAAGTGGGTCCGGCGATAAATTTCACCGTCCATTTCAAGAATTTTATCAACGCGGAAGGCGGCTCAGTTTGGAATCAGGAAAAAGCATTCGCTTGCATTTAGAGTTGGATGAGGGTTTATATCCATTAGAAGAAACAAATGACGAAATTGGGGAAGAAGAAACTTGGCCTTCAAAGACTACGAGTCATGCTAGCTGGGGGCAAAAGCGACGAAGTTCTGTTGGTGTACCCATGATATCAAGTGTCTCTTCTAAGCACTCACGTAGCCACGTATACGCAACGCGCGGTGCCATTCCGGACGACTTAGACGAGGTTTGCATCATTGCACCTGGTATGCACATCAGTGACGCCGTAGTGCCTGATTCGGTCAATGATGTTGTCGTCGCGCGGTTAGACCGCATGTCTCCTAATGAGCAGCTAATTTTAAAATGCGCATCGGTGCTAGGAATGAGTTTCACGCGGGAAGTTCTAAATGCGATTGTCCCGCGGAAAATAGCCCCCGTTCTAGACACTACTTTGTATAAATTGAGCAAAGAGAGACTTCTCGAGTGTGGTTCTCTAGCTATAAGCCAATCACAACAGCACAGTCGAAAGGAAAGCAGGTTGAGTCGCACGTCAAGCTATCATCATCATAGGCATGATGTTAAGCCGAAAAGTCAAGTTCTATGCGGCTGTTACGCGGCGGATGGCTATCCCACAATCAATCTATCCCAAACAGTTCGTAAAGCAACTGGCAAAAAGAGGCTTTGTTTATTTTTTCATTTCTGCAACACATTTGAGCGAGAGGCGGCCTACGATTTGTGGTTAGAAGACCAGAGGAAGGCTCTGCATGAAAGAGCTGCGATGTATCTCGAAACACAAGGACATCTCTGCAAACCATGTGGTGGCACATCGTTTGTTCCAGGAATGAAAACTAAGAGCGTCCACCGAAGCAGTATAGCAGTTCGTAACTCAGGTAAATTTTTTACTGTAGCAGCTCTGATGAAGCCCCGTATGCCGGGGCGAAATATTAGCCTTCACTGATTTACGTGTATTTATTTTTGTTTATTCTCGGCGTATTGCGGTGTTTCTTATTTGCTACATTTTTATTGACTTTTCGCCGGAAGAACTCCTTGGAGCCCGTCGAGCAGCCTGCTACAGTGACCTTCTCTTCATTCACACAAGTTTTTTCATGTCTGATTGTGCAAACTCTCCAGCTTTGCGACTTTCTCACTACATCTGCTTTGATTAAGCTGCGACAATGTTTGTGTGTCCCTCGATAAATCTAGCTTTCATTCAGTAAAAAGAATTTTTTGATAGAAATTGGTAATCAAATAACATCAATATTTTACTATATTTATCTGTTTATCTTCTTTATCTCAAAGTTAAAATCTGAATTATAAAAATGGGCGTTTCTAACCAAAAAATAGCTATCTAGATGAGCGACCCTGCTTTTTTATTTTTTTGCTGAATTTTGCTCCTCGTCTAATTGCAGTGGATGTTGCGAATCGTGTTGAAAGAAAACGTGCGCATGCTGCAGCGAAAATGTCAGCTACGAGTCATCAAAAGAACCTGGTATTCGCGAAAGTGCTCACGGGAAATAACAGAGTAAACATGGACAAGGAAGAAGTCCAGGCTGAGACAGGCTATTATTCGAAGCAGAAGCAGGCTGGGACGAGAGGGGAGGGCGTTGGCCGAGCATTGGTTGATATGGCAGGTTCAGTGTCAGTTTATTTTCAATTTTAGATTTATTTATACTGGGTAAAGATTCAATATTATAACACTTGACCCTGTGAAAAATGAAAATAATCGAAACCTATTACAGTATAATCTTAATCTAATCTTATAAGTAATTCCAATCTAACGCAAAATAAAGGAATAAAAAAAAGAAACGCGCCGAGTTGTTGTTTCTAGTGGCCCTCTTAAGTTTTCAGTCTCGATCTGTAACACTTAAAAGATAAATTTATGACAACGTTTGCTTTGCGATAAGCAAAACGATTTTTGTCCATTGGATGTTCTCATTAGTGATATTTGTATTGATGAGAACATATTTTAATAACAATACACCTTTTCACATTACAATACAGGTTTATTTCATTACATAACAATACAGGTTTATTTAGACTAATAGCATTCCACAGACGGAAAATTTTGTTTTTCCTCATCTGTTACAAGTCATGTTTTATCCATATTTGGCAGGGCTATCATTTAGTAGATGCAGATTGGTATAAACGAAATCAATGGTATATAAATTGGCATTTGATCATCATCCGTAAAAAATACATACAGTGGTATTTGTTTATCATAACATCGTTGGTTGTGAATGTCAACATTGCTAAGATCGAACTACTTTTTAACCCCATAGGCCTTATATTTTCTTAAACATAAGAAACTAGTTCACCAGCCCATAATTGTACCATTATTACCAACAGCTATGTCCTGCGTTTGTGACTATAAACACTATTGATTTCATTTCACATGATTGACACTAGCATATTATTTAACATTTGTTGGTCTCTGCAGGTCTGCACTGTAGTATACCAGATTCTGAAAGGACCTTCTTTTCAAATTTGTGAAATTTAATTGATATGCAAATGGAATTTTATTATAATATAGATAACTTAGACAAAATTCACATTTGAAAAATATTTAAATAAGTCGACTTTTAGATTGGTTTTCAAGAAGAATGTAATTTCAATAAACCATTGTTTCTTTGAACTTCGTGAAAAGGTACCTTATTCATTTCCATTCCTTCAATATCCATTTCTAGGTTTGATAACAAAAAGCCTTGTGAATGAGAACAAACCAGCGAATAGTTTCAAATCAGCAGTGCAAAAAGTCTTTGGAAATGGCAACAACAAAGTCGCACCCGACACCGACACGATGACTCGCGCTGTCATAGCAGAGTTTCACAAGTTTACCATGGCATCAGAGAAATCTACAGAACATTTCAGGAAGTCAAGCCAACACGATTTACGAGGCTTTTCTGACCAGGCAAGGTAAGCATAAAAGAGGTTGGCGTTTTTTTGATTGATACTTTTGACGTAGCGTTGTAGTATCAATCAACAACCTACTTTGTATGTTTTAAACTTAATAACTATTATAATTCGCAAATACAATTACATACATCAAGTTTCTTTGTTGTGAATAATGTTCGCAACATCTTTAATGGCAGATATGTCCTAGGATTGTGTAGATTGTGAAAATGGCAAAATATAACTCAATATTCAAATCAGAAATTTTCAGCTGATATTTAGACGTAATAATCGAGATACATGAAATAGTAGAAAGTCAATAGCTGGAACCCAAAAATATTATCACGATATTATCAAGCAGGAGCTTAAAGCAATTTTGACTCTTCCGCAATCAAATTGGAAGAATTAAGGCAGTAAAGAATTAATTTCAAGTTAGAAATGGCCTACTTCCATTCTCTACTAACAACGTAAATAAATCTTGTAATTTTTTGCCAGGTCGTCCAGAGTTGATGTAAGCGAGTGCGAATGCAATAACGTGTTGTCCGTGATATTTCCCCAGTTAGTATTCCATTGGAAAGCCTCTGGAAACAAACTCAAGACTTTCCATTACTTTATTGAGAGTGCGGCAGCGTTCATAGCAATTCATTCGAATATTCAAGCACTATCGTTTCTGAATGATGTGGATAATATCATCCGCGAAGCAGAAACAGAGAGCGATGATGAATCTTTTTTCATCACTGCCGAGGATAAGGCACGTGTAGAATTCTTGCGAGGCCAGGTAATGAAGATTTGTTTTGATAAAGAATTATAGGTCCTCCTTTTGTGCATGTATGTTTTGGAAGAATATATAATGACGTTACAGGTACGATGGCGATTACCCATGTCTGACGGCATCGAGCACTTTTTGGCAGACCTGTAAACTGTAAATTTCATAAGCATTGCGGGGAATGTAGTTCTTAAGTTTGAGGTCATGAAAAATCTATTTTTGGAATTTTTATAATTTTGACCATTTCTAATTCACCATAAGATACTAATTCACCGCATATCTAATTCACTATGAAATACTTATAAACATGCATGATCTGTTAAAATGTTGAAAATCGGGCGAAATAGGGCCAGTGAAAGATTTGAAGTTTGCTAACAGAACACTATTATTATGGCTCTGTTTATAAAGGGGAAAGTTTGACGGGAAAAGTGCCTATATGCTCATGTCGCTACATCTCAGCTGATTCGTAACATACTTTGCATATTTAAGCACGTGTCATAATGCTTTTCAGGTCATATGATCCAAGACAAAATTTGAAATATTGATTTTTGTGACGTCAACTCTATAGCAGATTTGATAAGCTTATAGTTGCTGCTTATAGTTGTTGCCTTCTTTAACCCACCGAAGCGCGTACAGCCCAAAGGCCCTGGGCGAACTGAACAAGATTTCAGGAAAAACTTTTGACAAACTTAGTCTCTATTGTTCATAGACAAAAGGGATTGAGCTTGTTAGTAAACAAACGTTGATTTTCCAGTGCGCCCACACAAATTGCCACTGAACCAAATTCACTAATCCTTCAAAGGTTCCGTCGTCCTACCCCAGAACAGGACGAGCTCTGAAAAACGGAAATGATTAGCTATTAACGCATTTCTCTGGCGCCACACAATACCCAAAGTCAAATCGTGCTATGTTTTAAACCACTTCACATTAACCAAACAGCAAACAACCATTTCACACACGAACTGCGGTGCGCTCGAATTTCCAAAAGAAAATCGGATTATCTTTGTCAAATTTGAAAAAATATTCTCGATTTTCCACTTTGACAAAGATAATGAGTTTTATGTCAGAAATCAGTGCGCCCATGGCCAAGCACTATTGTATAGACTGGGTAAACAGGAATCGACAGACCCTTTCTGATTAGCCAAAAGCTGACTCACATATAGCTTATGTCGTTTAAGTATCTGTCGATTTGTCTTTAAAATCAAATTTTGGCCACTTATCTGATGGCAATCAGACACAACAACCAGTTGATAAAAATTAGACAAAAACAATTTCAATTTTCAAATTTCAATTTTACATTCTCTTTTTAGGCGCTAATGAATTTGAACCGAATCGATGATTCGATCAAGCACTTTGTGCTCTCGCTAAAACACCTAGGCAACTCCCACCCGAATTCAAGGTTTGGCACCTTTGTTAGAACTTTCTCTGCACACATGACCCAAGTTTTGCACCGTAAAATGCCCGATACCTTCAAAGAAAGAAGAGAGTAAGTTGTCATTTCTAGTATGAATTTATCTGAATTTCGTAAGCAAACATTAATTATTTTGTTGCAAGGCTTGGGGATTCTTGATAACGCCAGCCCCCTCCCCTAAATCATCAAAATCAGAGTTTGCAGAGAACATACTTCTTCATTTGGCATGAGCACAGGTTTTTTGGCTACCAAATCATTCTAATTTGATCTAGAATATAAATCAATATTTTCTTATATGTCAATATAATATCTTAGGCAGTTTGGAACATATTTAACTGATTTTTCACGCTTAGGGGTATTTCTAGGGAATACAAGAAAGGCACTCGCAAAAATAGTTCCAAGAAAACAGCTGCAAAAAGTAGAAATCGTCTAATACAAGAATTAGAAAGCGGGTGTAGCTTTCTCAAGCCCCTGTGGTACTAAAGCCATGCCTCTACTTACAACATCAGACAGACAGTATGCATTTTGCATTCATTTGAAGTCTTGAAACCTCTGCTACTGGAAGGGGGGCTATTATAAGGGTCCCAAAGCCACAAAGCCTTGTAAAAATCAGCAAAAAGCCGCTAAGCCGCTATGCATCAGAATTTCGCACATAGAAATAAGGTTGGGGCCGTGAAACCGTAAACCTATAATCGACCCCCTAGAATGCATACGTATTAATTATATTTTGGGGGGCTAGATGGTTCTATTATGAATGCCTGCTGCCCGTTATGTGTTCTGGCGTTTGTCTCGACATCTGCGCCCAAGATTGCCAAATTGCCAAATTCTGAGCTTAATGACAAATTTTTAACTTCCCACAGGGACAAGTCAAGACTCTTGATAGAAGAAGCGCGTTGCCTAACGCATCTTTCCCATGCTTATCACGTGAAACACGATTTCAAGAGGTCCTACATGGTTGCTTTAGAGCAGCTGAATGCGGCGGAAGAAGCAGAAGAAGATTGGATTGAGGTGAATTACTTTTTTTAAATTGAATTGCTTTTGCATTCTATTTCATGTGTCACTTTTTGCCGTGTGTGAAATACTCACGGGCACCTTTCAATAACGGGCACCAAACAAAAACGGGCACCTATTCAAGAAGAATGTCTCCAAGCAACGGGCACATAGCATTGCACTGAAACTCTTTCCTACTGTCACTGCATTGTAAAGCAATCTTCCAGAAAAAGCATACAGTGTGTTTTGTCCAACAGGTGTTTGCAATTCAGAGGTTTCATTGTTGTTTTTATTACAGAATATCAACCTCTTTCCAGTTCCTGATAGATGTGAATTAATTTTAAGGAAAACTATATCATCAGTTAGTTCATGATTTTTGAAAGCGTTTTGTCGTGATGTTACACGTTATTTTTTCTTGTCTCTACAAAATATTCAGAATATTTGCTCCTGCACAGAGGCATTGGAAAGTCGAAGAATATGAAAAATGATGTATCTATGAAATATGTAGATTGAATTCGTTTAACCTAACATCAACAAACCTGAGTTTTCCTCAACATTGACCTACCACCTCCCTCCGTTTCTTTGTTAGGGCTTCCTTAATGGCCCCAGGAACATCTTCTTAACATCAACAATTAGAAAGCTGGTAATAGACTCCGTCGTTCGAGCATCCTCTTTAATAAATGTTCTATTTATCAACAGCTGATGACGGCATATTCAACAATGATCGAATGTTGCCAGTTGACAGGACGAGTGAAGCTTGGATCTAACTATGAGAAAATAGCCCTTGCAAGGTAAGGATGCACTTATTTTTTAAAAGCTTTGATTGGCTTCTTTCATTTAGGTGTCTATTTTTTTCCTGTACTGCTGTGTTGCCTAATGCTACAAGTCGGATCATCAGTTAAACGGGCTTCGTTGTTTCTAAAGTCTGTCTATAGTCTGTGCCCATAATAAAGATCTGTATTACTGCATACATGAAGAATCCGGATAGGTATTATGTTCTGCTGGATGTCATTTTCTTTGGAGAGCGTTCTCTGGCACTAGGCGACCTGTGATTCGTTACTGCAGTCAAAAAACTCCTCGACGTGTATGAACATGAAGTTAATTGTATTATCTGGATGGGATTCTTCAGTTTTGCCTTCTATTCTGTGGCTGTGCATACATGGAATTGCGCCGATATTGAAAGTCGCAAGCGTTGTAAACTTGGACGCTTTTATTATGGCCAGCTGAAATAGCCCTAAATATACTGTATATGACACGTTATATTTCCCTGGTTAAAAGTTTCAATTTTTCATGAATTTTAGTTAATGGCCTTTTCAGGGCCTTGATAAAATTCAGCTCTATTGAGTCATAAAAAATTTGGAACAGAAGGAAGCAACAGAGCTGATAGTGTTGTCAAGCCTGTATATCTGGGGCCTTTGGCCGCCTAATTTTGGAGCGAAGTTCAAATATTTTGAGGTACTCTTGAGATACACTCATTTTTTTTATAAGAAACGAAGGTCAATGTTGAGTACTCCAGTTTCTTAATGTTCTGAAAATGTCAATACTTATTGTTTCTTAAGAGTTTCTTGATTATGATGTCATTAAAGATGTTATGAAGTGTTTATGACCTGTTTTATCACGTCAAGAGGTTCGCTTCCGTTCTGACGCTGTATTTAGATGTGGGAAGTTTATTTTTATCCCTTGTGTCGTAGGTTCTAGGCCAACAGGGCAATAATGTTCTTGGATTTTACAAAATTTCGTTGTTAATTTTTTTGCTTCGAGTACTGAAGTTTCTTAATTTTTTCTGATTGTCCAGTACTCTTTTCTTATAGCCAGTTTCTTATAAGAAATGAGTGCATTGTAGAGGCGTTTTTTTTTCTAATTGGGCCCGTTTTTTGAGTGTGGAGCTTGTTAGAATTTCCACTAGTCTAATCCTTCATTTCAAAAATAATTACATGGAAATCATTAATTTCCATGTAATACCGATATCTAGAAACCAATAACAAACCTCTTTAAAGTATTCATGAACCAAGCTTGTGAATTTTAGAAGCGTAAACCCATAATTTTCGTTAAATTGACCTTTTCAGGATGAAGCCAGAGTTCAGGAACGTTGAAGAGTTAATGGTGGCAGTGCAGCTTCATTCTGTTTTGATGTCCTTCAGGCTTTTTCAAGGGAACCTTTCATCAGCCATCAATGCAGGTTAAAATAATCTTAGTTTTTTACGAGATAAATTTCGATTTTTTGATACATTCATCAAAATTAAATAATAGAACCAATATAGTCTAATTAAGACCCGTCGATTTACCTACCATTTTGCATTCCATTTCTCTGTGGAACAGACTCTATTATCCGAAACGAGACCACCTTTGACAAGAGAAAGCCTTGACGAGGCGGATGAGCCGTTGCTCTTGTATTTCTATCTTGTATTTTAGTACGGTTTCTTGCCACTTTACCCTGGCCAACTGGACTGCTAAGGGGGAGGTCATTCGAAGGGGTTTTAGTTAGATTATTATAGTTTTATTAGCCTATTATTTCATTCTGCCTTTATGCACTTCATCCCTTGGCCCTTTCATTTTTGTGACACTTTTTATCTTACATCTTGAATTTGAAACATTAGAATTCACAGAAAAGCCGTGTATGGAAACTCTGATGACAAGAAGAAAGTATCCCCTTAACAAAAAATATCTTACATAAATGAAATAGAAAAACTGAGACTGGGGGGGGACTCGAACTCATTTTGGTTCCCCAACCTCAGTATGAAATTATTAGTAAATTAACTCAAGACTCCTAAAGTTACCATTTTTTGCTTTGTGCCAAATGCTATGACTCTAACCAAAGACTCCTAAAGTTACAATTTTTTGCTTTGTGCCAAGTGCTATGACTCTAACTAAAGACTCCTAAAGTTACAATTTTTTGCTTTGTGCCAAATGCTATGACTCTAACCAAAGACTCCTAAAGTTACAATTTTTTGCTTTGTGCCAAATGCTATGACTCTAACTAAAGACTCCTAAAGTTACAATTTTTTGCTTTGTGCCAAATGCTATGGCTCCCTTTGTTTCCCGCATGATGAACAAGCAGCGAAAACTTAGTCCAATTCCATATGCAAGGCAAAATAAAAATCTGATCTGATCCTTCTATTTTTACAGGCTACGAGGCTTTGCACGTGTCAAACAATGTGAATGATCTGCGTACAAAGATTGACGTCATTCCGCTGCTCTCGCAATCATTGCTTCTGTTATCAAGGTACGTTTCTTGCACGATTTGTAAGTTAAAAGGAGGTAGCGCAGTCAAAATTTCTTACAATTAAGAAAAAAACTAAACAAAAGATATGCTTTTTTAATTTGTAGTTGTTTAAGTCAGCCAAAGGTATTTTGTCCTGATTTCTTTTAAGGCATATGTTCGACCTGTTGAAATTGCACGTGAGTAAAATGGCGCATAGGCCCGATAAATACTCTGGCTTCTGTATATGCATTGTTTAAAGCATCGGAACGGAAGCGAATCTCTTGACGTGATAAAAAAGGTCATGAACACTTCATAACATCATTCATGACATCATAATTACGAAACTCAGAAGAAACAACGAGTATTGAAATTATTAGAACATTAAGAAACTGGAGTACTCAACATCGACCTTTGTTTCTTATAAAAAAATAATTATATTGCAATTGGTTTTCATTTCAGTCATAGTCAGGTGAAGCAATTACATATGAACAAGGACGTTTTCGCCACAAGCTAACTAAGAGGTCCTCTCCCTCTTGCCTCCACAAAACTTCGACGGTATTCGACAAAAATATTCGTCTTTCTAAGACAAAAGTCTGCCGTGGGCTTTAGGTGTGTCCAAATCGATGCTTGACATGCATTTTTGACAAAAGTATCCCTTTTTTGATAGAAATTGTGTTCAAGGATATTTGAATCTCAAATGTCCACTTTTATGTCAAATCTATACGCGAAAATAGTCCCACTACAACGTGAATTCCGAGATGCAAAAATGGAATGTGACTGCAGAGGAGTAATATAAGTTGTCAAAAGAAAAAATTTTCCTTCTCTCTGCCATATTTCTCCTCTGAAAATGAACCCTTCCTCTTGACAACTCGAGTTATTCTTTGCAGTATTCGAATGCTTTCCTTACGTATTTAACATAAGTTAGACTTACGGAAACTCCAATACTACCTATGACGTACTCTATTAAGAGGAAACTTGAAAATTCTATATCACATTCGCTTGAAGCGTACAGATGGTCTATTATTTGTAAGGATACCTGGGAATAATCTTCTTATCATTTCTATCTAATATCCTGATCTGCATGATAGCTTATCATAGTTTTTATTTCGAAATCACCTTTTCCTATTCAATCAAAATGCTCATAACACCTGATTGTACCCTGCTACAAATCTTAAAAGGCCCACCCACTCTTGTACTTTGGTCAACAGCAAACAAACAAAATTTCAGATAGACGTAGCAAACTAAAAATCAAGAAATTAAGCGATAGGAGAACAGAATTTAAGCGTAAGATAACTTAGAAATAAGGGATAATTTAAAAAAATTCGCTAAAGACAAAATTGAACTAAAACGCAAAAATTTCTGCATGCAAATTCAAATAACAGTTATGCATGGAATTTCGTTAGCACGAAATAAAATTTGTTTTGTTTTGCTTCAAAGTCCATTTTTTCCGTTAATTTTTCATCTGAGGTTTGACGAGTTGTTACGCTGCTCCTATTCTTTGGCAAACCGAGCCTCGGGATTCTAATGAACCGTGTTTTTATAAAAAAAGATTTCAATAGCACAAAACAGAGAATAGCTAACGGTTGCAATTTTGAAGACAGCTGAAAATAATGTTAAATGTCAATTGAACCGCTTCGATGATAACGGAAGTTGAATTCTAGCACCTTTTTCTCTGTGGTATGGTGGGAAGAGCTTATCCAGAGAAAATTTTTATATAAAAATATTAATAAAACTCAAGCGTTGGTGTTTGCAGCTTGAATTCCTTGTTTCATTTTGCAAAGCAACTTGCGGTATAAAGAATTTCAACTTGAGCCCAAGGAATGCTTGAAAATAGAACTTTCGTGGCTCATCTACATTTTAGTTCTACTTTAGTTCTATTCTTTTGAAATATTGTTTATTTGTTTATTTGAATTGTTAAAAAATGTTTATAACTGTATTATAAACATTTCAGGTATTATAATATGCTAAAATTATTGTTACTTAGATTATTCCTTATCAATAAGCCATAATAATCCGAAATTTATAGGTACCCATTATTCTGTATTCTTTAACGAATAAGTATTTAGTTAAAAATAACTTACAAAGGCCACCAAATACTGGTTAGGGGCCGTATTAATGGCTGTTGCACGACCGGCATGCTTGCGATTATAATTAAAAAAACCGGCCTAATATCGTACTGCATGAAAATACAAAACACAGTCAATTTCCGAAGACAACTGCCGCTAAGCATGCCGGTTGCGCCTTTAATGGGTTTCCACTGTATGTTTCCTTCATTACATTTCTAGAGTGCAAGCCTGTCATGAGGTGCTTCACGAATTACGTAGAGCAGCAACAGCAGTTGAAGATCTGCACGGAAAAGCATTGTACTACTGTTCTTGCATGGACTTGCTGCTGGAGCCTGGTAATGAGATCTTCTGAAATTTGTGGTTTTAAGCGATAGTATTTTTATCTTTGACCGCATGAAAGTACGTCAACAAGTATCTCTAAATAGGCAAAGTCGGTGAATTATGTTACAAATTAGTAAGCCTGTGTGTAGGTTCTAGCCTCACGAAGAAGGTTAGCGTCTGCCCGCAGGCTGCCCGCAGGCCACCCGCAGGCTAGTTACAAATTGGCTAACCATTTTAAAACGTGAGGAATTGCTGCTGGTTTGGTTTTGTTAATATGCTTTAGAACCATGACAAAATTGCCGTGATTTGATAGCAAGGAGCCTGTGCGTATTTATCAATTTCTCGGCCAGCAATGATGGATTCTACTATTTTCATGTGTGCGTGGTCTGATCACATGATAGAATTCTAAAAATATGCGTTAATGACGTCATCAGTTAAAATATTTACCACCAGGGCAAGCGCAATGTCTGTTGGTTTTTTGGTTTGTTGGTTGTTTCTACTGCAGATGCTCATTGTCGTTGCACTTCTTCAGGGTTTGAGCAGACAAATGTCACTGAAGCTTACAGCTAAGCTTGGTATAGTTGTTTGGTGTTTAGAAATTTATGTCTTGTATTCACGTTCTTGCTTGGTCGAATATTTGGAATTTTGCTCTTCGGTCTTTTCGGTTTCTCTGCATAACCAAATGTTTGTTTTCTTCTTGGAAAAATAATATTCTCCTGTAGTGCGAAAAGCATGACAGGCCATAGGATGACGTGACGTTTGCTGTAGATATAACGTAATTCAATGCCAAAATGTTAAATCCTGTTATTTTTGTACGAGGAAGGGCAGTGTTAAGTGGTGAATTCATACATGTCACATCATATTCTTCTTTAGTTTATCTTTCTTTAATCTAACCCCCTAGTTTCAATACCTTTTTCAAGTTTTCTTACTCCATTTATGCCCCCAAACATTTATTCCTCCAATGTGCATCATCATACCTTCCAATTTCTTTTGTAAACATTTTTAAAACTAGATCATTAAAAATATGTTTAAATGTACTCCTAACTCATATTCTGAATTAGTAATTTACAATTAATTTCTAAAGCAAAATTGAGCGCCAATAGCTCATGTGATTTTTTAGCCATTCCTTTTTAACAAAACAAGTTTTCTAAAAGATAGGTTTGAATCTTTGTTTGACCGTTGATCTCAAAGTTATTTCAACGAGTTGGGGCACATCCATTTAAGGTTAGCCTATGTTTGCTAACGGAGTTTTGCAAGAAGATTTTGGATTTGAATACTTTGTACTTCCCTGGCCTTGCTGAATAATTTCCTTGGCTTCCATGAGATCGCTTAGGTATCATGTGTCCCTCTACATGAAAAATTAAACATGTCCATTCAAAGGACAAATAAATGTGAGTTTCTGACAAATTTAATAGCAAACACTTATCTCTATTTTCATCTTTATTTTCCTCTTTGCTTTTCATTTGCCTATCGACAAGCCGCTTCGAATTCCCTTGTTTGCAGTAAGGAAATTTTTGTCTTATGAATGATTGCTATTTTGAATCAAATGTGCATCTTCGATACCCTGTGTGCAAAGTCAGTGTTTGATATAAGCGTTACCCAGAGCCCTGTGAACCCAGGGATAAGATATTGTAGACGGCTGCTGTGGCGAAAAATGACTGGATGCGGAGGAGGGGAAGGAAAGAGGCTCTGGACTGTTCTGACAAGATTCCATATCCTCGCTCAAAAGATATTTCTGAGACTATATAATGAAGTCTATGGCATCCAGGGAATACTAACGTCAGCCTGTTTGAAGTACAAGAAATGTTGTGAGAAGCTGGGAACTTCAGAGTTTGTATGCAGCGCGAGTATTCATCCAAGATTATTGTTTAAGTGAGTCAAAATGCGAGAAAAACGTTTAGCAATTTTCTCAAGGCATTTATGGGGACATTTTGGGTGTTTCTCGCACATAGTTTTCATAGTGTGAGCGTTATTCTGGTAAGAGGGTCTTTCAATCGTTGCCAGAGCTAAAACTCTAAAGAAAGTTAGTTCTAGTCGTGCTCAAAACTGTTTCGAGAACCAGCCCTATTCATGGGAGGGGAGAACTCTAGACTTAAATTTTTTTTTCGGATAAGGTAGTCCAAGACACATAAAAAGCAAGCACAATTCTTCACAGGCGGAAATCTATTGTTTAAATAGGGAGCGCAAATTTGTCAGCGAATTCGCCAACAAATGAGAAAATACACTGACAAAGCGCTAAGAATTATGATCAAACTGACAATTTAGCAAAGCATGTCACCCCTGACATCTGTATTCTTCAGATGAGCTACATAAGACAGATGCAGCTTGCTCATAGCACGATGATGTTGTATTATTTCATCCCAATAAATGTTCCCTAACAACAAGTGCTTGAAAGGGCGTGGCTGATAAATTCTGTTAGTTACAAGACCGTTGTTGCAATGAATTTTTTCACATTCTTCCTTTGTAGACAGGGCTACAGCTAGAGGGAAAGGGCTGTGATTCTCTTCAAAAGAACTTCTGCTTAAAAACCCGGGGGTGTTTGCCATCAAAGGGATACAGTTGGCCTATTTTTAAACCTGTAAGCAAATAAAGGATGAATCGCCAACATTTTAAGCAAATGGAACACGAGCACCTCCAATAGCTAGAAATGCCCCTGTCTCGAGAGCCCAAAACATGCATAAGCGTTTTTTGTTTGCTATAGTAGAACTTGGGTGGCAAAATAGGCATTGGAGAGGTGTGCTGTGGTCCCTTATTGCTCTCTTTAGATACATTATCTAATGGACTATTAACAGAATTTTGATCAACACTTCATTCCATTCAACTTACCCTGCACGCTAATCATCATTATATTTGAATCATTTCTATCGTCATTCATAAGAAATTTTTGACCTTTAATTTTTCTTAGGCCGTCCAATTGAGTCATTTGATAAATGTGTGGGATTTTATCAGAAAATCGTCGATGACCCCTCACTTTCTGCAGACGTCATCCCGCGGTTCTACCTGACAGCTTCGATTGCAGTCATGTAAGTGATCTATCGAAATTCTTTAAGTTCGTTGACTTTCTGGTTCTTTCCTGTTCCGAGTTCGTCCATTTTTATATGTACAGTTTTCAAAAGTTGCCATGAGCAACCTCTATAAAAAGAAAAGTTTATTTGAAATACACTCATATTTTTATAAGGAAATGGCTATAAGAAACGAGTACTGGACAGTCAGAAAAAGTTAAGAAACTTCAGTACTCGAAGCAAAAAGTCAAGAAACTATTAAATCGTGATAAAACTGAGAACGACGAAATTTTGTAAAATCCAAGAACATTATTGCCCCGATGGCCTAGAAATTAAGACACAAAGGATAGAAATATACTTCCCACGTCTAAATCCAGCGTCAGAACGGAAGCAAATCTCTTGACGTGAAAAAAGGTCACGAACATTTCATAACATCATTCATGACATCATAATTAAGAAACTTTTAAGAAACAGTGTGTAATGAAATTTCCAGAACATTAAGAAACTGCAGTACTCAACATCGACCTTTGTTTCTTATAAAAAAATGAGTATTCACATCTTTTGTTCTAAAAATAGTTTTTCACGTTTGAGGACTTGATTGTTTGATGATCTAGGCTTTAATTCGCTGGAAATTAATTATCGTGCAACTAGTAGCAAGTATTGCATAGGCCTATAGAATGAAGCTCATGAGTACTGGTGACCAGAATATTTTTTTGTAAGATTTTCACTAAGTTTTGACTTTTTTTAGGACATACTTTCCTACATTCACTTTAGTTTGCTAGACATTGTCTTAGCCCCATTATTTTCCTATCTGAATAAATCAGTTTTTCAAGGAGCTTTTTAGCTGTTCTTTATGTTTTCTATCGAAAAATTTTTGCCTCTTAGGTTGGCGAGGCAAAGAAAATGGCCAATAGCGCATTCATTTTATAACGCTGCTCTTGGTTTGTATCCTTCAGAAGTTATTCTTCATTCTAAATGCTTTTTGCGCGAGAATCTCCGGTGAGATTCAGAACAAAGGACAATTTCTTACTCGACAGTTACCGTTAAAAAGCTTGCTTGTCTAGACGACTTAGCTGATACATTTGACATACGTAACTGGTCTCCAGTTCCTTTACTTTGTGAACTTTCTCTTTAAGACAGTCAATACTACCACAGATCATGTTGCGAGAGAGAATGTTGCATTCTGTGCATGCGTCTCTCCGACGAAAGATGATTTTTTCTGACTCAAGGAAACGTCTTCCAGTATACGGAGCATCATAATGTTTTCAGAGATTCTATTTCGGTTTTTACTTTTTACTGTAAACTTACGTTACATCTATTCAAAATGTGAACACAAAATCAAGTTGATATAGACAGGCACCTTGCCTTCATGAATTCGACGTTCAGCCTGAACACGTCCTAGTCTTCCCAAAACCTGTTTTTTTTTCATTTAAGCCCAGATCGATGATGCTCAGAAACTTCTTTGTTTTTGATTGCTTTTTAAAAAGTGTCCGGTATGACAACTTTGCAGATCTCTAATCCACGTTGTTTGATTTCCTGATTTTATTGTGTTGCACTGCTGATTTCTAGAAATAGAAGTTATGCTTTACAATTTGAAAAATAATCGTTTTTAATCATTAGGGTAAACAATGTGTTTGAATTAAAGTGGCCAAAAATAACTCTCTCCAGCCTACAGGCTCTTATTAAAGTAGAATATGCACTTGATACCAAATAATATCAAAGCATCATAATATCACAAATATCACAATAAAATTATTTTCCCAGTGTAATTATTATCTTCTTAAAAGGCAAAAGTCCATTGCACTAAACGCTAGCGAGATTAATTAAGCCGGGCGTTCATTAAAAGCAAATAAAAGTACCTCACAATGATGTTTATTTTATTCACTTTTATTCATCGCCGACATGTTTACAAAATTTCATTAAGCGTAATTCGAGAAACTGAACGCACCGTTTTAATAAGCAACCGCATTCAAAGAATATTTAAAATGGCTTTTGTAAATTTCAAATTTCACTTCAATGCTACCAGTGATATTTGTATTGTTAAACAATAAAAAATAGGGCATTGAAACGAACTTCACAGTCCGTTATGGCACAAGGCAGTTAATAGTTGCCAGACCTAATTCCTTTCCAGCGTGCTTGGTACAGCCTTTTTAGCTAAAGTCCTAAATTCGGTTCTAAACTTGTTGTTATTTTACATGCTACCCTGCACTAACTTCAACCTTCCCTGAAAGCCTAATTTTTACCATGCACGTCATTTTCTGATGCTTTTAATTTTTCCTAGAAAACTCTATTGAATATGTCGCAAATCTGTTGATTAAATATGTGAATATTATAAAAAGTTACAAATGTTTTTCCTCAGGAAGAGTTCAAAGGCCCTAAAAAAATTATGCCGTCCATGAATGAAGATATGCAGTTTAACATTATCAAAGGATAATACTTAATGAAAACAGCACAGTGGCCTGTTTTGCACCTACCATGCACTCATAATAGCATGTTGTCAACACTTAACGGCAAACTCCTTCATTTTTTTATATCTCTAAAAGTTTTTCTTTCACAGAGCTGGAGCCTGGATACTCAGATCTCTTCCTTTACTGCCGAGCTTATGCCAAAATGACTGAATTCAATCTTTTATCATTTCGAGAAAACATAAATGACCAGAAAGAAAAAAATATCTGCAAAATGGTGAGATTTGCGGTATCTGCTTTTTATGTAACACCGATTTGGTTTGCTGTTTTGTTGGTAGAAAGAACTCTACCAAACTGAATACGAATTTAGCCAGGGAAAGTCAGGAAAAAGGGAATGAGAAAAACTGGAAGCAATGACTCATATCTAGAAATCTGTGTTTTCTCCCTGCCCATTTCTGGACTTCCCTTACCAAAGTATTTATTCAGAAAATACCTTGAAAATGACTAGAAGCAACTCACCGTTTCCAACATTGATTTGGTCTTTCCTTACATTAGCAGGTGCTTAGAAGCCGGAGGGGGCTGCAAGGGCTTTCCCCCCGATAATTCTCAATGGTACTTTTAATCAACCCCATAATTACTTTTACTCTTATCTTCTACAAGGTCCTGCTCTACAACGATTAATGAACGATTTAATTAGCCCGAAGCTTATAGACAAACTGTTTATCCAACAACACATAGACCCAAAATCTACACGTAAGAAAGTGACAGCAAAATTGTTTACAATTTCTTTACATTGCTGCCCACCCCTCTCCCCCTTGTCTTAGAATCGGTTGGCCTAGTACTGTGATAGCGTATTGAAATCGTCCTTGCCCTGAACTGCCCTCACATTTGCTATTATGCTCTGCAGTTTCTGTAACGCAGTCTCAAATTTCATGTCGCTGCAGGTTTTAAAGAAGCTCAAGGTTATTACGCAGAAATATTCGATTCTTCTGCCGAGACTATACCATCTGCGGGCCTACTTTGCATATTTGTGCGGAAAGCCTTCCAAAGCAAAGTTGCTGATAGAAGACTGTCTTGTGGCCAGCCGAAGCATCGAGCCTATGTTCGAGGTTGACTGGGTAATGTCTAGCAAAGCTCATTGGTTTTCCAACGACGTACAATCGAACATAGGAGAAGAATATAATGGAAGATCGAAATTTGTCTTGCCACGAACATAATAACAGAAGAGGCTATGTGTATTGTGATGCAATATTAAGCATGTGGAATGGATTATAGTATAACTTATATAAATTAGTGTTTGAACATAAGTTTTTTAAAAGAAAAATAATTTTACAAAGCAACAGTAAATAATATTTCGTTATTGCCTTTTACGAAACCTAGTCAAATGACAGTCAACGTCTGATGATATGAAATCCATAAGGATAGAAAAGTTCTTCCAAATTATTTGAAGTTGGCCTAAACAGATATCATTTGGAAGGCCAATTTTTTTTGCTCGATTCTGCATTTTGTCTAGAATTTGTTACCTTCGTTATTGATCAATTCTATAAGATAAAAAGCTTCATTTTATAGATAAGTTTTGATTAAAGCACATTAATCTTCAGTTTCATTTCATCCCTGCCTCGTGGGAGGGGACCGTCAGAAGGGGACATGACGGGACAGAAGAGGTCTGGGGACGACGGAAGCAGGCATGAGGGGATATTTTTGTGACCGAACAATAGAAAAATATAGGGACGTACGGAGACAAAGAGGACGAAAGAAATAGGGGGAAAGAAGAGAGGGAAAGAGAAGAGGTCAGATGAAACAATTTGGGACAATGAGAAGGTGGGAGAAGATCGGAGAGAAAGGATATATTCCGTGCTTATCCATATTGCCCGTTTACTATTTAACGTAGAAGTTCTGCTTGTAGACACAATGAAGTCAGTGGTTTTTATTTTACTATAAAAATACGAATCTGTATCCCCTAGGTCCTTTAAGCAGCAGATCTAACTGCTTATCAGATCTTACTGCATTTGCATATCTAGCTGCTTATATTAATCCGCTAAAATCAGTAAGTCTAAAGCAATATTAATTCCCCAAACTTGACAAGAAGATTACTAATAAAGCTTTGTGATGTTAAACACCAAAGTCTAGGACAAACAGTTTCACAAACATCTGCAAACGAAGCAAAATCAACAAAAAATGTTCAAAGCAAAACTCTGCAATTTGCTTTTATGAACATGTGCAGTCAATAACTGACATTTATCATTGAAATTGTTTCAACAAAGCTCAGAACCAGAGCCGCGGAATTATAAGCAAATAGAATCAAAAAAGGCGAAAATTGAAATAAATTGCCCTGTTATGTATTTCTTTGCACCTTTTCTACTAGCCGCGTCGAAGGGAACTGCAATCGTGGCCAAAACTCCTTGACACTGATTTAAAAATTCGGCATGCTATCAATTGTTCCCAAGAAAAATGAGGACATATCAATTTCTCCCCTCCCCCCTATATCAATGTTGGTGTCGTTTTAAAGCTAAATGTTTCAGCATTCGATTTTAGCCCATACAAACACCCCAACATTGATGTAGGGGGTAGGGGATCACGTTGAATAAGAACCCAATTGCATTTGGGAAGCAGTCTCACAAGTTTTGGCCAGGATTGTGGGTCGAGATTTTGGCCTCGTTCAAGAGTTGGCCTCGCTTGCCCGAATCTAATCGAATCACTTGCAGTTTCAGAAGCTGAAATTGTGGTCTGCCTTTTGCTGTCATTTAGCACCGAAATTTACTAAGAAGCTACGGTAAATGGAAACTGTACCGTAGGTAATTGCACCAACAGAAACTACGAATTGAAGAAATGGAGAAAGGAAATCTTTTACAATGCATGTTGAACAACGTCACGCCGATTGCTAGTGCCCACTCCGTTTAACATTACACAGATTCCCAAGTACTCTGTTAAATTCGGACAGACGAGCAGTGTGGATTCGCAAAATAAATTGACAGATAGCTAAGAAAGCTCACTAGACTCCTCGTGAGAGCAACTTACTATGTGACAAGCTGTTCTTTCCTTCCATTTGCTTGTAATAATCGGAGTCGACGAGACTCCTTCAACCCTTCAAGGCCTCAATACCTAACTCTTCTTTTTCCTCAAAGCGATGTCAAAAGTAACAAAGTAGCTTGAAGATAGGCGTAAATTGTAAATTGTGTAAATAGGGGTAATTGTAAATTGTATATTGGAAATTACCATTTCGCCTTTCGTTATAGATATTTGTAATAAAATTAAACTCAAGTTAAAATAGGATTTTTTTTAGATTGTAAATATTAAATTATAATTAGCATAATTTGTTTTTTTAATAATTTCTGTAAGTATTTTAAGTGAAGGCCCCCTCGAAAATTAACATTGCGGAAGGGCTACCCTCCTTAAACATTGAAATGAAATGAAATGAAATGAAATGAAATGAAATGAAATGAAATGAAATGAAATGAAATGAAATGAAATGAAATGAAATGAAATGAAATGAAGACATTCACTACTAGCGCTCTTTACTTCAGTAGCGATTAAAAAATATTCTTTTTCGATGAATGATTTGATTAAATCCAGGCAAACGAAGCAAATTTTGCTTTTTGCAAAACATAAACCCAAGGAATCACAACACACGAAGTCTCGACCCAGTTCCCTTCGATGCGGTTAGTTGAAAAGGTGTAAAAGGTGTATTTCTCCTTTACACTTTTATAGGAAAAGGCCTCCCAAGTCTCTGGGCTCTTTGCGAGATGGTTTCAAAAAGGAGCAGCAAAAGCGGGTAGTCCTAAAAGAGTTGTATGTTGGTTTCTGATGTTGGCTTTCTTGGGGTAACTCTATTTGTCGCACCCAATAAATTTGCTTCTGTAACCTTTTTAACATAGAAATATGTTCGCATTGTATTGTTCCATGTTAATCATCCAAAAAACATTTAATCATGTGAATTTTGCACACAAATTGTATTCATTAGGAGAAGAACTGAATTCTCTTGAATCTTCGTGGTCAAATAATATGGTTTTAGCCTTCTTGGACCGTCCTTTATAACTTTCCAGGTAAATGATCTTTGCTGGATATAAATTATGTGGCTAAGGCTAAAGACTTAAGCCAACCAGTCTTTTAACATTTCACGTAATTGTTGTAAATTCCAATGTTATAATTTTTAGCTAATCGATTAGCTCAATTACGTCAATTTAACAAAATATTCCTCTTTCAGCTTTTACTTTCAGCTAAGTTATGGGAGAGGGCCCCCAAAAACAGAATTCGTCCAGTTTCTTTTAACAATTGACAAGCTGGATTCAAATTTATCTTACTCAGAGCAACAACAAGTTTATTTCATATATAAGGAGCTTCTCCTAGAGAGGGCAAGCCATCCCCTACCCTGGGTACCAGAGCCGCAAAAATTTTGCGGCTCTGGTACCCAGGATAGCCGTCCCCCTGAGCAGGGTTGCCTCAGCAAAACTTTACATCGCGTTATTCTTCCTTTTGACCCTCGCAAAAGATTTTAGACACAACTGCAAATTTGCATGATGTTCTTAACTTTAAACAATGCCGGGATTTTCCAAGCTGTATGAAAGAGAACTACATTATTAAGATATTTTGAGATGTCTCAAAGGATATTATGAGCATCTGGTTTCCTGATTTTTCTGTTACCGCTAATAACAACGAACTAATATTCTCATATCAAAATTCTCAGATTCTAAGACATTTAATTCTCTGTGAAGAGACCTTTGCTGTTGTTAAGTCCAGACTCTGCAATAGACTTAAATTATTGTTTTGCAAATTGAAATCCGCATAAAGAAGTTTGAAATTGTGTCTTATGCGGCACTGATTGGACAACTTTACGGATCTTGTGCTTGCGTTTTTCTGATTGGTCAATTTCGATCCACATCTGGGTATATATTTTTCATACGATCGTATTCTGACGTTTATGCTCTGAGGAGTGTCAGACGATAAAGCTTTTAGCCAATATGTTACAAAATGTTTACTTTTTTCAAAGCCCTTTCCTTTATTGTACATAGAGCTATGATGAATTGAATGGATTCGCTGCCTAAAAGTTGCCTCTGTAATTTTGCCCCACAGATTTTTCCTTACAGTCGAAATTAGCGCCAGACAATACTTACAGTCTCTCATGAACACGCCAGACATTTCAAGGACCACAGATCTTTGATCGAATATGCTCCCAGAGGTTTTTTGCATAAAGAAATATTCAATGGGATATTACGCCATGTGGTTGGAGATTTTTCAAGACTTGATGCTGATTTGAGGAGTGAAAGTATGAGGGCTCGATTTTAGTTCGGGGAACTATAGTTAAAGTTTCATAGGCATGAAGAGTAGTACTAACATAGGGCAATGGTTTGAATAGGAGCTTTGGTAATGTCTCAAGGATTTTCTAAATCGTAATGATAATTTGGTGAAATAGTTATGTTTTATTGGAAGCTGGGAGAAACGATTTTTTTATATCAAACTAACGGTAATAATGCTACATTTGTACTTGAATAAGCATAAAAATGATTTTTATAATACCAGCTATTTGAAGCTAGTTATCCCTAATGTGGGTGGGTTGGATCCAAAAGAAATAATCAACTTTACAACTTCATATGAAATATAATGACTTCCAACACTATTGTTATAAAAATTGTTTTTGAATTTATACCAACTTTTTTACCTTTTTAATGGTTTATTGCTGGAAAAAGATGATCCAGATCCTCGTTCGTCTATAAAACAGCATTTTTCTGAGCCAGTGACCCTTGTTAATCTTTTAAAGGGTTACTGTGGTTTTTTATCTAGAATATGATACCTAAAACCTAACTTGTCGATAAATTAGTTATTTAGAACTCGCTTTGAGTTCACTTACCCAGTATTCTTCTGAAACGATTTCTTCGACCCTTTTAAACCTGATCTGGGCTTTTGTCATAATAGTTTTCGACCTTTATAGTTATAGTGCATGTGAACCTTCTGGCCAGTATTTCATCAAAATTGCAGGTTTCGTATTGCGAGCTATTAACAGGGCAAATAGGCCTTTCTATCAATAAAGTAGCTTTATTTCTGCTTTTTGTCAAAAATTGATCATTTTAGCTGACAAAGAAGAAACCTGTTTATTAAGAAAACGTTGTAAAAGGCTTCCGTTTTACTTTAAACAATGAGTCTGGCGCATCTTAGCTACAGAGTACAAATTAAGCCCCTTACTGTAGCTTGGCGAGACTATCTTATTTTTAAGGATGACTTTTACGTGCATTTGTCGTCTCTCACATACTTCAGGTTTTTCTTTTCTGATCCACGAAATTCATCTTAAATCATTGGATCGGCAATGCTTCCATTCTTTGAAATAAGTTAAACACTGCCTGTTCTACCATATGTTGATATTGTATCACTGAGGTGCAGAAATCATTGAATTTTTGAGAAGCATAGCAGCTGATGGGTCCTTTCCAAACTTATTTTCCAACGCCAACATTCATAACATCTACTAGAGGGTAAAGGCCGTTTTGGCTATGACGCAGATCAATGATATCAATTGTGGTTTAGTGCACAAAAAGAACCATTCAAAGGCTCAAATGCTGTATGTGGCACATTGCTGAATCTGACTCTACTTTCTATATTTATTCTTAAGGGTGGCTAGACCACGCCCCCCCCACTTTATTTTGCAAAACAGTATAGCTTTTTTCAAAATCTTTTGTTATGGATGTTGAATTTTCCCTTGCCCCCTTCCCCCCACTCTCAAACCTATGTCGGAGCCCATGTTTATGAATGTCTTTACTGATGTCCCTTTGTCATTGGTACTGCGCCCTTCTTGATATGGACTCCGATTCAAGTTGGAAAAAATGAAATGACCAACGAAAGAAGCATTACAAACGATTTTGCGAAACACATTTTAATTTTGTGAATGGTTTTAAAAGGGGGAGGGGCATGATAGTGGCACAATTGAGATTACCAAATTTATTGAGCCTCATTCTTATCGAGCCTCGTTCTAAATGAAATCATGCCTTAAGAGCTTGCAGAATTAGGATGACACCTAAAGTTCAATCATTTCAGTTATTTTCTATTTAACCAGAACCTCAAGTTCAAAATGCAGAAATATTTTTATTCGGACGTTCGGGAGACCGGTGCTTACAATGTGCCACTTTTTTCTGTTTATTCAGCTTATGATTCTTTTTATTTGTGACAGAAGACATTTAATAACAACGCAAGTAATGGTAGATAAAAAATAAAATCGCTTGAAACTAATTTCAAGCTGGTAAAGACTTCCTCTTCTTTGCAAGCAAGTAACAAAAAAAATCCATAGAGCCTCCAAATGAAGTTGAGAATCTCCTTCGTAGTACAAACATATAAATACTATCACCAAGCGCATTGGCTTTGCACTAGTACCCTTTGCGTTGTGGATGAAGGAAGGACACTAAGAAAGAAGTGAATGTTTACCAAGGGCAAAAGGCATTTCGTCAGCCCGACCAACTAAATAGCACCTCAATGTCGCTATGCTCAAGTTCATCACACATAAGCTGCGAAATCAGTCCCTAAATGAAGTAAGACCGATAGAGAACCAGGTTTGTTACCCTTTCATTTGGCCTACCTACTCGTTTGTAGATTGAGATGCCGTGCTGTCGATTGAGCCACCAGCAACAAATGTGAACAATTCCTCCATATTTTTCTTTCCTATAAGAACACATGGAAGTATTGTTACATGCATTTATGCTTTTTATAGGGCTCTTGGTTAGCGGAACATCTCGAAGAGTTGGAGAGTATCGGAGGGGACACAGGCAAGGATATACCAACTCCAAATGAAAGGGATAACGGTAAGCCATTGATGTTTCGTTGTCGCTTTGGAAAGCGAATGGGTGTATAAAGGAATGGAATGTATTTGTGTACACAGGATTTTTAGTTGTCCTTTGTTGTTTTGCGAGAGGTAATTGTGCTTTTAGGGCTGTCCGTACATTCATTTATGGTCCAAGAAAGTCCACCTTTGTAGGCACCAAGCCAGGTGCAATTCACGCTGTATCCCAACAAGCATGACCGCAACAGGGGTAAAATCATGGCTCGTGTTTCAGTAAAGATGTAGCTAAAGAAAACAGTTTATAAACAAATATGATAATTTATAAAAATGTTATGATGGTAGTTTTATATTTCTTGGTTTTTTAATTTTTGAATATGTCTCATGAAATCCTTAAACCACATGGTAATTTGCACCATTGGAAAGAAATTTGAAACAATGAATCCACTCCACTCTATAACCGGAGTTCATTTTCTGGTATTACGTGACCTAATCCTTTGCGACCTTGTAGCGGAAATCCTCTTTGCTGCCACAAATAACAGTTTGTGTACTCCGCCTTGAAACCCTACGTGCTGAAAACCATTAAGGAAATCTGTAAAGAGGTTTTCGCATCGATTTCAATAATGAGATAGTAATAGGATGGTTCCAAACTAACACGTTTCCAATAGTATGGCTGTAATTAGATTGTCAAAGTATTCCAAAATGCGATTTTCTTGTACGGGACCAATTTTCAGAGACAATATAGGCTATTTAATAGTAGGGTAAGATATTTAGCCTCATAGGGAAGGAGGGATATTTCTGGATTCGGGTATGGCACATGGTACAGGGTATTTCCCTTTAGTAGTGGGGGAAAAATTATATGCATGGCTTTGCCTTTGTTCTGGAACTGCAATTGGTAAAATGGGATAGGAATGTATATCAAAGAGTTTGCCAGAATAAAGGAAATTTTAATTTCCTATAAATATGTTATGCTCTCCAGAGGTGCTTTTGAAATTTTTTTCAGGAAAATAGAATTGCAGACAGCCTTCAGGGTGGATAGCGTTTATCTCAGAAAAATGGTGTCCCAAATGAACAGTGTCCCTTTTTAAAGACTGCCCCATTGATATATCTTAAGTTTTGTTTAGAATTAGATTTTTTCAAGCGAACTTCACCATGTAGCTTTTAGGGGTATCTGGAAATCAAATTTAATCACTGAAAACATCAGATCAGACATTATTCAACTCACAGGCTGAAAAAAATTTGCATTTCTAGACAAGCAAGAATTTTGTATTATTTTAATAGAAATCTGAATTTGGGTTGCCATGTAAAAATATTCAAATGAAGGGAAAACCAAAAAACAATCACTCCTGTACAGAAGTAGCAAGGATTGCTGCTACTTGTTAAACAAATAAATTAATATTTTGTTAAATCTGTGCAGCCAGATTTTAAGTTTACTCTCATTCTCAGCTTGAACTGGCTTCCATGTTAGGCCATGTGTGCAGCTAAAACAAGTAATAGCTTGCACAAGCAGTTGTAGTTGTCCTAGAAAAACTGCATGACCAAGATTTGGGAAGAGAATGGAGAATAACACAATTTTCTATACACCGAAAGGGTACTTTGACAGGTAACAGAATCATCTTGAAAAAAAATCACTGTTTTTTGTTCTTTGACTGGGTGTGGATATTCCTTTTTGAAGCTAAACAAGATTACTGTAATACTGTTTTATCAGCTGGACTATTCTAATGTGCACATGGGTTTTTGTCACATAGAAATAACTTTTCACAAGCCTCAGTCCAACTTAGCTATCCATCCTTGTGAGGTCAATAAATGAGTACCCAGGGTATTTGTACTAGAATATCAATCTGGGACATCAACTTTAGGTCCATATCAGCTACCACAACCCTGACCTGTGTTAACAAATAATCTTGCTTACTTCCTTACTTGCTCAGTTTTCACAAGCCTGTTATTTTTTTCTCAGTAAAGCCGGAAGCAAGCACAAAATGGTCTCAAAAAAGTATTAATGTCAGTTTCCATTGAGAATATTAATATAATGAAAACTCAAAGCTTTTCTCTTTGAAAACAATTACCAACCATAAGAGTGCCATAATTTTACAAGGGTACATAGACCCCAAATAATTAGCTATTTTCAATAACTATCTTTGAAACAGGGAGTGTTGTCTCTTTAATTGGACTAGCTAATTAGCTCCTCTTTAAAATATTCCTCCACTTACAATTCTACCTGCTTCCATAGATTTTCATAACTTAATTTTATATGTATTTCATAGCCCTTTTTGTTGTAAGGTAATCAAGTAGTTTGCTAGTTTCAATTTTGTTTCATTTGTGTAAAGTAGATTTTTTTAGTTTTTTGCATGTTTATTTGTAGGTAGTGGCATTTTATATTATAAAACTGAACTGAACCTTCAAAATCTTTTTTCCCATGAAAAAGAATCTCAAAAAGGGACAGATTCAGTCTATAGAATAACACTCAAAGACTGCAATTACATTAGTACTTGTTTTTTTCTTGTGTCATCTGTATATCAACAAGACTGGAAAATAAATCTAGCTCTGGTCAAAAAGTCTACAAAGAGCATCTGGTTGGAAGATCTAGTCATTGTCTGCTCTTCAAAATAGATCATGTTTTGGAAATAAGCTCCAATCTGTGCTCATTACTTATTTCATCCACGAAACTTGTTTCTATCTCAATTGGTTTTCAAGACATGCTCAGTGTAAGGTATTGCCATTATGTGAACACTCTCTTGATAGCATGTTTACTTGTCAAGTTATTGGCTCTGTCAGTTTTGGCTTTACAGAAAGGAACCTTTTTACTGGTATCTTTTTATGCAACAACAGGTGGATTGACTTGCAGTTCAGTCATATTTTCCCAAGTTGACATTTATGGATTTCTTTTCTCTATTCATTTGGTTTTCCTACCACGTTTTTTATTCTTATTGCAATTCAGTACTACAGTCTAATCCTCTTATAGTCACTCTGCTTTAAGTCACAACCTATTACAGTCACATCATATTTAGACCCAAATATGCAAAACTATTCGATTTAGTATTCATATAGTATTTATTTAATTTGATTTATTTTGGAAAATTTATCTCATAACATTGGATTCCTGTCACTGCTTTGCTTTGTTTCTGAATTTTATCCTCATATTTATATTATACTCATTGCAAGATTCATCCGGTGGACAGCCTATCCTGTGGCTCTTCCTTCTCACACGCTATTCAATTTAGCTCTGCATACAGTCACTCGGTTTGCAGTCACAAATTTTCAAGCAACATTTGGTTGACTATAACCAGAGTCTGCTATACCAATTTGCTGAACGAATACTGCTAGCATCATTTGAATCAAACTTTGATTGAAAAACACAATTTTTTGGAATTATCAATAGTTTGAGTAATCAAAATTTTATTTAAATCAGTTATTTATAAAGATGAACATTTTTGGTGCAAAAATATCAAATTATCATGCTGTCAAATTATCCTACTTTTGCTGTAACTTTCAAGAATCTTGTTTGCTGTTTACTTCCATAAATATATTTATTTGTTAGTTATTACTATCTCAGTTTCTTGTTTCTTTTGGACATGAATTATGATAATGTTGGCATGGACTTTTGACTTTATTTTATGGTGTGAACTGGTTGAATCTTTGATATGACTCATTGTATGAGTGAGCTAGTAAATTAAAAAAATAAATTTTTCATATTTTTTTATAGTGTGAATTTTTGTTATGGAATCAATGCTAGTCCTCTGCAGTATTTCACATCTATGGTTTCAAATGGCTATGATTTTTTATGTCTAGGTGTATTATGTACCACTCCCTACTATGTGCTAGAAACAGTGTTGCTATTTAAAATTCAGTAGTGTACATTAACTTTTCAGTCTGTGAAATGGGGATGAATGGTTGTAGAAAAAATGATCTACATGAGGGAATACCTGATACTAAACATTAAGGGGGTCGTAGTTTTGATCTTGCCCAAACATTATTGCCTCTTTGAAACAGTACTTTCCAAATGGAACCTGAAATACAATAGATTTTGCCCGAGAAGGGGGGGTTGCAGCCTGCCAAGCCCCACTGTCTTTCAGGCCTATGCACATTAATGAACAAGACATTTGTAAAGTCTCCTCTTTGCTATCTACGATCATCATATTGATAAAACCAACTGATAAAAATTCTTGGAAAAGAGTTTCAACATAAATGATTATGCTTGTGTAACAATGCATTAGATCCAGAAAACTTCTTTATCAGATAAATATTTTCAAGGAAACAAAACACAACCTTGTGATTTTGATTGTTTTGTAAATAAGTTTTTCTTTTTGATAAATGTTATTTTCAGTCCTTTGTTGAATATTTAAACCAGTAACATGGGAAAGATAGAATTATTCTGTTTTCGGTACTGTTTTTTTTAATGAAAAGAACCTTGCAATTTTAAGGGGGGAAAGAGGTGGCGCCAGAAATCTTCCAACAGAGGGGTTTGAGCTTCCAACAAGGGGGATAAAATGACTAAAATATGCAATTTTTGTATGTTACTTTGTCAAATTTGCTCTGACAATAACCCAAAATTTCCTCCAATAGGGGGGCTAGATGCTTCCGACAGAGGAGCTGTAGCCCCCTGGCCCTCCCCTGGCCCTCCCCTGGCGCCACTACTCAGGGGGGGCTCAAGCCCCCTTTTAAAAAGCAATGGTGGCTATGGGCCTGTTAATAGTCTGTGATGTAATAATGGTGTAACAATCTGCTATTTCAACCTAAAGCATCAGCTTTCTATTTGTGAACAGCAAAAGTAGTTTACATCAGTACATACTTTAATTACTCATTGAGCATTAGTTTATGTAAGTATTGCACAATGTCAATATGTAGTCAATTATTAAAAATTTTGGTTGAAACACTAGAAAATATTAAAGACGAGAGAGCACAATAGAACAACAGTGACTAAAGTTGATATGCATCATTCTCTTTTGCTCCTTTCGTGTGAATTGTTGTCACGGCTTGCATTATTTTGACATTTGACAGTCATAAATTTTACCTGCTTGCTTTTACATATTAAAGCCAATTTATTTAATATGAGGTAAAATATTCATTTCCATTGCACAAAAACTGTTTTGAAATAGTTAAATGGCTTAAGAACTGACCTTTGGTATTTATTATTTTTTTATGAGTATTTGCAAAACTGTGTATTTTATGCCAAACTAATTGTTTTTAAAATACAGCTTAACATGCAAATAGATTATACTTTCCCGGAAGATTTTATCTATGCTTTCCTGATTTGTGTGGTATGTAGGAAGCAAAGATGTTCTTTGTTGCTTAAAAATCTGAAATGTTATGTTTTGATCTTGGCATATAAACATATTTTAACATATTATTCATTTAAAATTATTCACTCTGCCAGACTTCACAATAGAATCAACTTTTTACAATACAGACATTAGGGTAAATCTACAAAGCAAATATTGAAATCATAGAATTAGTAAAATGTCTTGCAATTTGCTTCCCTGATTATTATGGCTAGAATATATGTACCGGCAATCTTACTGCGAAATTTCTTACGTGTTTATTAAATAAATTTTCTCATTTATTCATTTATTATTTTCAAATGAATTATTGAAATGTTCCGTCTATTAAAGGTTTCTCCTGCAGCTTTAGAAGCTTTTGAATGTTTTGATTTTTCTAACATGCCCTAAAAATTTGTGTCAAATATTTTTATCCATTTGAAAAATTATATAAAACCTACAACCAAACTTCAAAGTTATATTTTAAGAATGTCGTCAACTAGTGCCAAAACCCGAAAAGGCGCAGCAAAATACACTACTGGCTAAAATTAGCAGGCCATCTTGTAGTTCAGAAGATATTTGCTTGTTACCTTACGTTAATCAAAATTTAAACTATTATTTGTAAGTTTCTGAAGTACAGACAGTACATTGGTTGTTACTGAATATATTCAGTGTAACTTTATGGGTATCAACAACAAAAATTATTCACTCAAAATATATTTCGGTAGCTGACAGAGCTTTCTTTTGCTTAAGTAAGTGCCAAAACACGCCTGTTCATGCTATTGAAGTGGTTTGTAATATAGTCCATCGGAATTTTTGTGTACCTGGAAAATGTCATAAGAATCCGTTTATCGACCTATTGTGAATAGAATCTGTCAAAGTAAAAGCACAAATAGTTTTAAGCATTCGTTTCAAAAACCGCAAAACCACAATGATGTCAGGTATGATATTTCGTTGAAAAGTACCTAAATTTCCAGTCAATAAATCTTTAAAAAGTACCGTAGAATGTAACCACGGTGAAATGGAGGAGAGTTGATGGTGTTTTGTAAGCTCTTGAGGCCCAAGATACTAGATTATTTTAATTTTTCGGGGATTATTTGAAATTCTTTTGGCAGTCTTTGCTTTATCTTGCCTCATATTTTTTCATTTAATCTCCTTGGGAAGGAAAGAAATTTATACCTTTAAATCCACCGGTAAAGCTAGGTTTTTTTAAAGTGAATCGTCGAGAATTTCCTCGTTTTTCCTTCTAATCTGGTATTTGCACGAAATTTTCTTCTGTTGATATTTTTGCATTGAGGTTTAAGAAATATATTTAACATGGGCCTTTTTGGATCTTGGTTTATTTGGAAGTGATTGATATTAGCCTTAATTCGCTTTTAACTGTCCTTAGCAAGGCCTTCGCTAGCTATTATGCTCAAATGGGGTTTCAAGATCAAATTTGCCGGCGAAGGGGGTGAGCAATTCTTTATTTGCCGGCATTTTGACATTTTTCAATTTAAGAGAGGTTTTTAAAGAGAGAGATGATTATTGGAGAGGACTGCTTAAAGGATAGGAGAATTTTTTAAGAAGGCGGGATTATTAAAGAGGGGGCTAAATAGAGCTTTTACAATATTTTATGCTTTTAATTCTAAGATTTATGGCCATCTCTTTTCTAGGAAATGGGAATAATAACAATTTTCCAAGTCTCACTGGAGAGCCTCACGTCTTAGAACCGCTGCTGAAAGAACTTCGTCTTGAAAAATACTCTGAAAATGCAGGAATAAATTACTTAACTTCATCAAGGCTAGAAGTCTTCTCAGAGCAAAGCTTAAAAGAGAAAGAACCCGAAAATGACTCTAAAAGAGATGAAACAAAGGAAAATCAACCGTGCTTTTTGCCTGTATTGGAGTTTCCAGCTCGAACTTTTCCAAGCTCGACGGATAAGAGAAAATTGACTGATTTTAAGAGACGCAAGGTAGAGAGTAGCAGTGATAGCTCGTCAAGCGATGATGAATTGAAGGAGCTGTGCTCCTATAGTAGCGCTAAGCTGAGGGCTTGCTCAAGACCCCCGGATAAGATTGCTGCTGTGTCGTCATCTTTTGTTGTTTGCCAGCGACGTAGAAACAGAGGCCCTTCGCCAAGACTTCAGACTATGCCAAGGCCTTCAATTAACTTCGAGAGGATGCAACAGGTAAGATTTCTTTTAAGCATTATTTTCTGTGTTTCTTTTATTTACCTTTGGTCATTAAATTTAAAATTAAAATTGTTGGCCGCTTTATTAACTGTGTATTAATGAATGAGCAAAGATTTCCAGCACCAGTTTAGTTGATTAAAAATGCATTTTCTTTTCCCTGCTTCCCAGCTTCCAAGCTTCTAACAATTTTTATCAACGGTGGTAAATAAGCCAAATGACCCCTTTTGAACTTGCATTTCAAGTCAATTTGGTAAAATACAGAGTGTAGTTTTTGCCAAAATACAGAATGAATGCCCTATCTTTGTGCCCAAATAATTTCACAAATTAGTGAAAGCCTGGTAAGAATTTTCTTTAATTTATTGCAGAGAATTTAAATATGTTTTCTATTTGTTTCTCTACTTTTTCCGTTTTCTTTTCTAAGCAGACCATGGTGTTCAGAAAGCAAAGGAGCAGAGTCGTTAGAGTGAGGGTAAGTCAAGTTGTATTTTGTTGAAGTCAAATTATTATTCATAGTTTCACAAAAAGCAAGAATTAAAAACTGCTTGGTACAGATTTCTGTAACCTTAGTCAAATGAGTCAACAATAAAACATCAACTGGCTTCCAAAAAGATCTCTTGGTACCTTATGAAAATGTAGTTTTCTTTTGAAACGAGGTGATGTATGTTGGGCTGTGTATTTGTTTTGTCAATATACATATAGGTACTATTTAATGGATATTCTTAAAAAGAGGTGCTTCTGCTCCCCTTGTAATTTTATCTGCAAATTTTATGATTCAAAAAAGTTAACATCGCTCATGAACTTTGGACTGTCTCTATATCTGCATTTTCTGTCCCACCCTGAAAGGCTAAACTCCTCTGGAACCTTTAAAAGTATTTGTTATTTTGTCTCTTTGTATTTCTTTACGTCAATCGAAATTCGCAAGAGTATCACATGGTTTTTACTCAGTTTTCAATTGTATTGTACTGTATTGTTTTGTATTGTACTGTATTGTATTGTTTTGTATTGTATTGTATTGTATTGTATTTTATAATGTGTGATAAATGCGTTCAGGAGATGAACAAATCAACACAATGTGCTGAAATACCATAAAGTATTTTCAACCGGTGGGGCAGATCTAAATATTTGGCTGTTTTTTCAAAGCTTATGTAATTCATTCGCTTTTTTGAATATTTGTTCAGGTTAACTGAATCTTTACGAAAAAAAGATTAAGAATTAGAAAGAAATAAAATTGTTAACGATATTTGGTTTTTCTCGCAAGAGGATTTGTAAAGAACCTTTGAAAGTAATACTGCGAGTAATTTGCCGCCTCATAATGCTGGAAATTACTTATTGATTCAAAAATGAATGTAATTTTAGCTTAGAAAGTATTTTAAGAGAAATGTTGTTTTTGAAATCTATGGTAGCAAACAGTTCAAATCATTTATTAAAAATACTAATTCATGGTACTATATGAATATTAATGGTAGGCTATTAAGCGATCAGAGAATATATTTCAAGAAATCGCATACATTACAAGAATAGGATTTATTAAACTGTGGTAATAACATAATATATTTTTACAGGCGAAAATTGTTTTCACATAATAAACTTTTTGGAAACACCTGTCAGGAGAAAGGTGACCTGGAATGAAAGGGAGGATCAATAAGTGAAATTGAAATGTTTTGCGCTCACTTTTCAAATGAAAAATCGATGTTTGTTCGTTATTGTCAAAAGTATTTTATGATTTATTTCTGTGCACTCGAAGGAAAGTATCGTCCTTGTAACATCTGATGTTGCCGTGGGAAGATTTATTTTAGTTGGAACAGGAGAAATAAGATGCTACGACTTTTTATGCGCTTATAAGGGATAGGTTCGAAAAAAAGCTAGGTGAAAATAAACAAGATGAAACATTTGAAGAATGAAGATTTTTAGAGGGAGGGGGGGGGGGGTTGAAAGTTAAAAAAAGATAACTCCAGGACAAGATAGAAAAAGGGATACTTCAAAGTGACGGAACCGAGGAATCATTTACATTCAGGAAATCGGAGATTTATTTATCGTGTTTGAAATACATACTATTCGCTCTTTACTAATTTGCTCTCAAGACCTTCAACTAGGCTAAAATGAAAGCTAATTATTTTGAGAAATTTTCGGCAGTACAAAATCTGAAAGTGTCTTTGAAAAAGCAAGCATTTTACATAGTACTAAAAGCTTTTTCGTCTGACTCTCCTCAGAGTAAGAGTAGAAAACGACAAAATAGGTGTTCCATCTTGTTCTTTTAGACCCCCACTGACGCTTTATACTAAGGAATATCAGATGAAAAGATTTTAGTATGTTGTAAAATTTGTGTTTTTTTGAAGCCATTTTCAAATTTATACCGCAAAAAATGGTCGAAGTGATATTTAGAATTAGCACCAAGTCAAAGCCATTGAAGCTAATGATGTATATGTTTTTGTTGCAGACCCTGCCATCCATGCAAGCAGCCTCGAGGCACTGTGACCCCTCTGTCCTTGGTTTCAAGCCCATCACAAACATCAATCCGTGTATCAATCATTTGGCCCCTGTGGAGGATCCTTTGGCGTTTTAACCTGTAAATATGGAAGTAGGGCAGATACAGTTTTATGACAGTGGTTGTCATTCAACGTGCATCACGTTTCGTAGGGAACCGTTGTTATAAATATCCTATATGTTAGCTCTGTCACTATGGGAACATTTTAGGCGAAATGTTATCCTTTGTTTTAAAAGGCAAGGTTAGTGAGAAGTATTTTCATAACATGTTGTCTGCGAGTTGTAAAATTTCGTCTAGCTATATGTTGAAAAAGTTTAAAATAGCGGAGGGGTAATTTGAGCCCCCTTGCGCCAAACCGGGCCTAGTATTTCTGCAGTCATTCGTGTGTTATCGTAAACTGTTACCGTTAACGTGATACCAGCAAATTCCATGTTTTGCGACTACAACCCGTGGTTTCTACTAGTTTCCTAAAACAATCGAATGACTGGGTTTACAGAAGTGCTTAATGGTTTGCCTAATACCAAATATTTTGGTGGATGTTGACTTTCTGTATAAGACGAGGGCAAGTTGGAGAAAACGTTCCCGGAACCACTTTGCTAATTTGCATATTCAGAATAATTTACTTGAATTCTTTTGGGAAATAGACGCGATAGAATGTTGATTTTTCTCAAGAGAGCTAATTTATTTGTCCATTTTCGGCAGAAAACGTTGATTTCTACTCGTTTTAGTACCTTTGGGAATTAGTTCCTCGCTCTGAAGTAGTACTTTGACAATCAAGAGGCTCTGTTGATTTCAGTTTAACAAATTCCATCGACTTACAGTCCTTCCTCCCAAAATCCTTTGAATCGTCAGCTTTTTGGGATTTGATTCGTGGCAATTAATCAAGAATGTTTTATCAAGCTGAAACCTAAAATCATTATGAACATTCCCCTGTTCAAAATAAGGCATTGAATTTACATTGAATAAGATGGTCGTATTTGGCGGGGATTTCTCTCATCGTATGCGTCAGTTTGCGCAATTTGTGGGATTAAATGCCTCGCAAGTGGAAAACAGTGTTATTAAACTTTGATCATGGCGTCCGCAAAACAGTTTATTTGCTGACCTCGTAACGAGAACACACTTAACCGTTTGGGATTAGGATTTTATGCACCAAAAAACCCGATGTTTGTGCTGTTAACTGTGCATATTTTCTCGCGTTATTGAGTATTTTCTCAACAAAATTTTTAAGGCTTGGTGAATTGTAACAAAAATTCTCACATTGGAAGTGCACAAGGTGCAATGTAGTAGCTAAGGACATTGTAATCTGACGGAATAGGTGTTTCTCTATTCCGTTCGCATCCTTTTCTTTGCCAGCTTAAAATGAAATGTAAATAGTACGGAATATGCGACACAGTAAACCTTCGGAGATGCCCGCGAAATCGCGATAAAATATGCACATGTGTTTTGCTATCTGCATACAAGATGGCTATAGTTTTAGCAACGTGTAAATTTTGTACATACAATGCAATTTCTTTTGCATTTACAGAGTTAGTAAATTTAATACCCGTTCGTGCTGTTTGACCAGTAGACTTTCTTTGAAATTTTTAAGATTCGTACCAGCACCCCCTCCCTGCTCCAACCATGTTGTACATATTTCTGTAAATCGAAAAAAGCTCTGGCTGCCAAAACTCTCGTTGACAAACCAAAATGTTTTCTAAAAATAAGCTACCTTTTCTAATGGTATATTATTGAACTAACCAAAAAATACACTTCACAATCATGGACTGCGTTTTCAAATTGATTGAGAGATAAAATGCAATACAACATTAAAAAACCAAATTTAACGTCCATAGCTGTATTTAATGTCATGCTATTTTATAATACATTACTGTAAATCCCCTCCCCCCTTCTTTCACAAGCCAACCTCTTTGTGTTTTCGTTTCTTTATCATGTGGCATGCCCTGTACCTTTACCATGGTTCCCGAAATACTGTCCTTGGAAGATTTTGTAATTAGATAAAATTATTTCTACTAAACAAAGACGGGGACTATAAGGGAGAAGTTTCATCTTTTCAAATATCTATCGAAGTTACAAATAAAGTATGTGAATATGCGAACTTAAAATGAGAAGAATTTCACAAGCAGATGTGCAACATGTTGTTTAGCACCGAGTTGCTCTGCTCATTCACTGCCCAGTTTTGAGGTGTTTGTTAACACGTAGGGAACTTGTTTTTCCCTTCAAAAGCACCAACCGTCATCATTACTGTATTATACCGTGTTATATATTAATCGTTGTGGTTCCTGTCATCGTTGTTGTTGTTATTAATTGTTATCCAGGTCTCCTCCGTTTCAGTGGGCTTTGTTGTGATTCCATATTTGTATGCGCTGTATGTTTGTCTAGCACATTTAGAACAAAATATAAGTTATAAGACATTATATAAATGGCAATGCAAGTGTTTTGATCTGCGTGTCTTACTGTCTAACTAAAAGGACCGTCTCGGCAACTAGTATTCTCAACTTTGGAAGGTAAAGATCTCAAAAAACGTTATCCGCAATGAATTTCTTCTCTAGTTGCAAAGTCGATAGATTTTCACTTCATAGGTACCAAATTTTGACATCCGAAATAAAGGTGTTGGATTATTGGTAAAGCCCGATCGTCGTTCCACCTAGCAGTTTTAGAATCTATCTACATAAGCACGAAAAAACCGCTACTGTGTAGACAAAAGGAGTTCGTTTTCACCTTAGGACTCCATTGGTAACATTCTAATAGGCAAGCGGCACTGATTGGTCAACCTTTACAGTCATGTGCTCGTGTTTTCTGATTGGCCTTTTTTGATCCACAACTTGGTATATATATTTCCTAGCGTAGAGTTTTCGGTCTATGTTCTGACGTTTTAAACTCTGAAGAGTGTCAGACGAAAAGCTTTAGTTTACTAAATGTTTGCTTTTTTCAAAACCATTTTCAAATGTGTCAGTATTAAACCTTCACCACCAGCAACAAAAGTTTGCCCTTAAAAATTAAAATTTTCTTCCGTCAGCTTTCAAAAATTTGTAACAAGCGAACGAATATTTTCTCTTCATTTAGGCCACAATTCTGGATCTATTTTGACTAACCTATAAAAGAAAGGGTAACCAACATTTCTGGAAACTATATATTACAATTCTGCCACTGTCAAGTTTAAAACGTTTCACGAAAAATCATATATGCATGGTTTTAAAATTTGGTGGTCTTGTTTGCAATGCCAAACCGTCAGGTTTGACTCATTCATACGTCCAATAAACTTTAAAATTTATATTCCCTCGTGAAAGTTAACTATTGTGATTTCTTGATACTGCCATTCCCTCCCCTTTCCTGTATGAATCTGATAGAAAAATTTTATCCCTTTTCACTCAAGGATGTGTGAAATGATAGTTGCTTGAACGTCTGGTTCAAAATGTTGTGCTGGCATACTTTACATCAATTAGTTTTTATTAAACATAAAACATAAATTAACATAAATAATCGTTCGACTGAAATCACTAAATGACCAGAAGAGAAACAATTCTTTATTCCACGCCTGCGAATTTTAGAGCAGACCAATGCTCTCACGTCCCTTTCCTTTTCCTTGCTCTCTTGTTATACTCTTATTAATTCGTGAGAAAACCCGTTGCTGTTAATAAATATCTTCTGAAATAATTATCACAACAGCACCACTATGGTAACAGCTTCTGTCTTTATAACCCGTCAAAATGCCTTGAAAACGCACACATCTTTCGCGAAACTGGCAAGTTTTTTGCAAATTTTTACAAAGAATGCAAATATTAACGTAATGAAATAGAATGAGGTTTGTTTAAGAATGAAAAGTACCTGTGTTGTAAAGCTTTTTTAGTCTGTGATGTTGGGGGAGAGGTTTGTAGGCCTCACAAGTATTGAGGGGGTTAGGAGGGGCATAAGGCCCAGGGCCCGACCTCAAATGGGGCCCGTACAAATCTTACAGCATTCTGTTATGAGAATGTTACAAGATGAATTTATAAAGCAGAGATATTATACATTTCAAATCACTTTTCTATCTCTCTCGTGATCCTACCTTCTTTTCCAAGAAATTTGCATTTTCACCACACAGGCGAGGTTATCATTCAAAACGAGTCACATAATTTCTCTTGCAATGGCGTGTCGTGAAAACATGGGTGAATTTGGTAGTTGTTTTATTAAAAGTTACACATTAGAATCAGTCTGGAATGTGAAACATATTTATGCTGGAAAATCAAGTCAAAATACTATTTAGCATGGATTCATATTGAGAGGACATGGCGGGAGCAGCTTAAAGGAACATTTTGTCCTTTGTCCCACCTTTTGGAAAAGGCCTATTTTAAGGTCTTTCCTTCTTCCAGTATTTGACAATAAATACTGCTGCTGCTTATTTGAGACGCGGTCTAAATTGCAGAATTTTTTGGTAGCTTTTAGTGTAAATTCTATTCTACGCACATAGGCTTTTTTGACGTTGTTAGTGCAGTAAAGTTGCCAGAACGAAACGAGTTCGCACTCCGAACAGCATATGTGCAAATAGGAATCAAGGCCTGTTTGTAATTTGTTTATATTTACTGTAAACATAGAACACAGTTTCTGAGTAATCATATACTGCACTTAGCAGAACCATTAAAACAGAACACAGAGGAGATCAATACAAAGGTGTATTGAAAGCGATATATTTCTCGTAAAAATGTCCAAAACAACAAAAAGAAAGCATGTTACCAAGGAAGCACTCACTGAATACTATGTACCGGAAGGAGATGAAGAAATTGTCAAGGTAAGTTTAAAGCATTTTTCAGTTATAATCTTATGAAAATGACTTTTATTAATTTCTATTATAGTATGGTCTGTCTGTTGCAAAGAAGTTTTTTACACTGCTACAACTGTAATTCCAGTTTGAAAATTTAAATTTATTGTGCAGTGCTAGATTGGCTTGTATATTGCATATTGTAAACATTATCTGTAGTTCAGGTACTGACTCTAGCACACAGTATTTTTTGGTGGCAGAGTTTTGAAATCATGCACTATATATTGCTTTTTATTTGAATTATTGAATGGAATTTATTTTATATGTTCATTTTGTCAATGTTCTCTCCACTTCTTTTAATGTTTAGATAATTGCTGGAAGAGGTAATAATCTGCATGAAGTACAAACAGCTAATGGCAGAAAGTTTCTTGTCAGCATGCCATCAAAATTCCGGAAAAATCTCTGGGTCAAAAGAGGTGAGATTTCTTTTCATTTCTACATATATTTGAAAAATTGTAGGCAAATAAAGCACTCACAATTTCAGGCTGGTAACTTGGTTGTGTGCATGCAATTTGCCTGCACACACATTTTTTGCAGTCCCTAGATAATAACATTTAACATTATTAACACTCAAAATAACTAAGAGTCTAGGACTTAAGGTGCGGAATCTCAAATTATCAAAGTTAACTTGTCTGTGCAAGAAGCAAAGTTTCCAGTCTGTCTCTCTTTCACTAAATTTGAAGTTGTTTGTCCTTGATATACTTTTTTGTCCTTGATACAATTCAAAAAGTTAAATCCCTAAAAGGAGGTTAAGATGTTAGAATCCTTCTCAGTAAGCTTTGTTCCTTTGAAGCAGTGAGGGCATGTGCCCCACACACCCCAGTTTTTGCCCTGCTGGTACAATACCTATGCATATTTAGCTTCTAATGTATCCAGTGATAGAACTACATCAATTGGCAGTTTTTTCTAATTAAGATATTAAGTATTAAGATATTAAGCTTTGTTTTCTATAGCGCTGCCTTTTTTATTAGGATAATTGATTGATATGAAGGAAAATGTTGTGTATCATACTCACAAAAGATAAGCCTGCTATAATTTCTTTCTTGGAAAGCAAATTTTTGTTTTCCCTAAACATGTCGGGCAGAGTATGAATTTTGGTATCTCAATGAAATAATTAATTGTTAAAGAAAGTTATTAGTTTTTTAACAATTGAAGCAAGTGCGAGCAACTTTTATCAGATTTTGCTCATTTATGGATAAAAAGTTTTCCCAAATTGGATTAAGATTTCTCTTTTTTAGGTGATTATGTTGTTGTAAACCCAATAAAAGAAGGGAATAAAGTACTGGCTGAAATTGTTTATATTCTGTATGCCAAGCAGATCAAATATTTACAAAATGAAGGACTTTGGTGAGTTATATTCATGAACAACTTGTATTAAATTTGTATTACATCCAGACAAAGATTTTGTCTATCTATACGTTGCTCAAATATTTTATTGGAAGAGCAGTTTATTGCATTGAATTCTGATCTTCTTTAGAAAATCTTTTCAATTTATTAAAAACAAATTTCTGGATTTTAAGAATAAGTTCTTTATACTTGTGAAGAATAAGATGTAAAAATTTTATGGGATCAGGGACAACTTTCTTCCCTTGCCTCCTTCAGGCCTTGCCCGGAAAGGCGCTCGATCGAGCGCACCCAAAAGAAGCCTTGGAGAGCGATTTATAGAGCCCCTCAAAACGTAAAAACAATATTACCACGGAACAAAATAATTTCTTGGCTTTTGTCTAATTAACTTGATCAAGCATAAACAATCTTCCCAATAGACCGCTATGTTATGATTTTCGTAAGATTACCCCTTGAGAAAAAAATTCAGCAAATTCAACGTTGGGTTTTCGATACCATTTTTAATCTAATAACCCTCTCATAACCACCAAGGACACAGGCCATCAAGAGTATTCTCCGTCAGATTTATTTGATTTCCGAGCAAGCGTTAATCTTCTGTTGAAGTATTATTTTCTGTTTTTCTTAATAACTTAGAATCACCTTTGCAATTCAGAGATCACATTTCCGTCCAAATTACCGCATTGCTTTTCAGTTTTCATTTGCTTTCGCGAGTAGTAGATATTCTAGTGTCTCTTATAGAATGGATAGCATAAAAAGGGAAACAAAGCTAATGTTCGACTTAAAGCCATGCGTTTTCCTATATTTCTATATTTGTATTAACATAGTGTTTGCTGCATGTTTTGTTATTTCATATTATGGTGCTTTTTGGTATCACCATTGAATTTCTTATTTAAAACTCTTCCAAAGCTTTCGATAGGAAGTTCTCGATCTTCCAAGGCTCTTGAAGGATGCTCTCAAGGATATTTTTCTTAAAGGTGCGAAATAGAGCGCCTAGAGTTTCTAAGGGGCTCTTTTTATGGAGCACCTTCATTTTGCTTAGAGCAAGGCCTGCTCCTTGTCTCCATAATTTGTGTAAGTTGTTTTTTCATGCTTTACATATGCTTTAAAATATATATTACTGATTTCTTTACCTGCAATTACTTTACAATGCAATGCTGATGATATCATGGGGAGTAAAAGACTGTAACTACCCCGATGGCTTTTCATAAGAAAATACATAAGCTCACACGTAAATGCTACTTAGACAGTCCTGGTAATATTAGGCATGCAACCACATCCACACAACTTCAACCACCTCTAAGACTCCAGAGGCATGCTTCTATCGTGCGCTGTTCCATGTTCTGAATTACCATTCTTTTCTTATGATTTTTCTTTTCAATTTCTTGCTTATACCACTATAGTAATTTTTAATTTTTTTGTGTGCATTATCTTGATTGCATTTCTAGGGGGCATCGTAACTCTTAAAGGGCTGGTTTCCATTACTCTGTTTTTGTATGTCTGTCTTCGTTCTATCATTCCATTTTTGTATTTTCTTAAACACATTACCTCAGGCCACTCGGTTTTAGTCAAAACAATAAGGTTGCTGTTTCCATTACTCCATTTCTGTCCATTCCCATGTCCTTTGTTTAAGCTCTGTTTGAAATTGAAACTTTGAAACTGAAACTTTGCTGTTCCCTATAAATCAATGAGTTTTCAAATGATTCCATTTTTAAATGACTCCGCTTTGAACAGCATTTTTGAATGTCTTCAGTTTGCTATCAAATGACACTGCTTTTGAGCCTATTAATGGACCTCAAATCTAAAACAGGTTAATGGCAACAGGGCCTAGAAAACTCCTTTTTGTTTTATTATTTTGTTTTCAATAAACCTCTTCTTAAATTCAGTAAAAACTATTTGGTTGTGTGAAAACTTTCCTTCATAAGCATATGTGCTATCAAAAAGGCTATCAGGTCTTCGATCTCCATTTCATGGATCCCAAACAAGCACACACCTAAACTTTTAAAGGCATGCGATTATCAGCATTACAGGAAATTTCATATTACTAGGACTGCTTAGTGGTTGCAAAGCATGTTTGACTACCCAAATGAATTGATTAAACGCATAAAATTTAGCTTCAAAATCAGATACGTTTCAAACAAAATTTCCGCCTCTTTAGGATTTTTTTATCAGGAGATTTTTGTGGCCTTTCTCACGTTTTCATGGTGTCACTTAGGAAATGTGAGATACTTCAGTGGATGATGAGAGTTCAAATAGTTTGTTGATTTTGTGGTGCAGCTAATGACTTTTTAAGGGATATATGAAAAAGAGATTGTTAGGTATTTCATCATGCTATTTTGTCCTTTTCAGGCCAGAGCAATTTAAAGAGGAATTGGGCGAGTCAGAAGAAAAGACCAGGTATTATTTTTAATCTTTGTACAAAATAAGTGGTATGAAGAGGGTTATTTCCTAACCAAATGCTAATCAAAGGAAATCTGCTTAAAAGCCAAATTTTACTTACAGTGCGAGTATGTAAATTCTCTAATGATATTCTTTTAAATTTGTTTGCCTTTGGATTTTTTGAATGGATGTTTTTGTATCTTCTTTAGTGATTATATTGCTTTTTGGCTTTGCTATAAAGGAAATAAATCTTTCGCTAGCAAAAAGTTCTGAAACCAGTTTCTTTAATATGTTTCTTTTTGTTATGTCAAGGGCAATTGCATATGAAGATAGCTCTGAAAATAGTGATGATGATGATGATGATGAACTGCTATTTAAAAACCCAAACAGAAGGGAATTCAACCTTGTAGAAGATTCAGAGTCTTCTAGCAGTGAAGAGGTTTCAAGCACTGACAATGAAGAAGAGGGTGAAGATGAGAGTCAGAGTGCTAACAAAGAGACCAGAGAAAATAATATTTGTGAAGATAACAGTATATCAAACAAGCTAGATTCAATTTCATTGAACAATTAGCTTGTAATCACTGACAGGTTGATCAATCACTGGCACCAGGCATGTTTTGAGTTTTTGTTTTATAGCCTTAACTTAAAGCTAAACTGAGAACAATGCCAGAATGAATTTTGTGTTACTTTAATACAAAGAAAATGTTTTACCCATTATTATTCACAGCCACATCTGATTTTTTTTATTTCCTTCTTCAAAGCATTTGATTATAATTTGATAATTGGGGTCAAAATTATCAAACCCTAGTTCTATAGTGGATATGCTCTTGGTTGATTTGATTTTAGATGAAGTGGAAATGATGTCAATTTTGAAAATAGACATGTGCAAAACTCTTGTTTACAACAAACCCTGCACATATGGTAAACATATTGATTTTGAGGTTCTATTGTCCAAATATTCCCTAATTTAATGTCCAAATATTCCCTTTAAAGGTGGGTAGTCATTGAAATAAGTGATTTAAAATCAATTATTTTGTTTATTTGCTGCATTTGCAAAAGTTTATTAAATGATCAATATGATAAATGAAAGATAAATGATTCCACTTTTACCAAGTTCTCAATAAGGCACAGGTCAACTTCAGGGTGAAGGAGAAATATTTTTACTTGCTTTTCAAACACTTATCAAAATGTTAACATTAGATGGTGCAACAATTTCGAAAAGTCTGAGATTACACCCAAAATTTCTTACTCTAAGAAAGCATTAGCAACTAGCAGATTGAAGTTTGAAAAGATTGAAGTTTTATAATAAGGGTCCACTCTTAACATGGACAAAAATAAGCATTGACAAAGAAAGGCACAGGAGTATCTCCTTGATTATATCATCTACTATCCATGAGTGTGGGAAACCCTTTAAACAACCATCTTCTATTCTTCAACTGCTCTGTTGCTGACATTTTTTCCTCTTTTATTTATGATCCCTTTCAAATGCACAAACAACTGCGAACAACTTGTTTTCATTTTAAAATTTAATGTTTGCACAGTTTTTAGATTCTGTAAAGAATTTAGTGTAATAACTCTAACAACACAAAGAGAGAGCACTGTTCCTCCTAAACTTCTGGATCGAGCTTTAAATACCTTGTGGAAGTGCAGATGCTGAATCATAGCATTACATAATAATAATTCAGATGTTATAGGTCTGTTGACACATTCTAAATCTTGAAGCCACTTGAATGTTAAGGGACCACAATTAAAAAAGACACATTTGAAGTAAACCATTTCTATATCAAAGGTATAAAAATAACAAATAATAAAACATTTTTAACACAATTACAAATTTTTAGAGATGTATTATCAATTCTTTTGCGTGTCTCTTAAAGATAAAATATTCCCTTCTATGATTTCTACTAAATGCTAGAAATATAAACTATTTGTTAAGAAGTTTGATATATATTTTAGTTATGAAATAGTAGGGTTATTCCTCTGTTTGATTTTCTTTACCCTCCATTTTGCATAAATCTGCAAAACCAGCGCTAGAAATACAACAAGGACACCAATAACTGCCTGTGGTGCCAGGTAGTGGTGGTAAATAATACAGGATAGCAGCATGCTAAACATTTGCCTTGTGACCATTATACAAGTAAAGGCCAAGGGTCCAAAACTGGCTATTGTATAGAAAATAAAGAGTTGGCCGACTGCTGATGCAAGGGATATCACCATTGCATGATAACCAAAATCTGGATGCTGGTAGATAAACGAGATTGATGTAATCATACCACCATTTTGGATCAGTGAAACACCAGTGAACAGGCTTGAAAATAAATTGGTTCCAAACATCACTTGGAGGGATGTAAGACTGTATGTAGTGATAATTTTTGACTGCCAGTTGGATGTGAAACTGTCAAACACCATGTACCCAAGCATCAAGCAAAGGCCTGAGAGACTTGTTTCAGCTGAGTTTTGTTTACTAGATGCTACTGACAAAAGGAACAGTGAAACACCAACAGATATCATCCCAGCAATGAAATATTCATAGTACTGGTATGATTTCCGTGAAACAAGCTTTCCCATTAACATCACAGGGATCATCTTTGATGCTTTTCCAAGTACTTGTGTAGGAAAGCTAACATACTTCAGTGCTTCATACTGGCACCAGCTACTCAAAATATTTGATAATGATGAGTATGAGTACAAATAGAAAGGTATTCCATGCTTGCCTTGTCTTTTCATTGCTAAACAAAAGCCAGACAGCACCATAGCGGAGACACGATTCATAAAAACAAGAAACTCAGACTGTTTGAATCGCTCCGCATTTTTGTCTTTGCCATATTTCTTTGTCATAACTCTCTCCTGTAGGACACCCCATGTTAGGTACATAGCCTGAAGACCAATAGCACAAAATAGTAGCTTCATGCCAACACTGACAAATGTTTCTGGCTGCTTTTTGCTGTCTTGTACATGGCCAGCTTCAACATCCCCAGCATCTATTGTTTTTTCATCTTCCCTAGAGCCAAAGACACAGAATTGAACTGCTTTGAACATACATCCCCTTCCTAAAAGTGAAGAATGAAATTTCTGAAGAATCATAAAAGACTCTATATAGTCAGTAATTAAAAACTGATCACTAAGCCAAATTAGCTGCAGAATTATGGAATAGTTCTGCTTGCATCTTTTCTGATTAGAAAAAAGAGATTTTTATGCCATTCCAGAAACTCCTAAGCCCCTTTTTTGGAAATTGTGCACCCCTTTTGAAGAATGGGAATTAGGTGAAAAAGTTTCTGAGACCAATAGGTTAATTTACTTCAAAGTATTACTTCAAAGTTATAGAATGTTGTTTACTCCGAAAGTGGATCTGAAATTGTTGCATACAGCGTTCTCTCGCTGTCAATTTTTGAAAATTTTTCAGTGCCCCTACTACCAACTGCCCCTCCTTCAAGTTTGCTCTGGATCCGCCCCTGTGCCATTCATAGCTAAAATGATATGCATTGCAAGACTTTGTGTTAATGACTCCATGGTAAGGGTGAACAGACTACAGATCCAAAGGGCTTGGTTGGAGTCCCTGCCATGAACAAACTTTCACTTCTGTAATTGCAGGTGTGGGAATCATGAGGTGATGTGGTCACCCTAGTCTGCAGAGTATGGCAGATGTCAACATAAGGTCAATGTAGGGCTGCATGCTAAAATTTGAAATTGCACATCACATATGCTATAGTGCTATTATGAACCTTCATTTTGCAAGCTATATGAGAACCGCTTGTTTTTTTTATTCTGATGGTCACACCAAGAGGAAAAGCCAGGACACTGCTTGATAAGCATAGCTTCTCAGTGTCCATAATCTATGTTCAAAAACTAGGTAGGGCCAACAGTAGAAACACAGATATAATAAACATTTTTATCTACGCATTTTTTTTACTTAGAATCCTAAAACGAGTCTCAATTTACATACACATATGCAAGCCATTTTTTCACAGAACACCTATAGAATATAGATGTTAGAAATGCGGATTGGTGAGGGATACAAGAACACAATATTAGAACACAGATGGGGGGATGAGGCATTCAGGACCAGCTTTTTGAAAAAATTAATGCTCACCATTGCGTTCATTGAAATTTGAGTATTTTGCCATCCGAATTATGAAGATACCAGGCACTAAAATCGTCGAGTAGCCAATGAGGTTCCAAATAAGGCTATTCAGCCAATCATCACCATTAAACTGGCGTTGATAAATATAGTGACTGTGTCCTCTATGCCCACCATTATTCAAAGCTGATTCTTCTGACGATGCTGCAGATTTCTTTATATCAGTCACGGACCCTGCTTGAGAACTTGGCGCTAGAGTAGCCCCTGTTGTTGAAATGCTAGCCAGTAACAGTCCGACAATGATGTAAATATTATTTTTTCTGATAACTGGTATGTATTCAAAATTATGTGCAGAAGACATTTTGATTCTTATTCCAAAGCTTTTCTGTCCTATCTGATCATAATCACCTGTTTCGTAGATGGTCAACCATTGCAACCGCGAAATTTTGCTGGTGTGTGGTGTTGTCATTATCAGCCGCGTTTGTGATATCCAAAACGAGATTGCTTTGCAAGGGGAGGGGGGCTCGCTGATCTATATAAAAGGTCAGTTGGAGAGGGGAGTGACTTGAATCCTTATGTTATAAAACAAATTCCCCTTGTTTCCAATAGGGAAAGACTTATAAGATCAGACGTGCATGCAAAGAAAAATTATTTTTTGTTAAAAGCCGAGAGCTCCAAATATTTTTTACCCCAAATATAGAAAATAACGAAATCATAACAAAAACAAAGAAACAATTAAGAAACAATAAGTATTGAAATTTTCCAAATCTTTAAGAAATTAGAGAAATCTTTAAGAATATTCGATTTTGTTTCTTATAAAAAATAAGTGTTCACTAAATACTTTGACAGTCATCGATAAATTGCATACCCAGCTTTTGTTGTTTTTTATAGTTTCTAGCAAAAACTCGATCGTCTACCAAAAAAGCATGTTTTAATGTCAATCCAATGGTGGATTTTATTATTGCATTTTTCTCCAAAATCTGTGGATGAGAATGTAACCAGATTCTAACTGAATATTCTTTGAGGTACTTCAATCTGAAAAACAGTGGAAGGTAGGAGGAAAAAATGCCTTACACCGCCGTTGAAATGATAGTATTTATTTTGCAGTTTGCAATCTATGAACAAAGATTATTAATAGTCTAACTCGGCATCAGAATTATTAATTGTGCACCAAATTGTGCACCAACAAGATTTGCTATGCTCTGGATTCAGTGATGTGCCTAGACAATTTTGTTTGGGGAGAAGGGGGAGGCGTTCAGAAAGAAGTGACCAACTTTACTTTTTTGACCGACTATTTCTCCATAGAAAATTCATTAACAATGAAATAGATGATCATATACACACTTAATGATAACAAGTAAGAGCAAATGATGGCATGAAAGTGGAAGGAAATCAAGTTTGCGGAAACTAATATTCCTGGATCTCCCGTTTTGGGTGAATCCATGAGCATTTGCGACCACACCCTTCAGTATAGCTTAAAATGTTTCTCCGAAAACTTCTTGCAGTCATTTCTTGCAATCATTGCTTACAGTCGTTAGCTTGCTCCTTATAGCAAGTTATTTGCAATACACTCTTTTTTGTACGAGCCAGTGAATTCGAGTTCAGGCTGATTGTTTTTTCGAAAATCTGAGGATGGATTGTTCTTAATTTGTTTTTAAATTAATAGCCTGTAAGCAGTGCTATTGCTAGCGTTTTCGCTCTAGGGAGGTATTCAGGCCTCATTTGCCAACAAAGTGAGTGAGACAACCTTTATTTGCCGACAAAGTTGGAAAATCACCGAAAAATCACCCACATATGGCTAAAAGTCCTCGTTGATTAGATAAAACATTGTTCAAAAATTGCATTTTACAGTAGCTCAGCCTCAGCTTGTTCTTAATTTTTTTTTTAACTTTTGACCAATTTTGAGGCTCGTGTTCTATAAAATTGTTCTTTTAGAAGTAGTGGGCAAAACAACATGCAAGAATCACCTTACAGTATGCTACCACCTTGACTTGCCATTGTGACCGACCATCTAACGCACGGAGCAGACTAATATCGGGATAAACAAAAATGTCTGCTAGCGACTCAAAATTAGATGTCAGTGAAGATGAGTACAGAAGAAACCAGGTATGAATGCTTTGGCAAATGTTAGATAATATATTAGTTTCAGAACATGAATTTTTCCTTTTCAAAAAGCACTGTTCATAGTCGTCCTTACGCAGGCGGCAGGCCTAAACGGTGACAACACTGCGGAAAATGCCAAAACATTTGAACGGCACGGGATGATGATAGGACTGAAACATTTGAGTTTAAAGACATTTTTATTTTTCTTTATACCTCGTGCTTCCGCTCGTCGCACGTTCACGTGAAGACCGCTTTTTACATAGCATATATCATCGCGGCGTAAATTTTTTTTTTCAAATTGCTAACTTGGAAATTTCTGCGCACATCGCAACTCCCTTCTTTTGCATTTCCCTCTTTTTCTTAAAACAAAAAAGTTATCATATCATATGATGTCAATAACGTAATGTCCATTTGTCGATTCTCTATTTTTGAATATCTGTCCATTTTTGCTTAGATCTAGGGATTCTTTCACAGCCGTTGAACACTTCCCATTCTCTTCATAATGGGTCTTATCTTTGTACTGGTATAGCAAATATATTAGCAATCAAGGGACTCTTTACATGACCTATGCCACAAATCAGAAAGTGGGGGGGGCAAGGCTAGCAAAAGTAGGGGGCCAAGGCTTTCTCCCCCTTTACTGCAGCTTTAAAAATACTTGCTTCGCAAAAATGTGTGGGGGCCATGGTCCCTCTGCCCCCCCCCCCAGTGGTGTGGGCCTTGCTTTATATTGTATTGTAATATGTAGGGTGAAATGTTAAATTTTATGAGATCTTCAAAGTTGCAACTTACTATATAATTCTTCACTCACATTTGGCAGACTAAAATCCACTTAATAGACCACATATTGAAGGTTATAGGGCACCTGAGAAGAATACTGGTTGAGGCAATGACTGAATGTTGCAGTAAAATGGATAGTTGATTTAGATTTTTTGAAAGAGACCAGAAAAAAATGTTTTTATTATCTTCATTTGCAAACCACACAAACAGTTTCAAGTTTTTGGAGGTCAATGATGTAACTGATTATTCATTGCCAAAAATGGCTGAAGCTCCATTGCAAATTTAAAATTGCATTGAAGCATGCTATGATGATATTATTAAAATTTTGATTTTGGAATTTATTGGCAAGCAAGTGTTTGAGAAAATTTTTATAATCACAAATATCTTGAATACCCAATAACCAACTTCTCATTATGCCTGTTTTTCATATAAGTTTATGTTAGGTTATCTTTTATTACATAAAAATGCAACTAAACTACAATTGTGCCAGGATTTTCCTTCAGGTAGGCAACCCCCTTGCACCTGCCGATGTGCTTCCACCTTGCCCCTGCAATCATGGGACAATTGATACACTAATACCCTCTCCGGCCCTTGAGGACTTTTCCTTTAACAAATATTGCTGAACAGGCATTCACATGCACAAGTTCATCCACATGTGTCACACTTGTGAAAATTTATTGGCCAAAAGGCCCTGTATATGCCAAAATTAGTTTTAATACTCCTTTCACAATGAAGGTTTCTATCAGACTTTGAAAGTTTCCATTGGAGATCATGATGCAGATACCTTTGGATACTTTATTGATCCAACTTTAAAGGGGCTTTTCATATTTTCAATCTGGGTGTGAATTGATTGCGGCAGAAAGGGAACACAAAGTTCCTTTACCTTTTATAGGGTTGTAGACAAAGACAACACACTTACACAGAAGCTACAAAAAATCCAAATAAAATGAATAAACAATTGATAGACTGTTTACCAACCTTTTTGTCATTTCTGTCATGTCTGCAGGGTAACAATTATTTAATGTTTACCCAGATAAGGAGATTTTATAGCTAACTGTCTCATTACTGTCATGACTAGCTGTCTTGATAAGAAGATACAGATGTTGCTTTGACATCCACACATAATAATTTATGAGACACTGATACCTCCTTGTATGGAAAAGTTAGAATTTTGCCAATTTTATCTAGGAATCATCAAAAAATCAGTTCATTGTAAGGCTACTATAAATTGTTTTTCCCACATCAAAATTTAGTTGAGCATTGTGAGATTTGATTGCATCGCCGATGTGTTAAATGAATATATTCTCAAAATTAAGACTATTCTGTCCATAGATTGCTCAATCTTACTCTAATCAGCTTGTGGCAACACAAAGTCCAATGCCTGGAACAACAACTGGGATATATTACCCCAACCCATCAGTACAACCTCTTACCCCCTTGATGACTCCTATGACACCACTTTCTGCCGAGGCATCTGGTATAATTCCACAGCTACAGTAAGTATTGAGACATTTTTTTCTTTGAAAATGGGAAATTATTTTATTATTTAATATTTTGGCATGTGTATTCCTATGATGTTTATAGAGCGTGAAAATAGACACTGAATTTAAATTCATGGATGGCTCCAAGTTCTTACAATTTAAGTATGAAAAACATTATTTTATTGGCTTCATATAATTTGAAAACAGAGTTGCAGCTTGGAGCTGTCCTATCTTTTGCAACAAAGCCATAATACTTAATTTGCATGAATTTAAGCTAAAATTGACAGATTTTTTTGCTAAGAAAGTAAAATTTTTCAGTCAAAACAGCATTTTAAATTTGCAGTTGAAGCAATCAAGTCAACTATAAAAACATTGCTTACTTGGCTAAATCAACTATAAAACCAACCAATGATGTTTTGACAGTATACTTAATAATGTGTGAATAAAGGAAAGGCCACGATAGAAGACTGCTAGATAGAATTTTTGCGGCAAAAAGTTGATAAAATGTAATAAATAAGTAACATCGTGACCAGAATGAACAACAATAAACACACATAAATCAATTATGGTCAACTTATTTATTAATGGTGTTACTTATTTATTACATATATAATGATGCCAGGTTTTTGTTGGATTGTCAGGTTACTTTAGGCACCCATGTCAAATATAGATTAGATCATTTAAGACAAAGTATGTGTGGATGTATACCCTGTAAAGAACAGAGTGGTTCAAAGCTGCTAGCACCTCTGCATGTGCAGTTCTGCCAGACGCCATCAAGCACTTTATGACAGACTGTTAAACAGTAAGTCTCATTATATTTAGATGTAGGTATTTCATAGCTTGATGATTGTCTTTTGTATCAGTTATTGTACCCTTATGCATTTTTTAAAACTTTTATCCTTATGCCGTCAGGAATATTGTATCAACTGTTAATCTGGGATGTAAACTTGACCTGAAAAAGATTGCACTTCATGCAAGAAATGCTGAATACAACCCAAAGGTATATATTTTTATCTCTTTTTTGTTTTTATCTTTACCTATCCCTTTTAGTCTGGCCATCAAGTGGGAAAGAAATGATCTGACTTTTAGCTGATATCTGAACCATCTGGGGAATGCCTTTTGAAAAAGGTAGAAGAATCCAATGTAAATTGAAAATCAATCAGACTTGTTGTCTCTTAAGTACGACTTGATGGGACACAATGTATTTGAAACCTTTGCAAAATGATTCAAAAAACACACAAACTGACATTAAATTCTAAATGTTCATGTAAATAAGGTCTTGAAACTGACTGTGAAAAGTGTTCCTTTTAGTTAATTGAATATTTAGTAACAATGTTGTTTAGTTGTTCATGAACAGATACTTTCCTTTCACAACTTCACCACTAAATTATGCAGATTTTGATTGATATAAGGATCATCTTGAGTTCGGAAGTTGGTGGAGCAAACTGACAGGAGATTAGTTACTGCTTAAATGATATTATTGAAGTTAGCTTTCTTGTTCTGTGTCAGATCAAAATCTTAGTTGATTTTATTTCAGGTTTAGATTCTATTTTGGTTTTAGGTTCAGGTTTTATGTAAAATTTCTCAATATCCAAATTCTACATTAAAACTAATTGCTTGATTTAAAAGGTTTACTACAATTCAGGCATGTGATTATAACTGATGAACGAACCTTTTGCACGAGCTTTGGTTCTCGCATTTTGACTGTAGTAGCTATTTTTTAGCAAGCCAGAAACGCTTTGAGATCTCAACCTTTAATTCAGAGCATTTACTTTGAGGACATGATAAAAATACTTTCCTTTCTTGTTATTTTTCATAAATTTATTTTTTTTACCTTCCTTTTTGAATGATTTTTTTAATTTCCAGAGATTTGCTGCTGTTATAATGAGAATTAGAGAGCCAAGAACTACCGCACTTATCTTCAGCTCAGGAAAAATGGTTTGCACTGGCGCAAAAAGGTACTGGATTATTTTACTTTTTGTCAAAGCTGCAAAAACTCTCTGATCTTTAATTATGGTTCCTCTTGCATAATGATTTCAAAAACACCCTTTCATGGTTTCAACCCCCATTGAGTATAAGTTTCCAATGCTTGCTATATGAATATCACGCATGAAAATAAGGCTTTTTTCATTACAATTTGAAAGTTTGTTTTCTCCTCTAATCAGTAATTCACAAGTTTTCTCCATTGTTTGGTGCTCTCAACCTTGTCTTCCTCGCATGCTAATTTGTTTCCGTCACTCTTCAATCAGACAAAATTTATAAAGAACTTTATCTAAAATTTTCTGAATAATTTTATTTACCCCCATTCTTTGCTTTTAGTGTATAGAATGGGCGGTTTTAAGTTGCTACTCCGAGCTTCATGCTCAACACCATCTGGCAATAAACTACTCTTTCCCTGTGGGTATCATTATATTTAGTTGTTATGTTCCTGTAGTTATTGGGAATTTCAATGCTCGTAGATGTTAACTTGATTTTTCATCTCTTTGTAGCGAAGAGCAATCAAGACTTGCGGCTAGAAAATATGCTAGAGTTATACAAAAATTAGGTTTTCCGGTAAGGTGTTCCTTTTCATTCACATTAAAAGTGACTTGCTTTGTGAATTTTGAAAATTCCTTTTAAGGGAAACCTGTCACTCTGGTTCATTGCTTTACATTTTCCCAAAGTTACTTTTTGTTAGCTGCTTTTAGAGACACCTTCCACACAATTCTACATTTTTCTTTGTCTTCTTTGGGTCACTTTCTTTGCAATACCTTTTTGGATCTTTCCCAGAAATATTCCCATATTGACCCCAGAATTATCCTCTGAATTCCTGTAGAAACCTCTTAATGAAAAAAGATAGCCTCACAAATCAAAACAAGATTCTTTCCCTGCCATTCGTTTTTGTGTTTTCAAAGAATAATGCTATCGATACCAGTAAAGTCCTTTTCTTCACAGGTACCAAACTCTTAATTTCACCAATCAAACTAACGAACTCGTTTGTGGAAATAACTCCAAACTTTATTGCACGAAATTTTTTAGCTAAGAGCAGGATTTACCACCATGATTTTAGTCCAGCTAAAAGTTTATTCATCAATCTTGCAATGTAGAAAATTTCTCTTTATATTGAGCATCAGTTCTTTTTTGCATATGTTTCGTAATTGCCTTTTTCTTTCAGGCGAAATTCGTCGATTTCAAAATTCAGAATATTGTCGGCAGTTGCGACGTAAAATTTGCAATTCGACTGGAAGGTCTTGTTTTGGCTCACGCACAGTTTTGCAGGTTTGCTGTTAATTTCTAAAGATTTCTTTTTGGTTCATGTGGTCAAATTATAGCCACGTTGGAACCGTTTGTGTTTATTACAACAGTGTGTCGCTCAATTTTCTGCCACTGGCCTCTCCGCCATTATTCTCTGCTGTTTTGTGAATAACTAATTGCTGATTTTTTTTTAGATTTGAGAATGTTTATAAAAATATAATTTTCGTAATCTTTTGTAGCTACGAGCCGGAATTATTCCCTGGACTGATCTTCCGAATGGCCAAACCAAGAATCGTTTTACTTATATTTGTCTCTGGCAAAGTTGTTTTAACAGGTGAGGTTCCTTTATCACTTTCTTTTTCGGGCGAATAATCATTTCCGTCTTCCAGACATGCACTAGCCACCGTTTCAGGGTCATTGCACATGCGCATTATCCCTTGAAGCTCTGGCAGGAAGTTCAAGAGTTGTATGGTACCAGACAGAACAGCTGTGCGAATACTGTTATCAATGCGCATGTGCCATGACCCTGCAACACTGATTGGTTTAAGATGGTATTGTTTCGAAACAAAGGACTGAAGGTTTCGTCTCCCAAACAATTTCGTGTCACAATGTTTAGGCGGTGCAAAGAAACGTGCAAATTATGTATTTTTTTGAACGGATTTTTACCAGACACATCCAGACACATCTGGCATTCACAAAATATTTGTGTCAAACTTTGTATCGTTGAATCAAAATTAAAATTCGTTCTCTAAAAGCTGGAAACGCATCTTTTGTACTTATCATTTAGCTATGACCTTAACAGCTTCGAGTGAGCCGTCATGCCAATGATTGCTTTAGCAGCGGTGTAAACTCACTATATTTTTTGAACAAGGAATGTACCATTTAAAAATTCATTTTATTAATAATATCAAAAGAGGGCAGTCCATAAGAAAGATGCATAGGGGGTACATCTAAATGCCTACACAAGATAAGGGGTGTCTCTTACAGGGATTGTTTGGGGATTAGGGCATCCTACCCATTCTTTTTAGATGGTTGACTATGTGATTGGTCTGTCGGTATAATTTCCTAGAAGATGTTAGAAGAGGTACAATATTTTCATCCAGTCCTTGATATTTCTTTTCACAACCCAAATCCCTGGCCCGGAAAGTCAAGGCATGCTGTCAATAAATTTGTATATTTCTTATAGTTTTATTTTACAAATTCAAAATCCTTATTATTCTTTTACTCTATTATTCTTATAGTACCTTCTTAAATTAAAAATATAGCAACACACTTCTTAAGCTAAAATAGTATCCTTTTCTGGCACTTGAATAACCCTTTTCTATTGACATGTTTCTCGATATTATATTCATACAGATCGTTAATAATTCCTAAAATTCTTATTATTCTTTTTTCCAAAATGGTGATATTTCCTACGATGCTTTGTGCTGGTTTTATTCTTTATGATTTATTGTTCTTCCATCGAGTTCTTTGGCGAATTGCTATCTGGCAATCTTCGCTAGAAAACCAAACTTCATGCATCCTTTTTAGTATTTTTGTAAATTTTTCTTTCTTCACAGGTGCAAAAGTCCGGTCAGAGATCTACGAAGCTTTTGAGAACATTTATCCTCTTTTAAAGGGTTTCAAAAAGACATAGTTGCTCGTTAAGTGTTTATGGAGAGGTAATTTATGAATTAGTCATTCAAGCACCTTCATGACGAGCAAGACACAGCTAGTGGGACGATGCTTTGAGGAAAGTTGTATTTCAAATTAACCTTGCAACTTTAAAACGAACCCCTAGTTATGACTCAAACTACTTCATGCTAGCCATCATAGCAATGACTCACCCATTTGAGGTGTGCTTTGTTTCAAAGTTATAAAAAAAGTATTGTTTTACCTATTAAAAGTAGAGGAAACCAAACGATTAGATCTGGACACTTAATTAAGTAGCTTGAAGGCTTAGACTCAAAAGAACAATTTTGTCTTTTTGTCTAGCGTTTTTTCTCATTGAGATGTGAAGAAGGGGCCTAAGGTTCATCTTTAGTTCATATAAAAATTTATACTCATTTTTTGCATGGTTGTTCTATTCATGTTATCATATTTATGGATATTTGTGTTATTCACCATTCACGGTAAATCGGTTCGCGCAAATGTACCTTGTCTTTACAATATCACATATTGGTCAGCTAATATTTGTTTGAGTTTTTGTGATTGCTTGCATTTTTTGTGAGCATTAAGCTTTCCTGTCTTTCAAAAATGCATTTTTTGCAATCGCCTTTTTAGTTTTGGTCCCATCGATTCTATAACTTGTTTCAGTTCTTCCCTCGTACTTCATTCTTCATTAATCTTTTTTGTAATTTTAAATTTTCGCAATCAAAAACGCGTCTATTTAGCTTGCACATTCGTTATATTTTGTAAGATATTTAGAGATTAGAATGCTAAAAATTGATGGATTTTTTTCTCCAAGACTGTTTCTGTAATCGTTCAAAATCCAATATCATGCAAAAACAGGTGCGAGGATGGCTCAGTTGTTAAAGGCACTGACTACAGACCCAAGGGTCCGTGGTTCGAGTCCCTGGCATGACCAATCTTTCACCCAGAGTGGGGAGAGTCGCAAGCTCTCTGTAATTCCAGGCGTAGGAATCACGAGGTGTGGTCACATCGAGAGGAAGGACCAGGACACTGCTCGATAAGCATAGCTTCTCAGTGTCCTTAGAAACTACCTTCGGATGCTAGGTAGCAACAAATATCAAATGCAAAAACAAATTTTTGCCGTTGTAAAATTTGAAAATGGTTTTGAAAAAAGCAAACATACTTTTAAATGGAATCCTGTGTGTTAGATATTGTTGGCCGATATAATGGCGACCATGATATCATGAACTATTTTTTGATTTCTCAAGCTTGATTTCTCATCTTTCCAAGACATTTTATCATAAAATTTTCACTGAAATCATCCAAAGATTCCAATAGCGAAAATATATGTATCTGTTTGACTCTTCGAAATATAACCAAATTGGTTTCAAACACAACATTTTCCAAACAATAAGAATCTGGATCTTCGGCAAAATTACCAACTAAAATTTGCAAATCAGCCGTGCTAAATTTTCAAAGATCTAAAAATTTGAAAAAAATTAGAACTATTTTTTGTTCTTTGTTACCAAATTTGTGTTTATTATTTTAAAGGGAAAGAAATTCACCAAAATTTCACAAAAATATAACTTCTTTTATAGTCTATAACAGTCTTTTACAGACCGTTTCCAGATTATAGAATTTTTACCAATCTCAATTATGAAAAGTTGTCTGTATTAATTTGAGGTATTTCATTTTCTCGAATGATATCTTGAGCTGATTCCTCCAATATTTTCACGTTGCTCTTCTATGAGAAAAGTGATTTTACTCAAATTATAAAGTGGGGGTCATCAGGGCTGACGGAACTAAGGAATTTAACGAAAACTTGTTGCAGATTACGGAAATCTGCATCTTTCGATGGAACAATGGATTTCTCCACGCAATGCGGACGCCTTTTTTTAAATCATACACGGATGTTGAATTTTTATAAAGTTTTATGGATTTGCGGAATTCTTCACCTGTTGTCTTGTAAAACAGGACCTGGTTGAATGTTGCTTTTTCTGTTATCCATAATTTTTAGACGCGGAATTTTAATTAAAATTGTGCCGAAAGTTGGATGTTGAACACAAGAAAAAACTGGTGTTGTTAAAACAAGTCAGGAAACATAAGCATTGTCTAGACAGCTCCACCAGCGCAGTATCTAAGCTATCAATAATAAATCCACAAAGTCGTCAAATTCGCCATATCACAACCGCTTCAGTGAAAGGAGAGCTTTATGTCACAAAGCATCTGGAGAGCCGAGCTCTTCCTTTCGTTGCACAAATTCTCACAGCTCATTCCAAAGACAAAGAGCTGCAACATATGTAGAAACAGCTCTCGACTTTAGCAATTAGACGAAGGAGAATAAATGCGATCTGAACAGCTACGCCTGGTTTTAATCTAATTGTAAAGCTGAATATACACTAGAAGACGTAAATATTAATGATTTACAGCATAATTAGGATCTATGAAAGGAAATTTCCTTCTCAAATCTCGATACAAGCAACAGAATCAAGCGTTCACTCTTCACTCACTCATCTAATACGCAACTGTCCTTAACTTAAAGGCACAAACAAAAAGCATCTGGTACATGTTTGCATTATAACACCAACTTGCTACTTTAGGGACTAGCATGATTCTCCAAAAAATGTTCAAATTAATTATAAAATACACTTTGAACGCTATCATCTGGAAGTGGCACTACAATGTTTTTCTTATTCGCACGACCAACTTCCATTTATGTGTAAATCACTTGAAAAAAGTTTCTTTTTGAGCTAGTAGACAATATATGGCAATATATGGCAATATGGGAAACTTGGGTTTGAGATTCCAAATTTGGCAACTGCCCCCGTGCCCCTCCGCTATGCACGGTCTTGCTGTAGTCTTTTAGACTTCTACTTGGTTCATAACTTTTAGAACATCACGAAAACTTGGTAAGGGTAGGGACAAAAGCCTGAGCCCCAGACTCCAAGTACTTTTAGTTTGGGATCTGGAAATTAGGCTAAGGGGTAGGGGCAAAGACAACGCTGTAAGAAGGGAACAGCATACGAAAGAAGCGTGCCCGAAAAATTGCGTTGATCGACGCCTCAAAATACTCAACAACTCTCCCCAAGATTCACAGTACCTTTCCAAACATGGGCTTACGTAGCTATTCAGATTTTTATCAGTAAAGCCACTGCTTGAGTTTTAACATTGCAGAAACTTTGCAATAAGTTTAATTTTTGATAAGCTACATGTCATGTGCATAGAACAGTTTTCAGTAAAAAAGATTCATTGCTTATTTTTATTGGTAAGTATGCGTCCTTAATCATAGCAAAATGTCTCGTTTTACTTACTGCCCGAGGCGGCAGCACGAGCACGGTTGCCACGGCAAAGTCTACACAACATTGGATAGGTTTCCCTCAGCTCGAAAAAAACCTCTCACATTTTGTCACAATGGAACAAAGTCTTGATATCGGGGTTAATCGGGACGGCTAGGGTTGTTAATAAAAAAGAAGTCCAACAACTAGGAAAAAGACAAGGCCTTTTGACATGAATCCTGAAATTGTTTCTAGCGAAAAACACCATAGGGAAGGTCAGGACCTTGGTACAGTAGCTTTTTGTGCTTCAGCTTTTTTAGCTTTCTTGAACGAACATTTTAAAATCTGTTTCAATGTTTGCGTCGACCATATCATCGTTATCATCCAATTTTTTCACTTTTATCTGTTAGCATATGGTGCAATTTCATCCTTTCAACTGCGAGAAGGATTTCAAATATTTCTTTTATCTTGGCCCTGTCCTATAGAATCTTGGTTATTTTCCGAATATATGCACAGCCATGTCCACAACATTACTATTAATATTTTGTTTGTCTGAAAACAAAAGACGTATCATATCTATGCCGCTTTGTGGAAACAAATGGGGTGGTTAGGAGTTTGACATCGGGGAAGGGGGCGCCAAAATTTTTTTTGCCAACATATAGAAATCTCTATATTGAAAATGACATATCTGCAAAAGTTTTAGTTTGCGGTAGTTTGGGTCCAGGCCAGGCGCCCCCTGTGAAGCACCATATAAAACTTCCAAAAATTTCTTTGGGCTCCTATAGGAAGTACGGCCCAGTTGGAAGTGCGGCCCTGTGACGTGATACGAATAGAAAAAGTTATTAGGAATGAAAAAAGAATGAATTATGACAAATTAATTTCTCTTGATTCCTTGTCTCTTTTTACCGAGTTTATACCCAAATTTTCCTTGTCTCTTTTTCATTTCTGCATATCACTCCTAGAGGACCCCGGTTTACCATATTTGTGCTGAAATGGATTACCATACATGTTAGTATAACAATTAGATATCTTATGAGCGAATTTGTTTGAAACCTGCTCAATGTATCATAACAAAACGAAGGTCTGCACAATATTTTCTCGCTTCTTCAGAAAAATATAGAAAATGAAAAATGAAAGTGAAAACTGAAAGGAATAGGATACAGCCTCGCTTTCAGGTCCGGAGCAAATTGCATCGGTCATTGCTGCGTAGGAGGAAGTAAAAAATGGCGGCCTAAGACCAAGCTGTGACTGGGTTCTTGACGATTTCGCCATCAAAATGTCATCAGAAAGATTCGAAGACCTCGAAGATGAGCTCAGGTCAACTCTTGACTCATTAGAGGGTGTGATAAAAACCAGACTACCAAAGATATCTGGTGGTAAGATGTCTCTTCAGATTCTATACTTTTCATATGTCTCCCTGTTGTGTTATTACGTGTCTGAACTTGATTTCAAATCCTTTAAACATAATATCTTTACGGGAACGGGGGAGGCATCTTTCAGAAACTGTTTTAAAAATGACATTGTATAACAGGGGCAGGGAAGGCCATACATACGTACGTGGAAGGTTCTCCATTCTTTAATTTCGGGTCGAAATTTTTGTCCTGAAATATATAAATTTCCTTGAATGAAATTCAAAGTTCTGTATCTCTTTATGAGCTTTTATGCTAATGTAAAGCTTGTTATGTAGGATGCACTAGTCAGTGATTAATCGATAGAGAATATAACAGCATGTTCCCACCAGCATCAGGCAAAAAAAGGTTCTGAAAAAAGAACAGCAACGGTGTATTTGCGAAAATCAAAATGTCCAAATTAAATATGGATTTAATTATAATTGGTCACATTGCTCACAAATCCAGATGCCAAAACATATAGTGAAGACGATTTATGAAAAACAAAGGACCAATCAAACACATCTTTCTTCCGTTCACATTGTCTTCGATCCATGCCTGGATATAAATTTTCTGTTTACTTTTGGTCATTGTCCAACGTTTATACTCTGAAGAGTGTTGAACGAAAATACTTCTGTATGCAATGTTTCTGCTATTTCATTCCATCTTAAAAATAGGTATTAGTTCAAGAGCCAAGATAGGTTTTGTGTGAGGGAGGAGCTTCTGTTTTCTTAAATAAAGTAAATACTGTACCACAAAGCAAAGTCCTTCAATTGCTTCTTATAAGGTCCTAAGGTACCTAAAACTTTATCTGGGTTGCAAATAAATCAGGTTTTGTCAGTAGTTTTTCTGTGGTGCATGAGCCATAGACAGAAAAAAACTGTATGGTTACATTCAGGCTTTCGTGGGAAAAATATAGCAGGCGTGCTAACCACCGCACCCCTGAAAACATCCAGGCGTGTGATGGTGTGTGACATTTTTTCACAAAACATTTTGGTAATTATGGTAGATCTACGGAGAAATGGCCAACACGAAAATGATGACAGCAAAAATTTCAATGAAATTTACTTCGCTGAATTCTTACCATGACTACTTACATTTTAGCAATTGAGCAATTTTCTAAACAAGTATAAACTGAGCTTATTTAATATATCCAGAAAAACGGCACTACAAGTATAGAAATATGTTTGCCATGTCGTAAGCAGTTTTCATTAGCTTCAATAATGAATCCTTAGCAGAATCATCGATGCTTTGGCGTTCATCTGGTTGTAATGGCAGTTTTTTCGTGTAAATCAGTGCATCGAGAGCCCTTTGTTATCAAACATGACAGCTATTTTGTGTACCTCACTGGCCAGATGCATAAAATATAATGATGGCCCAATTTTCATTAAATCAAATGTTGCTAAAATCTAGATTTAAAGCATAGCGATGTCTAAAGAGGGGGCTGTAGGGGGTAGCGAAATCCAGCAAATCCTCTGTTATTTTTTTCCGCATCATTGGCAAATCGGCTCCTTTTTATCGCATAATCGGCTACTTTCGTACATTAGCGATAGAAAATGAAAGTCTTGTTCAAAACACTTAATGTTTCATAATATTGGGATTCCACTGTAGATTAGTTCTATGATTATTTCAAAATTTTATATTTAATCGGCAATCCTGAAAAGGTGTTAAGCCTTTTTGAAGTGGCATGAAGTAATAGTACCAAGGAGGGATCAATTTATTAACTCATCTCAAAAACCCACAAAACCAATAATTATGAATTTTGCTCCGATAATAAAAGAAGGCGTGCGATGTTTTGCACTACTGGAAAGCAGCAGGCGTGCGCCGGGGCGTGCGCGTGCGATCGCACGCCTTTCCGACGAAAGCCTGACATTGTTCACAATTCAATAAACAGAAGCAACTTTGATGAAGCAGTTAAAACTTACTGGCATAAGAAATTTATTGTGAAACTCAAGCCTCCTAGCTCCCTGCTTTTACGGCCTTTGTATGAAATTGATATAGAAAGATACCAGTTGGTATGAGTCAAATGTGATATAAAATGATGCAATTGGATATGATTCACTTGTGACACAAATTAGTATTGATTTGATATTTAATGATACAAGTTGGTAATAGTCATATGACTGTGTGAATTGTAAGTATATCATCTCAGTTAGTTGAAAATGGTGAAATTTATCTTTAATGGCTTGGCTTTTGAAACAAAATGTACCGATGTGATCTGCTACCTTCCAGTCTTTATACTGTCACATTTGAAATAGGACTTTACAAAGAAACCTGAAAAATTATGTCTATTGTTTGCTATAATTGCAAAGCTGCAGTAATTGTGTTGCAAATTTACAAATATGTAAATTATTTTAATAACAACATAAAATGAAGCTGCCCTAAGAAATAAAAATTTAATTCAATTTGAGTTTTAAGTGTGAATGTCTTTGGGTAGTAAATTTTGGATTGGATCGGTAGTGGTAAAGGACAAAATGGTAAAGGACTGGTAAAGGACTTTTAGATCAAGTTGTTTTGTTACGTTTTGTTGTATGAACAACATCATCCCCCATAATTATTATTATTAATTATTTTCAAAGAGCAACGCAAGTCAGAGTTAAGGAAGGCTGAAAAGCAGATGGAAGATGCTTCATCCCTTGTAAGTTCCTATTTTTCTATATCAGATCTTCTATTGGCAAACCTTCTATAAGGCTACAGAAATTGGCAAACCATTTTTTGTTGGTACAAAATTTAAAAATGACTTTGAAAAATGCAAACATTTTATTATCAACTCAAACTTTTTGCTTAGCGCTCTTCAGAGTCTAGCACTTCAAAATGTCAAGTTAGAGGATATTTTTACCCAACTGTGGATCAAAATAGGCAAACCAGAATGGCAAGCATGTGACTGTTGAGGTTGCCCAGTCGATGTCGCTTGCCAATAGAAAAAACCAGAATTGGTCAGCCAATTTTGCTTTGCTATAAAATTTGAAATATATTTGTATCATTTACGTAGAAGCTTAAGATTTTTCTCTAGATTTCTCTATCATGAACTGTACTAGAACTAAAACAGGTAAAACAATTTGAAAATTGCAAAAAACATTTTTGCATTCCTGGAATTCCCTCTGCAGTAATATAACGACATGAAAGGATAAATCTTAGGCCATTATCACAATGGGAAAGATGAAATTTCTTGCCAAAAGTTGAGTACACTGTATGCTTTTGCTCTCGTTTAAGGCTGATCCAGAAGTGTTTGTTACTTTTTTCATTTAGCATTGTCATGCACTAACATATTTTTCATTACCTTCACTTGTTAGCCAAGTAAACATAATGGTAACAAGTTTCCAAATTCAATTTATCTTTAGCTTAACAACATGATGGAGGAAACCCATGGAGTTCCTGGTGCATATAGGACAAAGATGCTATCCACTATAAGATCATATAGATATCAGCTGGAAAATGTCAAAAAAGAAATAGTAAGTCTTTTTACATGTCATTTTATTATTTGAATCATAACTGCACCTTAGTAAACATTTTAAATTTTTGGCCAGAAGTTATACTGTTTTGTGATAACTACAATATAATCACAATAAATGGAACCCCTGATATATTTGTCTAGGTGCCTTTTGAGTGTGATGAGAGAATCACCCTTTGTTAAGTATTAAACTTTAGTTTAGATTTATGTTCCAACAGCGAAGAACATTGCTGATGTCTTTACAAAGCCAATTGCCAGTTTCAAGCTCAAGAAATTTATTGCAGTAATGATGGGAATATAAACTTGAACTATTTGATAACATCGCATTTTGTTGTTCTTCATATACTAGAATTTATAATTATATAATTACTACATAAAGTTTAAGTGGGGGTGTTAAGTATTAAACTTTAGTTTTTAATTATAGTCACAAAATTTTGTTGTTGTTAGGAGGGATGGGTCATGTAACTTTGTAACCCTGTGATCTTACCTATGTGTTCTTGTTATTTTTTTCGCTTGATATTTTAAAAATGGCGTTAAGTATCGCATATTTATTCCTCTACTAACTCGTTTATCCACCATGATGGCTAGTTCAACACCCTTAATCTGCTTCACTGCTATTATCATTACAGAAAGTAATTTTTAAATTTGCTTTGAGGAGCACAATCAGCCATGTTCCTGCTAGAATCTTATAGGAAAGGCCTGTATAGTCATTCCATGTCAAATCACCAAAGCCATGTCACCCACCATCTCAGACTTTGCTTATTTTCACATATTGATTCAACATGTTAGTATTAACCCCCTGGTATGAACAGCCTTTATGCTTGCATGTATGTTGAAAAATAAAAGTTCATCACACTGGAGATTGCTTACATTTTGACTGGTAAGGAGATTGCCAATTTTGTCAAATGGGATCATCTTTGTACCTTTCATAGGTTACTGACTTATATGTACCAGTATAACGTGGGTTTTAGACTGTAACTCATTGTAACTAAGCCTTTCCAACCAATAGTAACATTTTTATGCCACAAAGCACAGTAGGAATACATTGTTTTCATCGCACAGATCTCTGGAAAGCAAGATGCTGAGTTGTTAGTCAGGCTGCTTTGTCAAAGCATATTGTGTGTTATGTTTGTTGTCTATAATTGTTTGCAATATTTGGCAGTACTTTTGAAAGTGGAAAGTATTCGTTTTTCTTCTAGAATAAGGCCTCTGCGCAGACACCCAGTGGAAGGAGTGATCTGTTTGGAGATTTCTCTGATCCTTCTGTAAGTGATGGTTTAGTAAAATGATAATAAAGTTCTTTTTTAATATTTTATTTAAAGGCCAGTTAAAAATAATTCAATTAATTAGATTTGTACATACATTTATACTAGTCAGTTATAAAGTTTTCAATGCTTTACAGTCTTTTATGTGTTGAAGAGGAGAATTTTGAAGCTTAACACAATCAGCAGATATCTGTTCAGCCATATAATTGTTATGCAATTATACTTTTGTGACTATACACAGTAACTGTATGTTTGATATACTAGCCTAAAAAATGAATTGTTTCTGTGTCTTTACTACAGTTTTTAACATATTTGGCCTTCTGGGTTATTTAGGTTGCACACAAAAATCGTATGTTGGAAGGACTAGATAGTCTTCAGAAAAGTTCTGCGAGTGTTGAAAGATCACAGAGAATTGCTGCTGAAACTGGTAATCGTCTTTTGAAGTCAATAAACACTTGCATGTTGAGTCGAGTCATTTTTCGTTGTCTTGTTGGTTTGTACAGTCAAGAGCAGTTTGTACAGTCACTTGTTCTTTCAGCCACAATACCCTATCCCCCAAAGGTTGCCATATTGGATTTATCTCACTTTAAAAAGGGTTTCGTTTAAATATGCAAAGTACATTATAAAGTATTATTGACACCAGCCAAGTACTGAAGCCTTTGAGACTGGGGTAGGGGCAGGGGATTGGTGGGGTTTTTTTTACAAACGCTTTTTTAATCTGAAAAATATTATGTAGATTCTAAACGTTGGCTAAATCTTGTTAATTACATCTCTCTTTGCAGCAAGAAGCATCAGGTCGTTCAACCCTACTTCGCCTTTCTTGTTTGTGGCATAGCTTTTACTGTTGTTATTGAGCTGAACGACCGTTCATTTGTAGCAACAGATGGGTCTGCAGTGATGAGAAACCTGTAGAGTTTTGTTGCCAGCTTGACCATGCCGTACCTTTGCTCAGACTTTGAAGCAATCTCTGCAAATGCTGTGCAATTCATCTGTAGAGCTTCTTTTCTTCATCGCTTCATCTTCCCATTGTGACCAGCTGTACAGAGCACAGTTTATGACGTTCTGCTTTTTCCTATTGGCTTTCCTTGTTCTAGACCCCTCAGTCCTTCTTCTTTATACATTCTCATTGTCTGTTTTTGTAGAATCTTGAAAAATCTGCAGCTGGGTCGCTGCAAAGATGTTTTGAACCCAGTTTTCGAAAAGCAGTGCTTCGAAACAATTCTAGTATCAAACATGACCAATCTTCGAGCTACTGTTTAAATCAGCATCTGGGCTTTTTCTTAAATATAATAGCTCTCAATTAAGATTACATTATTTAGTTTAAGTAACTCTATAATTCGTAAAATTGAAATGCCCCTTTTCTCATTTAGACGAAGTTGGTGTACAGATCATAGGGGATTTGGAAGACCAGAGAGAATCTTTACTTCGCACACGTGACAAGGTAAGTGTGAGATAGTATGCCGTGGCAATGCCTCATATGCGCAGTGATGGTAGTTATTGAATGTTTTGGGGCCCTAGGGTGGTCTTCTGGTCTCCAGGCTTTTTATCATCGGAATGGTTGCTTTGAAAGAAATGCTCATTACAATAGTGTCTTCGTCAATCCCTCATTTCAAATTTCGATGATGCTACCTGTATTTGTGAACAAAACTTTTCACAATATTTTTTTAGTTTTGTACCCCCACCTACTTCCTCTAAGTGGTGTTCTGCTGTTTCGCTCTTCTTGTCGGAGAATCATAAACCTAGGCACCAAAAAATATAAAGTTTTCCCAATACTAATAAACATTTCATGTATTAGTAGATCTCCTGTTTATATATTTCACATAAATTTTGTGCAATAGTCAGCTATAGTACTTAATTTTACCCATAAATACTTTTTAAGCTGCACTCATTTCATCGATCTACGAAGAAAAAGAAATTCACATTCAACGAAACAGGGAAACTTGTTGGAAAATTCAAAAACGTGTTTGTGTCTCGATACAGTTTTGTTTGATTTATTGAATAAAAGTTGATTAAGTATTTTAGAATGCTTATTAAAGCATCTTGACTTAATTTAGATATTTCAGCGCTACTTCAAACTTGATCTGTTTTCATTAGATTTACGTCTTTGCCAGTGACCAATGTTTATAAACCTATTTTCAGGTTAAACAAGCTCACTCAGATCTTGGCAGAAGTCGAAGGATTCTCAACTCGATGGCAATCAGGTAGCTACCACCCCGTTTGGAAAGGGGGTGTTTATCACAAAATTTAAACGAACCAATAAAAGGGTAAAATTTAAGTGAATGCCCCAAATGTTTATTCGAAATTTAATTCTATGCAACATTTCTTTGATTGTCTCAAAGTTATGAGCTGGAAAAATAAGGATATGACGTTTTCATGTTTGACTTTCATTTTTAGGCTTGCAACAAACAAAGTCATCCTTGTGATCATAATTTTCCTCGAACTCATCATCCTTGGTGCAGTCGTTTATATTAGATTTTTTAAAAGTAAGAAGAAATGATTTATTCAATTCCAAGTCATCAGCATGAAGGTACATCAGCATGAAGTACATTTAGGTCAAGTAGCTCATTTTGAATACACAATTTCAACTTGATTTGTTTTCTAATGTCCTTGTGATAACAATTCTGATTTAGCTAGCAGTTGTTTGTCGCTAATTAATGTACGTTAACTTCTCTGGTTCTTACGCAACCAGCATGCTTTGCGACCATATTTTCAAAACAGGCCTAATAACATATTGCATGAAAATTCCAAAAACAGCCCATTTCTTCTCATGTAAGAAAACAGATGCCGCAAAGCTTGCCGGTTGCTCAAGTGCCTTTGATCAAATTCTTCCCCTCCAGTTAAGGGCATCGAATAAATGGAGGCGTTGAAAAAAGGGTGAGGGGGCCATTATTTTACTATACTACCGCTGCATTTGTCATTTAAGAGTATTTCAAGATAATTGGCCCTTAAGAGCCTTCTTAAAAAGCCTAGATTCGCTGGATCCATGTTGTTGTAATGGGTTTTAACTAATCTTATTTTTCTACGCTATCTCTTCACGGAAACCTTGATACTTACCAACTATATTCCACAGTTAACTACTAGTGCTGTACCTTGGCAAAAAGAGGCGTATACTCTAGAGCTAAGGTATACTAGTATTTTTTGTTGATGGTTTCAAGGTGTAAGATGATATATGTTTATAAAAGTGCTACACATTTAGAAGGCTAGTCTTCAACTATCAACATATGGCTATATTTCTATTGAATCATAGTGTCTTTTAATGATTCTACAGCAATGTTTTGCCTCGACAGCATTTGTATTGCTCAAGAGGAACTTTCGTCGTGCTTGTTGCAGCGGTCAATAGAAATTTATGTAAGAATTGTGCTTATCGAAAGCCTGAAACCTCTCTAGGGTGGCGGACCCCTTTTTGAATGATTCTCTTGCTGTGTGGTCTGCCATAATATGTTTAAAAAATGTAACTTTTGGCGGGAAAATTCTAATATCGTGGAGCCTTAAACTCAGTTTGTTATGAAAGTTTCTCATACCAACACCGATTAATCAGCTCCTAAATTGTAGATTGTGTTCTGAAACTTTGAAGGAAGTGGAAGAATTTTGCTAAATAATATACATTTTTGTCAAGTGGAAAAATTTGTAGCTCAAGATTTACCCATCCCTTTTGAAAATTTGTTTTTTTTTACTTTTTTTGAGTAGAGAGTTACTTATCTCGACATGAAGTGGTCAGCCACAAGGTTATTGCATGCCACTAGCAGCATAACATTGTGGTTCGTATGTTTGCCTCACAGATTCATATCATGATATTGATCGTCACCTCTTGATTATTAAAGGAAATCAGCTACGTACTCATCACATTAAATTGACTTATGTTAAATATTTTGAATCTTTGCAATTTAGTTGTAATGAATGCAAAAGCAGATTTGTTGATAGTAAAAATATTCGTATTGTTCACTTGATATTTCTTCTTTGTTGCTGATCTCTTTGATTTTCGAAACATTTTGTCTGTACTTCTGAAAAGAGACCCATGTAACCTGCAAGCCATTTGATTTTTCTTTGTAAACACAAAGTCTCTTTCTGGTAAGCCGTAATTGTAATTATTCTAGCAGAGTCAGGAAAACATCACGGTCGCACGGCCACTGACCGGAGGAAGGTCCACAAAAAACAATAGAAGCTCCTAGGACACACCCAAGCCACGCCCACTTTCTATTGTTTTGTTAGGAAGGTTTGCCTTCGGGGATGTTTTTTCCGGAAGAAGGTTAACAACTTTTCTTGACTCTGTGTTATAGAAGAGGAAATGATTCAGTTTATAAGAGTGGCCATAACATAGCATCACATCTTTGTTAGGTTTTACGTAGCACGACAGTCAGCGCAAGTACATAAAACTTAGGATAGATCACCCTTGTACTTAACGACAACAGGTAATTCCTCTCTAAAATCTAAAAATTACTTGCCATATTTTGCAAGGATCTAGAAAATAGCCACTGCTAATTTTAATTTTGAGACGTGATAAAATGTATATCGAAAATACTTGTCGTTGTGTACGCATTATTGCTGAGCAAATATAGATTTTCGCTTTGATCAGCAGATTACAATAGCATTTCTCTGTTAAAACCACTCAAGTAAGATAAAAAGGTTATGAAATATTGTAACCCGTTGAAGATTTGCAATTATAGAACCGGGAAACTGAATATGCAGAGGAACAGTGAACCTAGCCTAGGCCGACTGATTTTCGAATCGTTTTAAACCTAAAGCGTTATGTTTTTGAATAGTAATTTACAATTTCAGAACAGAACAGCTAGCCTGAACTTTCATTTATTGGTTCTTTTGAAAAAGTATGTATGGCAATAACAGATAACAGAATTAAATTAAAATGGTCATAGGAAAAAAAGCGAATTTAAACGATGTTTGAGCATAGCCCGTTATCAAGTCAAACAAAGTCTCAACCCAGTTCAAACTCACTACCTCTAGATATTAGAAGGGTGTTACAAACATTTCCTTGTTGCCTTTGAAGCTGTGACTTAGTGACAGTGATTACGCCCTTGCATTTTCTTTCTTTTAATAAAATGCTTTCTAGACTAAGATGGCCTCTAACCTTTTTAAATCCACATTTGGTTCATATCGTCTGAGAATTTAGAAAGGTGTTCCAGTGCAAAAGTGTTCCGCAGATTGACGCAAGCATATTGAAATTAACCTTAGCTACTAAAGCCCTGTGACAAGAACATAAACTAACCAAGGCTAGCCTTGATTGAGTAAACCCTTTGTGGCCTCGACCAGTGTCGTGAAATTGTAGTACAGAAAGAAACCTGGGGCCAGTACTGTAGGAAGCATAGAATTATTGGAAGAGCATAATTTTTAAAACAATAGTATGAGAACAAAATGTGTACTGAAAACAGCAGATTTTCATGATTTATAGGGCACAATGCCTCTTAAGACAAAAACAGTTTCGGCCCTGCATGGGGGGACTTGCATTATCGAACGCAGTACCCAGGCTCATCAGTTGAAAGAAAAAAAAATTTTAAATTGACAACTGTTCATTCTTTGGTCATGTCTACACAGATCTCTAAACTATTTCTGCCTGAAAAAATCGATTAGTGCGTTCTCAACTTAGCTTGATGTAATTTTGCAGCCCTTCTCTTACAAAATGCATGGAAAAGTCCATAGTAATTACCTGGAGCGCAAAAAGGAACAAATACTAAATACAATTAGATGATGCTGAAGAAAGTATCCACCAGTATTGAACTTTTAGAATCCCTTACCAATACATTTTCAGTTATGATGACGATGCTGTCAATTCTTTTACTCAAGACATTATTGTTTATGTACGATCAAGGGCATAATCTGTAACAGTTGTTATCTGCCATGTGATCGGCACATGACGTCACTTAGAGTACTAGATCCCAGACCTTTGTTTTCGCGGGAGTTCGTGGGATGGTAAATGGCGGACGTGGTTAGCTGTGCGTCTGTCAGACTTTCAAAATGGTGTGCTCGTGAAATTATGATTATGAATTTTGCTCCTTGAAATCAGTCGTCGAAAGACAATTATTGTTATGGATCCAGATTGCTGTTCGGTTCTTTATGAGCTAGCTGAGAAATGTGAGTGCGATTAAACAACTTTATTTCTTGTTGTTTATTGGAACGACTGTCCTAAAAACGAAAGATGATCAAGACTTGAAATGTAACTTACATATCGTAATATTGGGGGTTTCATAATATTAAGGGAACGAATTGTCGCTAATGAATATTTGTTTCCCAAATAGAAAATGTTCAGATGAACGTCTGCATTTATAACCATGGTGAATTATGAATATCACCAACAAAGCAATCCTTCATTCTCCAAGCTAATTCTCTCCGCCTCACTAGAGACTGAAAGAGCGACGAAAACGGTCGAATGTCATCATCAAACTGTCTAATAAATTGAACAAATGGTGGAAAATTTCGGTTCTTCATCAATCCGTTGACATATTGAGTTCAACGCACTGAAATCGGTCAGCTAATTTAGATTAGGAAGCAAGATATCAGACGTCTCGCATGAAGCATATTTTAATTTGTCGAATTTCTTCCTAAAAAGCTGTTTACATAATCAAGGGCAGCCATTTGGTTGAAATTGTGAAAAGAATTGGTCTGTGTTTTGGTCAGCTCATCAAAAGTTTGTCTCACAATTAGATTAAATGGCTTTAAGAGCAAAAGAGGGCTTGTAGTCAATTGTAAAATGACCAAAAAGTGAATCATCATCATCATGATTGTAGCCCTTGGAGGGGCAGTTGGTGCATTCATGTATGAACATCTGTCTTTCATCTAATTCTGTCTTCAGTTCTTTCTTGATGTTTCTGTTAAGCCCAGGCAATTGTCTAATATCATTGCTCCAAGTTCTTATGGGTCTTCCCACTTCTCTGCTTCCTTCTACTTGCCAGACATAATGGACTTACAGGTGGCTTCTTTTTCCTGATGATGTGCCCAAACCATTTTGATAAAAATCAGAAAAACACAAGCATAAGACCAGAGTAGTTGTCCACTCAGCGCCGCATGCCTAAAGAATAAATTACCACTGGAGTCCAAGAGAAAAAATGAACTTCTTCTGTCTACATAATATTGTGCCACTTTTTAGCCACTTTTTTGTTTATGGACACTGGGGGGAAAAATGCGCATGATGATTTTGGGAGTAAAAAATGTGCATCCATTTCTACAGCACTGTGGAGGAGTAACCAACAGTTTGAGATATGGCATGATAAACCAAACCTTTGATGATAGTTTCACTGAATACCAAATTCAAAAAGAGTGCGCTTTTGTTTTTCCTTGTGTACTTGAAAAGCAGGAGCTCCAGTTTCTAATGATATCAGGTTTTCCATGACAAGGGTAAACTTTTCAATTTCTCAGCTCATTGACTGCATTCCAAAGGTATTATCACAGCATTACATTACTTCATTGTTGAGGTCATTGCCCATAAACAGATGTTGTTGCTCCTCCCAAGTGGCATGTTTAGAGGGGCCTGCGTGTTTTTTAACAGCAGAATTTCATAACTGAGGGGGAAAAATGCCCACCATAAAATTATGTTTTTCCTTAAAAAAAGAGACTGTCTATTCTTATAATAAGTTGCATAGGCAAGACTAAATTGAAACTCTACAACCATATGGATTTAGGAAGATTTTGGATATATTCTATTCATAAAACCCAGTTTTTTAATGAAGGGGCAAGTTATTACTTTCTAAAGGACCCCAACTCTTTAGAGCCCCCTTAGAGCGATTTACCTTTCTAAATATTCCTTTAAAAATTCAGATCGAAAGACGACTTTCATGGAATATATTAATGAGTTACTTAATTAATGATTCAATTTGATTTCGTTATGGCAATTGAACAGAAGGGGGAAAACAGAAGAGAGTAGCCAAAATAAAGAAAAAAACCAGGTAATCTCTTATGAAGAAGATATTTCCGAGAGATCAATGGATTCTAACAGTGATATAAAATAGGTAAACAATGGGGGGAAAGTTGAAGAAATTCAGGAAGCCAGAAAGCTGAGGTGATGAGAAGAAGGATCTTGTCTATAGTGTGTACTACAGGGACCAGTTTTATTGAGAAAAGGTACAGAAAGACATGGTCACAGATCTCAACTAAAATTGGTAACACAGTGGAGATAAACTACCTCCAAGGATTTTGGGATTTTCCTAAGATACTTGATAAGGAAATCGTTGATTTTAAGTACCTGTTCCTGGGAGCTTGTAATTCAACGAAGCTCTGCACAATCATGTTTCAGTACAATACGGAAACATGACCTCTGTGGACGTTGAATCTATTGTTATTGGACATATTTATACTGTATTGACCGATCTATTCTTTTTGTAATAATGATGTATTTTAATTTAGAAATCATTTAAAACAAGTATTAACCAATTTATTGAATCAAATTAAATTTCTTTGGTAATTGAGAGGTGCACAGTTTTTGCCACATGTGTGCATTTTTCCCCTTTTGTGGTTGAATAATGCGCAGCAGATTTTCATTCTTAAAAAATAATCCCTTTATGAATGGATGGCCATTTATGGTTGTTAATGGAACATATCTGGGCTACTTTGTAACTATACAAACATTTTTCCAAAAGGTGTGAATTGTGCAGGAGGAAGGGAAAATATTTAAAAATCTGCCAATTATCTGAAACATGTCCTCATTATAGAGTTTTGCACAATCTGGGCTGTCTAAAAGGTGTTGTCCGATGTCAGAATCAATTTTGATTATAGAAACCTCAATTTCTGCTACAGGTGATGATAAGGCAATGCACTAATTGGAACCTCTTCAGCATAATAGTATTTCAAGTTTTGAAATACCATTTTTCTGCCTAAGGAGACCATTTATACACCTACAGTATCCTATATCATGTTACAACGATCTTTTATTTTAAAGAATATCTATTGTAGAAAGACTCTTTTTTGAAAAGCTTTGGTTAGTATGATATCAATAAGACATATTATTGAAATTTTGGTCATGTTTAGCATGTCTAGCTTGAAATCTAGATTTGTCGCTGCTCCAATTTTCTTTTTCACTCATTTTCTTAAACAAAGCCATAAAAGGAGTTTTTGACATTTTGGTCAATATTTCTTGTTATACAGACTGCAAATTGTGGTTTTAGGTAATAAAGAAGGAGAGCAATTTGAAGATGATGACTGGATCCGATTTGCAGATTTTACCCTCAATTCAAGGTAGGATATCTTGAAGAATATTAGCAGTAGCCCCATGGTTAAAATGTAGAACCAATCAAATGCATCATACTTCTTCCTGTGTTTCTTTTTATCTGATCTAGATATGAAATTCTGCAATACACTGAATTATAATAATCTACCTACAAACAATCAAGAGGAAGTCTAAAAGTTTACTTTAAAGTAAATTTTGAATAAATATTCAAAACAATAGGACTTACATATGAAACCTAATCATCTGAAGTTCATTTCATATTTCAAATTTGTCAAATTTCATTCATTTCAAACAACAAGAAATGCAAGTTAAAGTTTAGATTCATATACATGAAGAGATATCATTACAAAACTAAATCTTAATCAATGAGAATAGTTGCTACAGTAATATAATTGCCAATGTAATTGCTAATATAAAAACAGTTGCAATAACTTGCTATATTACTTTGACTTGTTGTTTAGGACCCTTAGAAAATAATAAATAATAATAAAGGCATTTATATTGCGCCATTTTTCCATGCGGCTCAAAGGCGCATTACATAATGTTCATAAAACTAAATAGAATGATATAATATACAGTACTACAGTTCATAAAATTTTCGTATAATAAATAAAATCTAATTAAAATATTCTTGAAAAAGAACTCTGCCAATGTAATTAGCCTTGTTAAGCAGTGCTAATTAAAAAATTTAAGATTAAGAACATTAACAACAGCAAAATGATTGAAAGCATAAAAATGAAAAGGCATGTCAAAATGAAAAAAAGTACAAATTGCAATTGTTATATGTATATTTGTTGGCAAGGGGGCAATAAAGTGGGGAAAAAGAGAGGTCTGTTTCCCTAATTTGTCAGGATGTTAATATGATCAGCATCAATTACAACCAGTCATTTAGTTGCAAAAGTATGTTTTGATAGGGCTTGCCTAATTTCAATAGCTGTTTTATTCCAAATTTTGACTCCCATTACAGATATGATTTTGATTTATAATTAGTTCTTGCAGTCGGTTGGGCAAAGTTCCCAGATGAGCCTGTCGTATGTTCACTGTATGTGTATATTTGATTGGCTTAAATTGTGTCTGCCATGTTGTTATTTGTTGCTTGATGCATAAATTTGGAGATTCAAAGTCAGCGATACTTAATTGTTTAAGGAGAGGTTTGCTAAAGGATTTCCGAACAGAAAGTATTTAAGTTTGCTAAAGTTATACTTTCCTGTTCTATCTTCAAATTGAAAAATGATGCCATTCGCAATTCATTTGCCATTGACTAAATTGAGTAGCTCTTAATTTATGCTACAAAATTGAATGCAAGAAGGGTTTTTTTCTTAATGAATTATTAATTTTGGGAAATATTATTCTTTAATCTGATAAGACAGTTAAAAACAGAACATTGTTCTTCTATATTTTCAGTTTTAAGGTTCTATAATTGCAAATTCTTAACAGTCTACAATATTTGATTTCTTTTTTGAGTGGTTCTAACAGGAAAATGCTATTTAAAGACAGTGTGTTTCACCTGACCCTAGTAATTTCAACTGTAGTTTAATAAATCAAAGCCAGTCTCATATTCAATCCATTTAATCCTGTGTATATATATTTTAGCAAATGGTGCTTTAAAAATTTAAGTTAGTTATCATGATCTGTTTGTTTAATTTCAGTTTCTTTATTTCACAGGCAATGCAAATGCCAATCACCTGAAGAAATAGTCGAAGAAAATATTGAAAAGTTGACCAATTTGTACATAAAATTCTGTATTGAGCTGATAAATAAAGTTTCAAATGGACTTCTTAAACAACGAGGAAATTCTGGGATATTGGGTGAACTGGACCAGTTTTTTCAAGCCCTTGTAAAATTGTTCCAAGTTCATTTTTATCTAACAGATAGAGGAAAGAAGCTGCAGGTTAGTGAATTTTTATATTTTCAATTTATCTTTTGATATTATGAATAAAAAATGCTGAAATGACACCCAGATTAGTCTTTTTATAAGCCTCTTTACACCTGCCTTTAATGGCATTCATTTTTATGACGTAGTATTTAATGGCTTGTGTAAAATAAGGTTGTGTTAAAAAAGCAAAATTTTTGTAAGTTTTCACCAAAAGCATTTTCCTAAACCCTTATGTTTGCAAGTACCAACCAATGCTTGTCTATTTTTTTAAAAACATAGCTAATTTGAGGGTGAAGCTTGCTGTCCATTAGTGATTGTAAAACTTTCTTAATATCAAACAGTAAAAAAGACCTATAACCGTTCATCTTTAATATTGTTTCCTATCCCAAGTAGATAATTTGCATACAAGTTCGCTTATTCCTAATTTTCTGAAGGAAAAAATTACTGAGAAAAAACTTCTAATTTTTGTGTTTGCAATATCTTAAAGCAATTCTAATTTTTAATGGTTGCACTTCAATTTTTGCCTACTCTTTTGCCCAATGGAGACTGCGTTAATGTTGGTATAATACTCATTGGGCTTCCCCCCCTCTGCTACTTTGATAGTACTAATAAAAGTAGAGCAAAATTGTAATTTGCATATGTAGATGGTGTTGGTTTTTATTTGCCATATAACAAGGCTATAAAGTGTCATGTCCCAAATGTTTATCAATAAGATATTGTAAATTGAAACCATAATTTCTTTTCTTTATCTATTCTGAATATGTTTCATCATTCCGAGTCAAACTATCAAACATTTAATAACTACAAATTTTTAAACTTTTAATGAAATGTTTCTCCCATTTTCACAAACTGTAAGAAAATTCTGTTGAGATTGGCTTTTTGCTTTGGCATGGAGTTAGTGCTTTTCTTCTTCTGTACTTTTGAAAAGTTTTCTGTCAACCCTAAATAAGTTGTAAACCAAAATTTTCTGTAAATTTTAAACCAATTTATGATTTAAGACCTCCTGTCACAAACTTGTGGGAAAATGCGTTTGAGATTGGTTTTCTGCTTTGGCACTGAGTTTCTGTTTTTCTTCTTCTGTACTTTTGAAAAGTTTTCTGTCATCCTTAAATAAGTTGTAAACCAAAAAATGTTCTGTAAATTTTAAACCAATTTATGATTTAAGACCTCCTGTCAGTAGATGTGCAAGATACATATTTGCTTCCAATCTATAAATCTGATCATTGTTTTCCCCGTGAAACATATTTTTCTTCAAGTAATGATGAATTTGTAATACTCTTTTTTCCCGATTTTTTACTTCCTTTTTTGGCACTTGGCTTTGGATTTCAATTGCCCAGTCTTTTCAAACCTCTAATGTTTTTTTTGGTTAATTCCTTGCTGATGAAATAATGTATTCAAAATGTGAAGTTTGTTGAATTGAGTCAGTGTAAAACTAATTAACCAGGACTTAAGTTTGAATATTGCGATCTTCATGCATTGCCTCCAATCAACCTTTATGTATATTAATTACATTAAAATCAACCACTTTATACATTTAATTATGCATTTTACCAATATGAATATTTTTTAGGGTTTATTGTCTGTCAAACACAGTTTTGTATGGACATATTGTGATATTGCTGTGAGTATTTCTGCAAATTTACCTGATTTTTTATTAAAATGTTTCTGTCTATAATATATTCAATTACACTTGTTTGTAATTAGTTCTTGTCTGCTTTGATGTGATGATGCAAGGTTGGCTCAGTAGTTAGGGTTGCAGACTACAAATCCAAGGTTCTAGGGTTTGCGTTCTTGATGTGAAAAACTTTTACCAAGAGTGAGGGTGTCACACCGAGAGACCAAGACATTGCTGAATGAGTATAGCTTCTCATTGTCCCAAAACTACCTTCTGATGCTCAGTAGAAGCAAATATTATCATGAAAAGATTTATCCTGCCTGTAACACATCACACAATTTTTAGTTCATGTTATTCAATAAATTTTAACCTAATGTGTATTCCTGTACATCTATGTATTTTTCTATACATACAACTTAACTTTCTGTTTTTTATATGAATTATTTATTTATTTTGGTTCTCTTGTATTCTGGATATGTTGAATTGAAATTTAATAGTGTATGTATGATGCGGAATTGAAAACAAACCTGAACTAAACTGAACTGAACTGAAAGTAGATTTTGCCAATGGTTTTGCCCATCAGAAGTGAAAGCAATAGGCAATTTAGCCCATATAACAGCCAATGACTGAAACAAGTCTAAATAGTGACAAAGATCGAAATATTTATCAATTTTTTTCATTGTAGTTTGTGAATAAGACTTATGCTTTTATGCTTGGCTCCAGCTTGACCTAATATTGCTACTAGTAAAAGCTCTTATTCGACCCTCTTAATCAGTTGTGAGGGGACAAGTCTGATGTGGAAACAATACTTTATAATAGATTAGTGTGTACTTGTCTGACGAAATTTCTAAGTACCTGAAAAACAGCATGAGATGTACAAGAGATGTAGTTCTGTGAAAGAACTCTCATGCAAATCTTTTTAGAAAGATCAAAAGCAAAGGAGAAATTGGCTCTTATTGGTATTAACACAGGGCTTAGCCTCCGTGAGCCTGTTATCACCACCTCCCTGGTTGTTACCTAAGGATAGGAATTATGTTTACATAGAGTCGTGACATCTGTAGTAGCAAAATATGATATAACTATTATTTTCATTTATGACATACAGGAATTTGTCAATATTACTTGAATTGAATATTGTTCCTTTTTAGAATGAAGAAGCTCCGGCACAGATGCTTGAGAATGTCGCCTTCTTTTGCGAGCACGGTGGCTTGGACGCAATCAAGGACTGTTTTCATTCTGATGAAAGTAGCATGCCGATATCTCTTGCAAGCTGCCTGATCAGCATTATTGCACAGGTATGGCAATATCATTTACCAGATCGAAAAATTCAAATGCACCGCCTTAGGGCTGTTCATTAATTTTATGAATTGGCAAGCAAGCGCTATCATATATCTGTGATCCAGCTGGTCAGTTAAAAAATAATTTATCATTCATCAAACAACCAATCAATTTGTGGTCTGCACGAATCAGGATTGTTAAAATAAATCTATGTTTCTAGTTCGCATTATTCTTGTTCAAGACGCCGTGGAGCGTTGAGGAAAGTGGGAGTGGAGGGGGGCTAAAGTGGAGGGGGGCTAAAGCCAAATAAAAAGAGGCTTTACTGGTGGTTCATTTCTTAATATTTTGCATTTTTTGAATTTTTTGCTAAAGCCCATACAGCCCCCTCCTGCTCCGCGGTGCCTGCCCCCCACACACAGCCCCCCTCCAATCAAGGTAAAACTTTGGCTCATAATTTAGTTCTGGCATCTCGCAAATTCATTTAATTATTTATTAAACTTTCTATGACATGTTACAGAAATCAAATTTCTTTGAGCATCAGAAATAGCTTGACATTAGTGCGGTTGAAATCAACATCTAATTGTCAAGGGGGCTATTATTTTCTTTCATGTTTAAGCGCGAACATTACCAGGGGATTCGCGGCACCTTTTTGCAAAACAATTGATTTGTTCGCAAAACTTTCTTACGAGTCTTTAATTTGCCCATTACCCTAGAATTTCCAACTTGGATCAGGCCCCTGTGTCGTTAACAGTTCCAACAAAAAGGGAAAACATATTGCTTTCTTCCTTGTCAAACAAGGACAAACAATATGCATATTGTTTTCCCTTTATCAAAAGAAGGGCTGATAAAATCGAGTTTTTGCGACGCCTTTCTACTCTATCCATACAATACCACTCTCGAATGACACATTTGATGATTTTTTTCATGGATTTCGCGCATAGTATGGAATTGTTTGGAATAATTTCCTGTATTTTTAATATTCATGAAATCACATCGAGCAGACCATACACATATTCTCCACATCTGCAGTGCAAATAGTGTTTCGTAGAAAATCGAAGAAGTCAGTTTTGCTGCAGTAATCTTGTAATATGCTATACACAAGAAGCAATTGTATAGAAACAGCCTTCTCGTCAATATGAGAGATATTTTTCAATGAAAATTTTTACAAGTCGCAACTTCCATCACCTAACTCACTCTTTGGAGCGACCCCTTTGTTAGGCATCACACCAGCAGGCTAGAACTGTACCCCAGCCTTAATTTTAATTTCATTGCCCCCCTACCCTAGGCAAAGAGTCGTAAAGCTTCACCTTTTTTCTTTTTTCCATCACAATTTGTTACGTAATGAATAAGAATTCATTGCAAAAAATAATCTTTCACTCATCGCGAAGCTAAAGTTTAGAATAACTTTAATCAGAAGCAGAAGAGACTAAAAACTTTCTCGGATCTCTATCAAGAAGATCCTTGATCCTTGTGAAGATCATGTGAAGAGAAGATTAGTTCCTTGTGTTTGTTTTTTCTGTTTCTTTTCTTTTCTTTATTTTGCATAAGATTTTTATTATTCATTAAATTAAGATGATATTCTTAGTAGGTTTTGGTTCTTTTATTCTTTCACATGGCTAATTGTAAAGTACCAACATCAACTTTTTTTTGGTCACCGACTTCTCGGTTTCTTTACTACTGTAACACTCTCGAGAAATCTTTTTTGATTTCCTGCAGCCATTGTGTAGCTGCATCTATCTTGGTCAACATTTTTTTAAAATTGAAGACCACTTCCCCGTAAATATTTTATAGCGACTCGCCTCTCATTTGACAATTTTGCTTCCTTTGGCATGGTCTACATTTTTATAAACAAAAATGTCTTTGCGTAATTTAAACATTTCTAACTACGTTTTCTATGGCGTCAGGAAAATTTGCAAACTTTTCCCGCCGAAATTTGCTACAAAATACGCCTATTTCACCCAGTTCTTGCATTCAAATGTTTTGTATTGCCAATAAGTTGACAAAAAGTGCCGCCATTTTGAACAAGGTCGTGTAATACTTTTGATACCCTGTAGTGTATTAACAGGCAGAGAAAAGTAATTTAATTGTTTTGATAAAATTTCTAAAATAATTTGATATATATCTAAACTTCGATAAAAGGAGCTGAGTTGCGTGTTGTCTTGTCGGGCTAAGGTTAAATTTTCCTGGAACCAATCGATTTATGGATCATACGAAGACATAAGGTCTTTAAGACTTGCAGTTTTAATTTTATTTCACGTTATTACCTTATTTTACCTGTTCACGTTTTGAAAGAGTTTTATGAGACTCCTTAAACCATTTTGCCAGCAATGCTCTAGATTTGTGCTAGAAGCATCGATAAGATTCAAGTTTTAAGTGCTTAAATCTTGGGTTTTTTTAAAAACTTAAGCTAGCGCCATATCAAGCTCGTCTTTGCAGTGTAGAAATTATGCAACAGCTTCATTTGAATTCAATCAGGCTTCTCCATCTGTGGATGAAAGGCAAACACAAGTTTAACTGCATTTAATCATTCTAACTTGAACTGTTGCTTAAATCTTTAGTCCAAAACAGGTCTTAGATTTTCAGTAACACAGTAAATTAAGTCCAGAATTTTTTAAATGATTAGAGCAATCTTGACGTAGATGTTACCCGATTTCGAGAATATTCTGTTTATGAACCTGTGATTCCTTTTTTGGAGATGTTTTTCTGACTTTAAATAGATAGTAACAGAACAAAATTGATTTTAATTTTCTCGCTACTTGACACAAGTCGGTGTTCAAAAAGTGGATTTCAAAATATGCCTACTAAGTCTGATAAATAGTAGCCGAGATAATTGTCCTTTCCCTTCAAAGGCAAGTTTTTTGCTATCTTTTATTTATTATCTCATTTATATTTAATTACATCTTGTTGAACTTAACAACAGCTGGTTTCAAGTTCTTTGAATTAACTTGCCGAGACTTTGGCTAGCCTTTTTGATAGCTGTGACGTCTTTTTTTGCTAAATTGAGCCACTTCACCGTCGTTTAGCTGTTAAACATTTGGCTAACTGCTCTGAATTTCCAATGTTTGCATAGAGCTCTTACTCACAATGACTCGCTCTGTATGCTGCCAAACAGGGGCTCTGGTGTATTGGAATAACACTTGGAAAGTCATTTCTTCATCTAGGGGTCTATCTTCATTGCACTGATCCGGATTTCATGTGCTTGCATTGACCGAAAGGCAATATTGCAATCTCTTTGTATTAGTGTGACATTGTCAACAGTTCGTGTATGATAACCTTTGTGTATGATTTCGTCTTCTGTATCTTCAGTATCAAATTATTAAATTTTCTTATTTCATTATTATTTTCTTGCTAAATCTTATAATATGACATTGTTTATGTTAAGTGATTCCTTCATGATGACAAGACTTGAGTTTAAATTAATTTGAATAAAATATCACCAATCTTTGCGGTTAATCTATGACACTTTTTCCGTTGTACAGATTTTCATTTCAAGATTCATCAATGGTATATTTAACTGCATTTTCAAACTTTGATTTTCTTCAATAAACCATTTAATTGTTTTTGTAGTTGCGAGTTTGGTTTAGCAGAGATGCTATAAGGAAGTTTATCAAGTCTATAGCTGCGCCTGTTCTGAGGTAATATTTTACCGTTTGGTTGATGCCTGATGTAATGTTGATGCCTGATGTTGATGCCTGAAACGAAGTTCAACTTTATGTTATCGATTTCACACGATTTGTTGTCAAGTGTTTTTGGACTTGATGGCCTGGTCAATTCGTTAAGGTTTTCATGCATATATTGCTGAGTAGCTTTTGTTAGACTTGGTCAATTTGCACTTTGAACAAAAATAATTTAGTTATTGAGAATAATAGATTTAATATTTTTCATTCAAATTTATTTTGAAAATTAAGTAATTAGAATCATAGCTGATTATATTCTGGTTGCTTTGATTATTTTTTAAAATTTTTGAATCTTTTTATGATAATGTCTGATGAAATTTGCTTAAGCCTCTCTTTGTTTTCTTATTAGTTTGATTAACTTCTAGTTTTGATTTTTTATGATTAGAAATATTATTAATTGAATCGAAGAATGAAAACGAACTTTTTCTATCTACACGTTTACATGTTTACAGTAGCTTTAAATGTTTATGTAGACGAATTCTAAAACAGCTAGATGTGACAACGACCAGGCTTTGTAAATTATCACAAGCATTTTACCTTTATACTTTTTAGCACGATCTGGATTTTCTGTTAAATGTGCTGTTCTCTCAGGGGGAGGGTCCTGTTTTTATGTTATTAAGAACGTGCTGTTTTTTCTGTTTTCCAATCTTTGGGTTCTGCGTCCCAACTAGCCAGATTAAGTCTTGCACATTTTCCAACTTAAAATTCGGAAATTACTCTGATGTGTCATACTCCAGGAAATGTCAGACGATAACTCTTAGTATTTCTTCGAATTTTTTGCTTTTTTCAAAGCCTGTTTCATTTTATGTTCCGCCGAAAGTTGTTTGCAGATCCGAGAATTGCCTGTCGGGAATTATAGACCTTGTCGCTACTGCCTTTCCATCTGCGGGTCAATGCATGGCTAGGTCTTTCTACATACATTGAATTTGTTTCTTTTTAGGTATCTCTGCAGCCTGTCAGAAGAAGAAATAAGAATGCCAAACACGCGTGCAATGGCAGATCTTATGCTGAGCACAATCAAAGTCGATTCGGAAAATGAATCACGCCTTGAGAGGTTCGTAAGAATTTTTTTCTAATTTTTGTTTTAGCTTAAAGGTAATGTGTCCATATAAAAGGACTGCGTATACTTAACTTGTCAAGCCACCCATCAAAATAACAGTTTGCGATTGGTTAGTATTCTTGCAATGCAAAACTGCTCACATGAAAAGCTGACCTCGCAGCAGGATAAATAAACAGAACGACCGTAATGACTGGGGCGATGACATGAAAAATCACATGTTTCTAAAAACCCCCGCAGAGTCGCTTGCTATAGCTGGACACATTACCTTTAAGTTTACTGTAGTTTCTGCTAACAAAAGCTGTCTTCGACGCATTAATTGTTCAAAAGTTTCATGGTCGGTGACGAAACGCAAATTTAAAAGCTAAATCTTATAGGGAAAGTTCGCCAAATGGTGTAAATCTAGCAATTGCGCTGAAAGAATTTCTAGCATCGCACATTTGAAATTCAGCTATGAAAAAAAGATAAGCCTATGAGTAGTCATTGCCAAAAACGTACCAGGTTCTTAATGAAAAAAGTAAGCTGCATCTTCTACTAGGGCTCCTCATTAAACGACATCAACAACATACTCAAAACCTTGACAACAACAGCCTTAGTTTTAAGACAACAAGGAAAATCGTATTTGCTGTAGATACAGCGTAAGAAGTACGTAAGATAACATTTAATGAAAATTGCTGTTTGCTTGGCTTACAAAAAACATTTATCTTCTTGTAAGCTTTATAAAATTATGAATCATTATTTCCATAAAGCTCACAGTTTTCAGCAACAAAAACTTTTCGAGACTCTTAGGTAATGGAAGTAACAATGATTAAACTTGGTTTCCCATCATCATAATCTTTTTTGCTATCGGTCTTTCTGATAAAAATTTAACTATTTGCTATTCATTTTTCCATTGCTTGCTTGCAGAAACTCCCTCGAGCTATCATTTACATATTTCATGTCGTCGACTCTCACGGTTCGAATGGAAGGGCTCAATCAAATTACGGTAATTCAAGTGTTTATTTGTTGGAAATCGTAAAGCCCTTGTCCAATTTCTAATAGCCAATATCACCTTCTCATTGTTGCTTCTTAAAAGATGACTGCAACAACTCTGCGATTATTTCTTTTTGTACCTCTTTTTGTAGTTTGCGTCACTTTTGTGAGAATGGATTGCCCCTGACGCCTTATGTATAAATTGCATAATATAAAAGCAAAGGCTCAATATAAGAAGCGATGTAAACCATGTATCTCACAAATAGCGAATTTCCTTTTGGTCAAGAAGTGCGATAACCAAGTTGCGATTCACTGTTAGTGCTTTTGTTAAAGTATTGTCTGCTAGTTTTTGTTGACATTGGACCCTTTGGCAAGCACGTTTCGGGCTCTTATGTAGCGCCAGATAATGACTAGAGACAAATTCAATTGCGACACAAATGGAGCTCACTTCGTGCACATATGGGGACCTGGATTTGTCTAGCTTTATATTTTCAAATAATGCATAGATTTATCTTTCGAAGTCTCTTGATTATTTACAAAAAGGTGATTTTTTTAAGGAGAACCACTTTTTAGACCCCTGTGGGGTTTTTTAGCAGCGTTAGCTCGTTAGCAAAAATGACAAATGAATAGACAAAGGTCGGTTTCTGGTCAATGTTGCGATTATTTCGATCAAAATTGTTTGCTTTGTACAAACCTACTGAGATGAAAAGAGTTTTCTTTTATGATTCAGTGCCCTAGACCTGCGAAACACGATTTTTTCCATCTTTGGAATCCTGAAGTGCTAAACCCCAAGTTTTTGTCATTTCTCTTTAGTTGCAACCAAAGAGCTTTCAGCTACTCTTTGTTTTCCTTTTCATATTTACGTGATTTTTTATTTCAGAATCAAATTCACAACTTGATTGAGATGTCACAAAATGATAATTTTGGTGATGTTGATAGGTAGGTTTACTCTGTTCAAATTTTAGTGCCTCGTTGGCGCGTTTCGCTCCCAGCGGATTAGTCCCTGCAATATTGTCACTCAAAGTGAATACAAAGTAATGTCTTAAGGAAGACTGAGAAGAACAGAAAAAGCGATGCATTTGTGTGAATTAGAAAAGTTTTCCAAATTATGGGTACAGTTTTCCATTTCACGAGAGCAATTAGTTACTGATGGAGATCTTTAAGTACAACTGGTCCCCGTGTGCCCTTTTTTAAGAATCTGTAAAAATCCTTAAAAATCGAAGAAGATGTTGAAAATTCCAAAAACGGTTTGGCACTGAAAAAGCACCATATGAACAAAACTCTTGCTTGTTTGGCATTTTTACTAGAATCTATGACAGTATCATGATGACTTTGTCAGAATTCTTTGGTGATCATAATTAATTGGAAGCCTTTTAAAGTAGGATGCATAAAGAGGTTAAGGACGTTAACCATGTAGACAAAGCTGAACAATTTTATCAGTCGTTTATCAAACAATTTGCCACCAGTGACCTTGTATATAAAGGGATTATCTAAAGCTATCTGTGAAACCGTTGGCTCGCTCATGAGATTCTCATGGAACATAGGGCAGCGGACAGAACTCTGTTAATTCCAGTCTAGAATTTGTTAAGCTTATTATTGAAAAGTGAGAGGCTTCTCAGTCATTCATGTATAAAATGGCTTTGAAAAATCGAACATTTGAAGCATAATAAAGATTTTAGTATGATACTCTTCGGAGTATCAAACGCCAAAACATGGATCGAAAACTCTTTAGCTATTTCATGGACGTTATTAAAATTATGTGGCATTTTCAAAGCCATATTTTTTGTAGCACGTATTTTTGTTACCGGGAAATTTATCTTTGCTCGTCGTAACTTGAATAATTTTTTGTAGCTTGTGTCAAGAACTTGCTAAATGGCTAATTGAAAGGGAAATGATTGAACATTTGTTTGGACCAAACCATCACATTGAGGTTGGTACTCCGCAAATTGTTTTGCTTCCCTTGATATCTGCATCAAGTTACAAGTTACGTCAATGTGATGGTTTCTATTTTGATACTCTTATGGAATGAACAAGAAAGAGATACGAAATTTTTAGAATAACTGTATTTATCACAGGTTTGATCAGCTGTTTTTTGGGCTTACATTCGAAAGATGTTTTGTATGTGAAATAATGAAATGATGGAAACTGCGATGGCCAGAAAACAAACGTTGATTTAGGACGTCATCGTAAGGAAGTTTAAAATCATGAAAATTTTGATTAAAACCAATTGATTGAAAAACCTAAAATTTTGTAACCTTCTCTCACAGAATTATTGAGAGTAAAACTAAACTTGTTGCACAAAAATTCTGCTATTTGATCAAAGGAAACATAAATTTTGGCTGTTATTTGTGAGCCAAGAAGCTATGCTTTTGATCCATTGTTTTTCTTTGTGCTACTGAAATGGAGAATTTAAGGGATACCCTCAGAAAGTTGTTTTGTCTGAGGGTTGAACTCACTAGCATTTGTGTATTGAAACCCAATATACCTCACTTAGAGAGATTTATTCATTTTGAAAAAGTTTGTTCAGAACTGTGGGATAGATTGTTGTGAAAAAAGCGTTTTTTACCTTCTGTCTTAACTGCCTGTCGAATTTAGTTAAAACGGGATAGATCAACTTTGACAGATGTGGTAGAGTAGACTTTCATTTCATTTAAATTGTATCGAGAAATCATCAAAATTTTATTAGCGTTTCATTTCCAGCTACTTTTTACCTTCCCTTTTTTTCTCCAACAGCTTCTAAAGCAATCACAATTTTTATTAAATTTTCTGGCACAAGAACGTCACTTGAAACCGAAGCACTTAGAGTGTGTTTGGAATGCGGCCCAGGTATATATCCTCAGAAATACAGTTGAATTCCGTTAACTCGAACCTTTGAGGGGGAGGGGGTGGGTTGTATTCCGTTAACTCGAATCCTGAGGGGGGGGGGAAGGAGGGTAAGAAGATTGACTCACTTAGCGAATATCCGTTTTATTCTGGGCACGAAGTTTGTTGACTAGAACAAGGTTAGAGAATCGAACGGAATGGAAAGTCATTCCGAGTTGGTGAAAGTTGTAGCTATCCGGGGTACGACTTAATGGGATTCAACTATAGTTCTCTTTGAAATGTCGCAATGATTTGATTTGTTTCTCTTAGATGCTTATGAAAAAACGCCATTGATGTTTAATAATTTGATTTGAACCTTATTTATAAACGGAAGAAACCTCACGCAATAGGCTTTCTTTTGAGAAAATGGTTGTAGAGCCACTTGCAGCTTTTCAACTAGAGAAATACTGGCAATGCACTTGTTTATGTATGTTAGGGGGGGGGGAGGTTTGGGGTTCATATGGTAGTTTTTGCATTAAATAGGGAAGTTGACATTCTAGAGCCTTGTAATGCAAGCCCTTCAGTGCGAAATTCGCTTGAAAACTGACGAAAAAACTGCTTTTAAAAAATATCGGTTTGTAGATGTGCGAGGTTAAAGTCTGATTCAATACTTTGATAAAGAATAATGTTATTTCCGAGTAAATTTGTGGCCCAAGACTTTTTCTCTGCGTATTTTAAACTTGTCTTATCGTATATGCCCTCAGTCTAAACCATATCGCTGAACCCAGCCGATTTGTCTTTACTAATGTACTATTTATTCGGTGCTTGATTCTGGGGAAGGGATGACTGTTGTATGATAAGGCTTTCTCGTCCGGGTTCCGTTAAAGATTGTTATAATTTTATCTATGAAAAAGCCTGAGTATTTGCCTCTTAATTAAGTGCTTTGATTTTAATTCTCTCACAGTTAAAGCACACTGGGAAATTCGTACTAGAATTATTGATATCGCTTACAAAGCATATGGACTTGAAATCGATACAGTATTTGTTGTCCTTGGTTGGAAAGTTGGCTGTTGGATCACACACGAAGCAGACGCTCCTCTTAGCTTCATTGTTGACAAGAAGGGTATGGTCGGCAACTCTAGCAGGGGTTGCTGCCAAAAGAGAGCTGGAAAAGGAACCAAAGGCTGACACTTTACAAGGTAAGACACGTCAAATGTCTTAAATGATCAAAATTTGCAACAGGAGAAGATTGACGCGTTAGATTAGATCTCCTTCTGGGGAAAACAGCTCTTTCTGTTTTCCTAAACTTGGATTTGTTGTTTTAAGACCCAAAAAGATAAAGAAAACCTGCAACAAACGACCTTGTTTTCCAAAAGCACCTGAAGTTATGATCACTTGTTTTTTTGGCAACTTTTAAAAATATGTAGAGGTGTTCAATTTCTGGTACCGATTTTTATCTAGTGTTCTGAAAAACGGTTTGTTTTCGTACTCTATTCTGTCCGCTATTCTGGAAGCTGTTCGCTTTACACATTGAGTTTTTTCTGGTCACAAATTTTGTCAACGTCTTAATTTTCTTTAACAACAGCACAATAAGTTGAACTTGATTGTAATGTGAGGATACTGCTGTAGCACGAACCAGCCCATACACTCGGAAAAATGATTTGTATGACCTTTCTTGTTCATCTGGTTATCTGCCTTTTCATTTCAATTGTCTTTCCGTCACAGTTAAAAAGCGAGTCGACGTGAGTCCGACTGGAAGCGAAAGCCCGACGGCAAGCGTGAGTAGCGATGGAAGCACGGACGAGGAGGTTGCGAACATACACGCAAGCAATATCGCGGATGGTGAGAATCAGGGGGATGATTCGCGGAGGTAAGCGTGTTTTTCAAGCATCTTTTTCGGATGCAGTTAGCAAAGGCTTTGAGAGTAGGAGCTTAGGAAAGGATTGGAGGGGCTGCAAGGGTTGAGGGACTTAGGAAATGATTTAAGGGGGCTGCTGGGGTAGTGGGGCTTAGGTAAGGCATGGAAGAGGCTGCAAGAATAGAGGGTGCTTATGAAACTTTGGAGTCGGTTGCAGAGGTTTAGGAGGCAAGGAAAGGCTTAGTCGAGCTGGTACGGGAAAATGTACCAAAGAGAGCTCGTGAGGAATTGGAGGGACATTTTAAGCATTTAAAGGATTGTCAAATATAATTTTTGTAGCAATATCAAATTGTCCGATACAAACTGATATGTCGAAAATTTTAGTAAAAGGCTTTTTATTATCAATGTAGTTTTAAAGTTTTATTTTTAATTTTCCAGTGAATGGGGATATAGATATTTTACAACTGTCCTTTATATATATCTATATTAAAAAAGTTTGTGAGTTATATGTTTTGTTCTAATTTATACAATTGTTTGCACAATCTATATTCTTTACCGCAGGATAATTTATAATGAAATTTTTGTTGTCTTTGGCATAAAGAGAAGTCTGAATCTTCAACCATTCTGACTATATAAGTATAAGAGCATATCCGTTTTTTATAACGCAGGCTGGAAATGAGAATGAGCAATACAGAATTGCAAGGATTACCAAACGATAATCTACTCGAAGTTTCGCCTCGAGATTTTGATGACTCGAACGACCTTCTTCCTTCATCTTCATTTCAAAACGAGCAAGTCGAGGGTGACTATGATGAAGACGAAATTAACTACATGAATGTTAGTCCGGTTTCGGAACGGGAGCAAGAAAGCGAAGAATCCGAAGACGATGATGTCTCGTTGGCAAACTGCCTTGAACGCGGTCAGCAAGCAAAGTCCCCCCTTCGGGAAAAGGAAGAATTAAATGCTGAATGTTTATGCCTCGAGGGAAAAACTTTGTTGTGGGATTTGCTCCAAGACGGAAATGTTGTAAGGAAATCGATTTCTTTTTTATTTATCACTTGGAGCAGTTAAGTCTCCAGGGTATTTTTTAGTCCCATGCGATTTTGAATCAGCGAAATTTTCATTGTCAATGCTAAATTGTCAACTCAACTAGAAATTTTCCAGAAAAATTAGAATTTCCATAATGTACCATTGCAAGTTCTTTTCCACCCTCTCTGGCTTTTTATTCTTTCGCAAAAAACAGTCTAAAAGATACCCCAGTTTTATCTTATACTTTTGTTTTAAAATCCTAGTCAAAAAAGACAAGTTCGCATTGATGTGGCTAGGAATATACCCTATTCTCTCTTGTATTCCTGCTGCTTTTTATTGATTAATCCTTTTAATTTTGTGTGGGATTATTAGGGAGGCAGGATTATCATAGAGGTGGGATTAATTTTGCAGAGTATGAAATAAATGTAGTAATATTAGAGAGGCGGGAATATGAGAGGGGGCGGGAATAAGGTAAGAGAGAATTCGGTATTCATGCATTTTATTACCTTGTTTATTTTGCTTTCGTTTCAGGAGGAACTTGGAGATGGAATGGTTCAGGAGGTGCAAAAATTGCTTTGGCAGCTCGTTTGTTTCACAGGGAACAAGAATGTTGTCATGGCTTTTATCAAAGGTTGCCTTGACAATATTGAAATGAATCGGTAAGAAAATGTTTACGTACGATGGAACTTTAGTTGAAAGATTTTTGTCTACGATCATTTGGAGGTTAAGATATGTACAGTTATGAATGTTAGGCCGTAATCCGTTAGGTTTAAGGCAATAAATTAAATATTGTAACAGTATTTGAAATATTCCATGAATTTAATTTTTGTTTTTGGTTCTGTAAAATTGCTGCCGATAACTTCTACATCTTTACAAAAGCATCGTCTTAGTTTACCTAAACTGATGGTTAAATCTTGATATTGCCCAGCTAATCTTGATATTTTATATAATTGAACCAGGAAATGAAAAAAGGGTTGTATTTTCTAGATCTGTTGTCATATCGTTTCAAATCCTGCCGAAAATTCTTAACGGATACCCGAGGAAAAATAGCAGCGAAAGTCACTGGTTGCTAGATTGGGCTGTGAAGGAGCTTCGTATGATGGACACCTTCTTTTCAAATCTGAAGGAATACGTTGCTGCGTGGCAGATATCCTTGCAGACTGGGAACGACTCGATTCCAGGCCACCAGAGAGAGCAGCAAATTCTAGCTCGACTTGAATTTCTAACAGCTTTATACTCTAACGATTTATCACCAGACCATTTTAGTAAGTCAAATGAATCTTCTACTTAATTATATGATTGATTTCTAAGCTGATTGATTTATTTGTTTATTCGTTTATTAATTTATTCATCTTATCTTTATCAATATATCAGATAGATTAGCTAATATTGACAATATAAGTTACCATCTCTTGTATCTATTCACAGGACTGACAATTGATCAAGTGGACTGCCTGTGGTCTTGTCTAATCACCAAGATACCTGATGGTTTTCACTATCTCCTATTGAGCTGGTTGCTGAAACAAACTAACAATAAAGAGCTCCATGCCCTTGGACTAGATAATTACAAGCATATTTTCATGAATAAGGTATGTTTCTCGTGTTTGTCTCTTAGCAACAATTGTTAAGGGAAGTTACCTATACAATCTATACGGCGGGGATATGACCAAATACCTCTACCACAGTTTCTCATAGCACCCACAGTTTCATTCATCATCTCTTTCTAATAACTTTTAGAGCTGAAAAAACCTTTAATTTCTCACGATATTATCTTGTTCCAGCTACCAGAAGTAAACCCTGAGACAATCACCTTCACCGGGCTAGGACTATTTCAGCAGCTGTTTAGCCTGACTAGACTCTCCAATGCCTCGCCTTTTGCCCAAGATTCTCAGAACGAAGAGGTCAGTGTCTGAAACATTTCTAAAATCATCCATGCTTGTAATTTGATATCTTTTGATGCACTAACTTTTGTCAAATATAATCAGAATTTTAACCCACCTTGCATCACAAATGTGTTGCCTTTAGGAGACGCTGTACCACTTGTAAAATTATTTGTGGCCTGAATATGAAGTCGAGTTTTTAATATTAAACACAAAAAAAGGTCTATCAATCTACAGAGGAATAGCTTTTGGTTTTTTACAGTTAAATGTCTTTAATCAACTTGTTCTAGCGTCTTCTTCTTGCAAGCAGTATAAAGCAAAATAAATTTTTCGAAAGGTCCAGTTCACCACAGCGTTTAAAGGCTTACTTCCCCTGAATAAGTTCCAAACGTTTAGTCTCATTTTATATTTTTCTCCAGCTTAAGTTCTACAGAGTATTCTACATGGCATTAAAGACTTGGTATAAAACTTATTGCAGATAAACTTAGTTTGTTGAAGCGTCATTTTAGAACCAGGCATTGATTTTTCCCATCAAATTGTAGATTCCTGGTATCGATTATCTGTGGAGAATTGTACTGAACGCACAAAAAGACCAGGTTGCAGATGAGGCCATGGCATATCTTAACTATCTATATATACAAAGTGAGTAAAATGTTTGTACATCATTCCTTTAATCATATACAAGGTACTGCCTAATGTTTTCCGTGGAAGAAATTAGGGGAGTATGAAAAGTTTATATTTCAGGAGGTCATCTTGTATGATAATAGTATCACTTCTAGAGTCCTATATAAGGTATCAGAGAAAAAAAGTATTTTTTGTCAATTCTTTTGTGCAATCTGCGTCTGAAATTTACTCCAATTTTGGCCACTTTTCTGTTTTTTTACTCATGCAATTATTGCATCAAATAAGCTTTCAATTGACCGTGAAAAGCTTCCTTTTTGGACTATTCTGAATCGACAGTAGTTGTGATTCTAATAAGGTGCAATTATTTTAATTTGGTTTTTGAAGGGCAAACAATTACCTATCTTCATAATGCATGGTCGTCTAAAACATCATCTTGTGTATATCTTCAAAAGAAAACAAACATTCTTTGTTCAACTATTTTGTCTTTTCTTTTTATTTTAGTGTATATATTCTTTATCTAATGACATTTGCTCGATCTCTCCCTCTCGGGTAGCAGACAGAAATTATGTAAAATTCTACAGACAAGGAAATTGTTTGTACCTAATAGCTTCTATTTTTGATATATAAACTTCTGTGTAAAATTATTTTCGCTTTTTTATATGTAGTATTTACCCCTTCTCCGGTGCTTTTGTGCCTATGCTCTAGCTTTCCTTCTAGCTCCTAATTTGCTCTTATTTTAGTTGGAAATGGATCGATGGAAAAAGAAAAAGAATTTCTGGACACATGCATGGTGTATCTTCGAAAGTCAATGGAACAGATGTCAGATGTATGTCCGCTTCAATAACCAAGACCTTTCTAGGAGGAAAACTTTTATTAAGTCTTATGTTTTGTTTTATTCCCGAAGGTCTTGTTTCTGTGCTTGATTAAATGAAGTAAATATATTGTCATTGAACATACTGCTTTCCTTTAAGACAATATCAAGTTGTTGAGCAAGATTGTTTCTGCCTAAAGTCTACAACAATGTATCAAACAAGCTTCAAGATGACATCATAATAGACCGTCATACTTTGTCATAGAATTGCTCAGGTTTTCTTCTGCCAGTAATTAAACATGGGGTAGGCAATGTACTCCTTGAAAGCTGCATCTGCCGTGTCATGAAGACAAAGCTACAAAAGTTACCCATTTTACAATGTTGTCAGAAGACATCAGCGCAATCATTTAGCATCTGTATTTGTATTTGATTATATTTCAAGTCCTTTTTTCTATGATAACTTGTTTTACCTTTTTAGAGGCGAGAGGAATCTCTAAGGACAATACAACAAATTCTCACTATTTTGAAATCTCATCTTGATGCATATTGGAAAAGGTAAGTTCACTCTTAGAGTAAGTTCGTTCAGTTCACTATTGGAAAAGGTAACCATTTCACATTATCCACTATAAGTTGAAAATTTGACATGTCTCGTATTAAAAAGATAGTATTCCACATTTGTATATCCACATATATTCAGTCTTGCAAAAACTCTAAATTTTGTATTCGTGTTCCCTTCTTTTTAGACGTTCTTTTTTTCTGTGTATCTTATTCCTTGTCTTTTAGATTTGCGTATCATGTACACTTATGGCAACTCGATGGACATAATTTTGAAGGCCATCAACCGAACGTTCGATCACATGGGAAAGATCAAGTTGTCAGAATCATTTGCCAACCAGCTGGAATATCTGAAAAGGTTTGAAGTCAACTTTCATGTTTTTAATCTAATTCTAGAATATATTTAAGTGTTTATCCCTCATAAAAGGTGGGCTTTCGAAATCTTGGTTGACTGCCTACCCTACAACACTCGAGCCACCTTCAACTGTACTTTGTCATTACAGAGACTGTATATTTGAACTACCCTTTCTTATCTAATCTGCAAACGTGTATTTTCTCTGTTATGCGTCAAAGTAAAGAGAAAGCTCGAGGATGTCATATTTCCAAGCGTAGTTATAAGGTAGCGAGGTTGCACATGGCCTTCCTTTCTCATTTCTAGTCTGTTAGGCCCAATGACAAGAACCTTGTTGAACAGTCGGCGGTGTGCCTTCTATCGAGTCTATGGTTTTCTCATTTTAAACAGGGCACTTCTTAAAGACATCTTTTTTTGCAATGTTTTGACAAAAGCAACAGTGGAGTGCAACAGCCAAATAATGAACACATTATGAATTTTCCAAAAGGTTTAAAAGCTTTGACAAAAAAGAATGAATTTTTTAACGCAATTTCTTGTTTGAGGTGCCCGTTATAAAATTGGAAGTTTAAATGTAGTTGCTGTTATTTAGACTGCTATCTTTACTGGGCTAAATAGTATTTATTGGGAGATAATATGAGCGAATGACTGGATCAGGGCAACATCAATGTCATTGCGGTTTTCTCATTTACATTTTCCCTGAGTATATTTTCCAAAATCCTTTTTTGCACTCTCTAAATCGGTTGTACCAATCGCTACGTCTTTGGTGTGACACATAATGTTATTATCAAACTAGTGGTCTAAATTCGATATAAAAACCGTATTGCTAGCCAAGACAATTTACTCTAGATATTTGCTAAAATGTTGCAATGTTCAAAGCATGTGGCAAGTAGCATAAATTGCATGCATGTTCTCACTTGTACCAACGTGGGAATATCTCCAGGGGGTTGCTGACATGTTAAGCATACTTCGCGCGGGGTAAGGAAATCATCCGACTTCGGGATATCCTGATGTGGGAGATTTGACTTGAAGTAGGAAAATTCAATGGGAATTGAAAATCAATCCAACATAGTGAAATGCCGTGTTATCTGTGGTACGGCTTACCTTTTGAACCTAAGAAGCGCAAACACGACCCCCTTGTAGATAAACACCACAATTTTTTCGTTTTTTTTGTAGCATAAAAAACAGTCGATTTGTATTCAGCAGATAATTCATCTAGATGTCTCATTTGATGTATTTATTTAGATGAAACATTTCGTGTATAAATGTTGGTAAAATGAAAATTAAAAATTTAAAACTTTTAGCAAGGGGAGAAATTTGAGGCAAGGGAGAAATTTTGGAGCGAAATCATCGGTCTCCTGTTGGACGTTTACCTATCTGGGAGATTTAAACGATCTTAGTCGATGTTTTTCAGCAATGTTGTTTTTTATGCAGGTCTCATTTCGCCTCTCATCGCACGATCTCCTGGCAAAGCTTAGGGCAGAAGTCACCCATTGGTGTGTCAAACTTCAAAAGGAACAGGAAGAGAAAGGCCAACCTCAGTTAACGCCACCCCTGCAGCCTCCTTTCCGGCTAATCTCTCATGGACATGAGTTGACACCCGACCTCGACCAAAAAGCTCTTGGGGAGTTAGGGATGAAAAATCAGCAGGTAAATTTTTCTTTAAGGTTTTTGATTGTACAGAATTCATTTTAACCAAGTGAAATTTGAGTTGCTCCGATACCATTGAAGTGTTATTGCTCCAGAATCAACGTCAATCGCTGCCCAAATTCTTGGAAGTCGAAAATCAATATATCAGGTCGAATTCAACTATCCCCCAGTTGAATTTACTTCAACTTTGGTTTGATTAAAAAAAAAAATTTGTGGTTACAAAAATGTTTTTCTCCTGACTTTTATGATATTTGCAAAACTTTGTTTTTGGGGGAAGTTGAAATGGTAGTATGTATTTGGGGGTAAAAATAATGAAAAAAAACACAGTTATCAGTTGTATGCAGCTAAGGTTTGTAGACAATTTGTTTTCTTGTTGGGATTTCCAACTGATTCAGTAATGAAATAATCGTTATTGAATCGTACCGGGGCAGTTCAGTCTGAAAATGGTTTTCTTAAAAGACGTTAAAATATTATTGAATGTTTTTGTTAGGATTTGCTGTAAATTCTACATTGGTATTCACGGAATAGATCCATTCGAGTATTTTTCATGCTTTGAAATTTCCAGAAATTGTCTTGACAGTGCCCATCTGTTATTTGGGTTCCCTTTACTTGCCTTTCCCTTTAAATTTCAATTTATGTTGTTTTATTTTTGTTTCAGCTCGTTTTTGTATCTGTTTCACACCCTCGAAAAGACCGAACGTCAAGCGGAAGCCAAGTCCCAGCCTCGCTTCAAAGATCGCCTGATATGGAGGCCTCACCGATGGTGCAACTGCTGAGGGAGGAAAATTTTTCATTGTTTTTCAGATTATTGGATGTTTTACACAAAGCTTGGAAGACTGGTCCCGCGTTTGATGATTCCGACACGCAGAATACCGCAGGAGAGCGTGAGATGGGAAAAATTGACCGCATCAAGTCTGATGATAATATTGCAAGAAAGCTATCTTCAGATGATCTTGTACATAGTCTTTGGGAATTGCTCATGATTTTACCAACAAATCTTGAAATTAAACAAATACTAGAATCAACAGATGCTGACGAGAAAAACATGATAGTGCCAAAATGGACGCAGCTTGTTAACACGGAAAGCACCTTCAAGTTGTTGTATATTTTGCATATAATCGACTCGATGAGCACACATGACTATGATGTTCTCCAGGGCAGTTCTCAAGATGAGGCTAGCACTGATTCTGATAGTTCATCGTCAGAGAACGAGCAGACGGTTGCGACTTCAGCGGAACCTCTAGGTTGGGTTAAGAAGTTCATCAAGTATGGCGGGCTAAAGAGTTTGTACGATCGCCTGCTTTCGGAATCGTTGTCTGTCGATAAACTATCGGATCATTGGACCTTAGATTGTGTTGGATATCTTTTGAAGCTGCTGACAAGGTTTGGGTGTGTGTCGTTGTCGCGGGAGGAGAAGGAAGAACACGCCGAGCGCGAGGGAAAAAGAAGAAGAATGGATATTAAGCAAAAACGTCACGTGTTTAGAGCAAGATACAAGAGCATCGATGGAGATAACATTGTTGTGATCCAAGCTTTTAACCAGGTATGAGTCTCTCCTGGATTCTTATCGATGACCATTTCTGTATGAAAAATATGTCCCTTCTGCCACTTGAAAGGGCTGTTGAAATCATACTAAGTTGTACATCCTGATTTTGTCCATTGCTTGAGAGGATTTTTTATAACAATGCTCCTTTCTTTACTATGCTTTAATAGCTGTGTATCCAAAGAAAACTTCAAGGATATAGTCTATGACCACTTTATTCCTATTTGTAGCAGTGTTATTTCTCTTGAGGATTCTACCAGCCACCAGAGTGCCAGTCGTTTCTTTTTAAGCCTTCGCAAGATGTGAAGCCCATGATGAAGGGATATTGTATACGTTTGATGTATGGAAATTTATTGATAGACTTCAGCTGTAATGATTAAATGCGATTATACTTTATTTACGGTTCTTTTTTTTCATTATCAGCCTTTACTGGATCTGATCAAAGAAGAGCAACTGCTGGAGAAGCTGATTTCCTTGTTGTGTGATGTTTCGGAGAACAGAAATTGCTACGCTGCCGGAACACAAGACGTCCATGCTGCAGGTTTGTTCTTAAGTTAATGTAATCATGTAATCACATAAACATATAATCATGTTTTGTTAATCATCTTGATCATGTTAATCACTTGATCATTATCAATCAACTTGATCATCATCAATCAACATGATCGTCATCAATCAACATAATCATCGTCAATCGACTTGATCATCATCAATCAACATGATCATCATCAATCACATGATCAGTCACATGATCTTCATCAATCTTCATCATATGATCGCCAATCATCATCTTCGTTGATCTCTTTTGATCTCTTTTTCAGTTGTGTATCATTGCTTGTCCCTTCTTGTTTGTTGGACATACATGGATAACAGAGTTAAGTCATCGTTGGTCCACCATCCAAGGTTCGAGATCCTTCTGAAGCGCCTTGTATTTGAATCGCCACAGGTAGGCTCTTGGTTAAATATCTTGGTTTTGGTTAGAGGATCCTTTTTAAAAAAAGTAAAATCACAATTTTTACGGAAATATGTTTGATAAAATTTGTAATAATTAATGAATTTGAAAATGTGTTAGAAAACCCCACTTCTGGACAAGTATTCCCTACACGCTTCTCTCCCAAATCACAACTGCACTGTGACACTTCACACAGTACTCTTCAATATTTTTCGGAAACTTTTTATTTCTTGTGTATTCATTACCTTCAAATCAAATGAACTTGCAGTTAGTCTTGATGTTTGTACTTAGAAACCAAAGACTCCTTCAGCATTGTGTACAAATTTGTTTCACAAAGTGTAATCCTAAGCCTTTCTTATTATGCAGAAAAATATAGTTCGTTTTGAAAGTAAACCTTATTTACGACGATATTATCATACATATCAATTAGCAAGTCGGAAGTAAAAATATAAGGTTGAATGGTGAAGGTGTTTACAATCGTAGGGAATCGATACAAAAGTTGCATCTTGTTTTGTATATTATTTCTTCCACTTTGTTTTTTGAAAATATATACCCAGTTGTGGATCGAAATAAGCCAATCAGAAAAACGCAAGCACAAGACCGGTATAGTTGACCAATCAGTGCCGCGAGCCTAAAGAAAAATTACCAATGGAGTCCAAGAGAGAAAACGAACTCCTTTTGTCTACACAATGGCGGCTTTTTCGTTTTTATGTAGATTGACTCCAAAACTGCTAGATGGAAGGACGACCGGGCTCTGCCAATTATCCGAAACATGTCGTCATTATAGAGTTTTGCACAATCTGGGTTGTCTAAAAGATGTTGACCAATGGCAGAATCACTTGTTTTAACAGTGTTTCTAGACCTACAAGATCGAGGAGGCTGTTCTCTTTGAGGGGCAGTTTTGTTTCGTATGTTGGAAGGAACATGCTGTTTTATCCTATCCCCCAATCTTTGGGTTGTGCGCCCTACGTAGCCAGAATCACACTGGCACGTAAATTCATAAATGACGGAACTTTTTTGTTTGGTAGGGACGCAATCCTTTTGAATGGATGGAAGGGCTCTCCTAGTGCTGTAAACAATCCGAGGATTGACAGCAAAGAAACAATTGGTTATGGCTTGCCTAATTTGACTCTCGAATCGCAAGGAAGTGTTACCAATCCATGGTAGTTTCAAACTACCATGGATTGGTAACACTTCCTTGCGATTCGAGAGTCAAATTAGGCAAGCCATAACCAATTGTTTCTTTGCTGTCAATCCTCGGATTGTTTACAGCACTAGGAGAGCCCTTCCATCCATTCAAAAGGATTGCGTTCCTACCAAACAAAAAAGTTCCGTCATTTATGAATTTACGTGCCAGTGTGATTCTGGCTACGTAGGGCGCACAACCCAAAGATTGGGGGATAGGATAAAACAGCATGTTCCTTCCAACATACGAAACAAAACTGCCCCTCAAAGAGAACAGCCTCCTCGATCTTGTAGGTCTAGAAACACTGTTAAAACAAGTGATTCTGCCATTGGTCAACATCTTTTAGACAACCCAGATTGTGCAAAACTCTATAATGACGACATGTTTCGGATAATTGGCAGAGCCCGGTCGTCCTTCCATCTAGCAGTTTTGGAGTCAATCTACATAAAAACGAAAAAGCCGCCATTGTGTAGACAAAAGGAGTTCGTTTTCTCTCTTGGACTCCATTGGTAATTTTTCTTTAGGCTCGCGGCACTGATTGGTCAACTATACCGGTCTTGTGCTTGCGTTTTTCTGATTGGCCTATTTCGATCCACAACTGGGTATATATTTTTCCATCGTGTTTTTTCGGAACCNTATAATATATTATTCAATGTAGCTAAGTATTTAAATACAAACATGTATTCATTATTCATTGATATATAGCAGGTTAAAATTCTGACAGCTTAAAGGACCTGACAAGGCCACTGCAATAGCTTGAAGATTCAATACAAAAATTATTTTTACACAAGTATATTGAAAAAGATGAAATGTTAATATAATCTCAAATCACTTTTTTGTCTATAGATATAAGAACAAATGTATAATTTTTGAAAAAAGTTGTTTGACTCATGACTAATGGTAGGTCTTTAGTCCTGTCTTGAAAGTTTGTATACTTCCATGTCCATGTCCTTGATTGTCCTGTTTTTTTTCTCAATAATTCATGTTGATATGAAGCTCTTTATCCTGCTGAATCTATAGTATCAATCTGGTATACTGGTTTTGTTTAGGTCTTTCCGAATAAATTGCGTGATGGCTTTTTTTGGTTATTGCACTGAATGTAGAGCTGATGAAAAAGCGCGAATCTTCTTTTAAAAATCAGAAAACTGGCCTGCCAAAACAGACTGCATCAAAAGCAACGTTCCATTATCCAGACCTTGAACATCCTCATGTCTCTGTCTCGCTGGCCTACTTTGACAATTTGACTGCTCTGTCAGGCAGATTCGTGCGATATAATACTTCCATATTCGATCTGAAAATCAAGACTGACCGACGATACTTGTCTCTTTATATAGATAAAAGTCTGGCCTTCTAACAAATATACCGCTGCTAGGCCCTTTTTGCCATTTCGCAACATTCTCGTTGACCCTTTGGACAGCCGATGGTACTTGCCGCAAAAATGCAGAGGCCGAAAATGCCTGTGACGTCAATCCGAAGATCTCCGATAACACGGTTGAAAAACAATTCAACTCAATGACCAATTTACAAACGCTAATAACTACAAAACGGCTGAAGATATGAAAAAAATAATAACAGATTCGTTTTCAGGAGGTCTGATTTCATCGTATTCGGAAATAAAAATTTTGGGCTGGAGTGGCCCTTTAAACAAATTTTCAATGCTCTTTTGATAAGAGATTTCATTCAATTTGTCAAGATTACCCACTTTTTTATCTCTATTAAACATAAATCGTCTTTATTTTGAGAACCGTGAAAAAAATAAAGCTTATTCCAGGGTGGTGACATATCTTCTGCAACAAAGATCGGCTGCCTACTACACATTGCATTTTTCTACAAAATGGAACATTTTCGCTTCATCAAAAATTCATTTTGATGATATTTCGTTTATAAACTATTCAAACACCCAAGCAAAATATTTTCACGCTTTTGAACAGAGATACAGCCTCAAAATCTACATTAGACGTTGAAGCATTTCAAAAGTACAAAGACTTTGATGTGCTCTTTAGAAATATTTTTGATAACTTTAGGCATTTAATAAAAATTTTTAGCCAATCTTTAAAGAGGCACCAACGCAAAATTCCGACCCCCGATAATTGCACAAAAATTTTGGTCATATGAAGTGGGGATAAAAGTTCTACTGAAAAATTTAGGTGCTTTGTATCGCATAGCATAAATGTTGCGAGAAACAAGCGAGAGAAACCAGTGCGACGCAATTTTTGGTAACCTAGTATTTTTACGGTCCAATGGTCATCAACAAATAATCGATTGATCATCTGAAATCCGAAAATAATCGTGAAAGCTCTCGGTCGATGGGGATTTCTCGGTACAAGGCAAGCTTCTGCCTAGCGGTAATGGCTGCTCACGTCAGTGAAATTAAAAATGTGGATATAATGAAGAAAGAATTAAATCTGTCAAAAGTAAAGTTTCGAACCGCTCCCAACCGACCTGTTCTAGGCCTACTAGGTATTAGGTGCTAAAGTTTCCCGTTATAAAATGAATAGAATGGTATGCAAACCTATGTATTATAGAATTATACCACAGGCTATCCCCCAAACTGGTGAGAGCTTGTCCAGAATAGAAAACGTTTTTTCCTCTTTTATCCTTTTTGCGCCATGCTCGTTCAAAATTGGTTTGTTTTTAATTTTCATAGATCGTGACGACAATTACGCGCTCGTTCAAATCTTCCGATATCGGCCTCCAGACGACCCGCGCTCGCAGACACTCGTACCCTTGCTCGCTTCAACTTTCTTCCCCTAATTAGACCCTATTTCTGTATTCAAGACAGCATTGAGCCTTCTTGTGATAGTCTTTGCTGGTCACATAACAAACTAGATGGACGAAAAATGTTTTTTGGCGATGCCAAATTTTTTGCGTTGATACTTCTTTAAAGGGAGGATAGTCAACAGCTTAGAAATGTAGAACTAGATGGAAAAAAGTAGAATGTTTATAATAAATGTACTTTTCATTGAAAAATAAAAGCTATTGTGTTATAATCATGCTTGTCTTCAAATGTTTCAAAAGAAACCAGCTTGATTCGTCAGTTTACTAGAGTCCACCAAATTCAATAAAGTGTTATCAGTTTTTAAAAGACCGTTATTTACATTTTTACATGTTAGAGCTGAAATCTACAAGTGAATTGTTCACCTTTCCTTGAGCTCGTCCAATTCTTCTTTCTGTTGGAAACGAATAATACCATTTTCAGTGATAATGAGAGAATTGATAATGGGGGTAGGGCTTAATGAATATGGCAACTAAATACTTAAGGCTGCAGAGATTGCAGATGAAGAAGTTAAAAAACAGCAGCAGCAGACTTTGTAAACCGGCTCTGATACCCAAATGATGATGCATGTGAGATCACACTGTACCACCAAGTGAAGCTTCAGGGGATTTCCTTGTATTGTTTTCATCTAGGCTGAAGAATTCAGCGCAAATTTTGGTTCTATTTGAATCTAAATAATATTTATGTTGACTATAGGCGGCAAACTTTAAGCTGCCATAAAAAGGCGTCCTGTTTTATACTGCAAAGCATCTAGAGCAATGCCTATTTGGAACAGAAGACTTTTTGATAAACAGGTAAACCAGCAATTTTTGTTAAATTTATTTTTCATTTGGCTATTAAGAGCTAAATTTTCAAATTCAAATCAGTTTTGGTTATCTAATGACTGTTTTCTTTTCAAAATGTTTCCCGTCGCGCATTTTTTAAAGAATTAATAAAAATAAGAACTTGAAAATGGCTTTGAAAAAAGCAAACATTTTACAACATACTTAAAGCTTTTTCGTCTGACACTCCTCAGAGCATAAAACGTCAGAATAGGTTCCGAAAAAACACGTTTGAAAAACGGCCAAACTAGAGCGGAAACTCCAAAAACGTTTGTTGGAACTGGTCAACTCAAAAATGTTGGCTACAGAAATTTATGATAGGATAAGACCCACGGGCTCTCAACGACCACAAATGTATGGCCTCCCTAAAATACACAAGCCGAACGTCCCACTTAGACCTATCTTGTCTATGATTGGCTCAGCACAACACGAACTGGCTAAGTGGCTTTCTGAAGTTTTGGACCCTGTTCTTCAAAAATATTCAAAACATTGCATCAAGGATTCTTTTACGTTCGCTGAGTTCATGCAAAACTTGAACATCGAAAACGAAACATCTTTCATGTGTTCTTTTGACATTAGTAGTCTTTTCACAAATGTTCCTTTGAGTGAGACCATCAAAATATGTGCCGACGCTTTGTACCGAAGCGAGCTTAATAGCCCACCATTCCCAGAGGAAGTATTCATTGAACTGATGGAAACTGCAACACGTTCAGTTGAATTCAGTTTTAACAATGAAATGTACCAACAAAAGGATGGTGTCGCTATGGGTAGCCCTCTGGGACCTGCCTTGGCCAATATCTTTGTTGGCTTTCATGAAGAGCGTTTGTTCGACTACGACCAAAAGCCAGGTGTCTATTTTCGGTATGTGGATGACACATATACCATTTTCAAAACAGAGGCTGAGTGTGATATTTTTCTAAAACACCTAAATAGCCTACACCCAGCCCTCCAGTTTACGTTTGAAAAGGAAGAAAATGATTCCTTACCATTTTTAGATGTTTTGGTCGAAAAGTCTAACACTGGATTTCTTACCAGTGTATATCGCAAGCCTACTTTTACCGGTCAGTACATACGCTGGAATTCATTTTGCCCAAAACAACGCAAAGTCAACCTTGTTAAAACATTAGTACATAGGGCACTTATGATCTGCTCGAAATCTAAACTGCACGCTGAACTGGAAAAACTCAAAACGATCTTCTTGGACAACGGCTATCCTGAAGACGTCATTTTATCTTATACTAAGGAGAAGATCGCAAGTTTTTCGGCTGTTCAAAAGTTTGGTCCGCAAAAGTGCCCAGTTTATTTGAAACTACCATGGATTGGTAACACTTCCTTGCGATTCGAGAGTCAAATTAGGCAAGCCATAACCAATTGTTTCTTTGCTGTCAATCCTCGGATTGTTTACAGCACTAGGAGAGCCCTTCCATCCATTCAAAAGGATTGCGTCCCTACCAAACAAAAAAGTTCCGTCATTTATGAATTTACGTGCCAGTGTGATTCTGGCTACGTAGGGCGCACAACCCAAAGATTGGGGGATAGGATAAAACAGCATGTTCCTTCCAACATACGAAACAAAACTGCCCCTCAAAGAGAACAGCCTCCTTGATCTTGTAGGTCTAGAAACACTGTTAAAACAAGTGATTCTGCCATTGGTCAACATCTTTTAGACAACCCAGATTGTGCAAAACTCTATAATGACGACATGTTTCGGATAATTGGCAGAGCCCGGTCGTCCTTCCATCTAGCAGTTTTGGAGTCAATCTACATAAAAACGAAAAAGCCGCCATTGTGTAGACAAAAGGAGTTCGTTTTCTCTCTTGGACTCCATTGGTAATTTTTCTTTAGGCTCGCGGCACTGATTGGTCAACTATACCGGTCTTGTGCTTGCGTTTTTCTGATTGGCTTATTTCGATCCACAACTGGGTATATATTTTTCAAACGTGTTTTTTCGGAACCTATTCTGACGTTTTATGCTCTGAGGAGTGTCAGACGAAAAAGCTTTAGTATGTTGTAAAATGTTTGCTTTTTTCAAAGCCATTTTCAAATTCTGTACCGCAAAAAAAAATTGTTCACTTTGTTTTTTCCCAGAAATCAGTGCGCTCTGAAGCATCACGTGGTATTTACAAGATGTGCATTAGCGGTGACAGCAATCTACTTCATGATGTTCTCAACATATTATTACGCAATTTACCCGATTTAGTTGCTTCCCATGAATCTTTACGTATGAGGTTCCCGTCCTCGAAATCAGCCACTCTAAGTTATAAAGATTACTTTTGGCTGCTGTCTCGCCTCATTGACAAAATAGACCGGTGCTTGCCCGAACCAAGTCACGTGAACTTAGAGGAAGCGGTGCAAATGGTAGCAAATTTCATTGCAACTCACACCATCACCAAGGAAACGAACCCAACCTCAGATTATTGTCTGATTGGCCTACTCCAAACCTGTTCTGCGCTGCTGCGTCACGAACCAGAATTTAAATATGGAGCAGAAGGTCGCCGGCTCCTGCACAAAGTTTTCTCCGACTGCCTTTTTCGCTTGCCATCAAAAGGAGATAAATCTGATGAATTTGTGAGACCCACATGCGAAACAAAGTCTGCACGTGCAGCTGCTTTCGATCTCCTTTTGAAGCTTGCGTATGGTAGCGAGGCTAATTACAAAGAGCTGCAGACACTCTTCTTCCAAGTAAGCACTTATGCTGTTCACTTACTTTAAATGCATTTTTGCTATGAGTGTTACCCTGCTTGTGATAGAATTCAAGTTATCTGATTTGGTCTTTCATAAGTAGTACAGATGATAGCTAATCAGCTCCCTCTTAAGATTCTCAAAGGATATACAAGCCAGTGTAAATGCATTGATGTCTTAAAAGGAAGTTTTGAAACTAACCATTTTCATTGTCTCCAGCACCATACCGTTGACGGCAAGTCTGGCAGTCACACCTCCTACGGATGGAATTATTGGCCACATGAGCTGGAACGGTCTTCTGCAGGCTATGTTGGACTTGTAAACCTTGGTGCAACATGCTACATGGCATCTTGTGTTCAGCAATTGTTTATGATACCAAAAGCAAGGGCTGCGTTGCTGCAAGTCGAGTCATCCGATAAAATGAAATTTCCAACCATTCTCAAGGAGCTGCAACGCATGTTTACATATTTGCAGGTTCGTAAAGTGCCACACAGTCGCATATTTCATTCTGTTGCTGAAGGTTTTTTAAAGAAAAAGTAATGATGTTCGTTGTAGTTGCACGATATACTTTACAATAACATAAAAATTGGAAATACCCTATCAGCTATTGAATCGTGTCGTTTATTATCTGGTCATAATTTTCAACTACCTTTACATCAAACGATTTTTCTCTCTTCGATTATTTCGCATTTTCTAACTTAAAATTTTTTGTCACCAAGAAAAACTAGAGTGAGAGCGACACTTTAAATTAGTTTGATAGCTTCAGGATTTATACCCCCTATGCCCTTTCTTACCATCTCAATCTTGAAAAATAATTCATAATTAATTATCAGCAACGACTGTAATTTTATCCGCTACACAACTTTTATACTCTGTACAGTTCACCAATTGCATTCTAACAGTGATAAATTCCATAGATGCATAGTTATAACACCAAAGCTTTGTTTATTTGCGTTGTTAATTGATAACCAGTAAAATATATTTTCTTAAATAGGAAAGCTACAGAAAAGCCTACAACCCTCGATCATTTTGCAAGACATACACCATGGACAAACAACCGTTGAATACTGGAGAGCAAAAAGACATGGCGGAATTTTTCACCGATCTTATCAGCAAACTCGAAGAAATGGATGACAATTTGGTATGGATGACAGTTTTAATCATCCTATCCATTTAATCATTCGATTATGATTGATCTCTTACTTGTTTGTCTCATTGTAATTATTGCTACATCAATCAGCTCCTTTTTAAATCCTTTCGTGTTTTTTGTTTTCGTTCAAGAACCATTCTATTATTCATAATTTTTTAAAGGTTCAATTTAAAGTTTACATTTTTCTGGTGTTAAACGATAGGAAGAAATGCAGAGATTTGACAAGTGGTATAATTAATGAACAGCTTCCTTAAGCTGAAAACTACATTATTAGGAGCATTAAGATATTACACTATTTTTATTACGATATTTTTTTTACAAAAATGTTCAAGCTAAGAATCATCACGTTTTTAAGATTGTTATGGGAATGTTGCTCAGCCTGAGGTCGCAAATTTATGTCGCATTTTTCAGCAGTTGCCTGTTTTGCCATGTTCTTAGCAGGCGATAGCAGAAAGCTTGGTTTTTTCCAAAAAGCGTGATTTTTATTCGAAGGCTAGTGAAGTTCTCCTGAAACTGTATCAGATTTAAGAAATTAGAATACTTTGAGAATATATTCAAGCTTAAAGCGAAAATTTCCTAAGAATATCGAGTCTGGAAAAAAATAAATAGTGTTCTTATAAAAAAGATAATAATGAAGTTTCATCAAATCTTTTTAGAAATATCACAGTATTCTCAATTTTTTAACGTTCCCAATTTTGTTTCAAAACCACTAGAGCTCTGTTGAGTCCTCGTGAGTACAGGTTTGTCTATACGGTATCGAACAGTATACAACTGACCGATAATCTGTGATATCTTTTGATACCTCTTGATATATGTAACAGGCTCCTTAGATCTTATTCAATAGCCAGAAGCTTGTTCCCTTATCGATTAACACTGATAAGAAAATCTGTACCATAAGGAATGATTTTTCTCTTTTAGAAATATACAATGAGGGAACTGTTTTGTGGCGTGATTACAAACAATGTTGTTTCTTTGGTATGTTTTTTCTATATTTCTTTGAAAATTGTTCGTATGAAAATTTTTTAGCATCAATAAATTGATTGATGTAGGTATAAACACTAAGTATGATACATTTTTTATTATTATGGTAAGCAAAAAAGATTGAAAATTTTTGATCAAAAGAAGAATCAGATTTGATTTTCAGAGAATCAGTTTTTGTAATTGGGCTTTTGTTTTCCCGGGGAAGCGGTAACTCAGAAATATTCTATTCATTGTACAGTTTAAAACATGAATATTTCAAAAGTGTCCACTAACAACTCAACGGTTAAAAACAATTCACGTAATCATAAGTTATTTACAAGTTACATTAACAGATTTTGTAATTGACAGTTCGACTGCAATCTATAGATGATATTAGGTTAACCAAAGCGAGTGATCCAGCTACAACGTGAGTGAACGAGAGGAGAACATAAAGACTTATTAACGGCCACAAGCACAAATTTAAAGAATATATCATAGAATGGGCCTTGATGCACGAGCATAAATTAATAATCCCAAATTTGAGTGAAGAATCCTTTATATGAATGAAGAATAAGTACATATATCATACGCTTGCAAGAGAGGGGAGAAGATGCCCTATAAAAGCTCACGCATATTCCAAAAATTACAAAGAAATTCAAAGCAAAAATTAGGGAAACTTTTTGAAAACTCCTGTAGGATTCCTCCTATGTCCATTTGATTTATAAAGTCGAAACTATAGCTAATGTTATATTTCTTGGTTCTCTCTAGGATTGTAAACATGTCAGCAAAAGAGAGGAAGAATTTTACTCTGTCAGGTGCACAGTAGCTGATATGAAAAATCTCTATGTGAGTGAATTTTTATGCTGTCTTGGTTTGGAAATTTATAAATTAGAATCGTTATGAAAACTAAAAGATATGTAAGAATAAAGAGTGTCCACGCCTTAAGGTGGATTTGGGATATGCGAAAATTGAGAATGTTTTGGTGTTTATCAGTGTTATGACGTGTCTTATTTTGAGCTTACAAGAAAAGTCCTCATTTCCTGTTTGAAGATACGCAACTATCGCTATTTCCAAGGTCGCCACCGCAAAGAAACATTATCTCATTCCAGAGCCAAAGATAGCAGAATGAAACTCTTAATGCCTAGGTGCACGTTTGTGTCTTTGCTAGGCTCAGTTTTTATAGAACGAGTCACAAGGTTGCAGTTGCTTGTTTTGTTAATCGAAATTCATTGACAATCAAAGTGAAACGTTGCCTTAATTTATGGATCTGTTCACGCAGGAATCACTGGATGAGGAAACAGTGAAGGATGTTCTTGAAGGAGATAATAAGTACACATGCTCACAGTGCCAAGAGAAAGTTAGAGCTGAGAAACGGTAACATTTAGATTCTAAACCTACTGCAACACCGAGTATACTGCGTTAGCTCAAGTTTTGTATTCATGTCATCCCTCCCCCGACAGTTAGTGCTTCATGAGTATTGAGTATCTTAGTCAATGACCAATCTTACTATTCAAAAGTACAGTATACATCTTGATGCACTATTTTCTCCGTGGTAACAAAATTTTCAAAGCATTATTTAGAACATAATCCTTTAAATGTCCTGACTTTTTCTGAATAGTCAGAATGGCCTCAGAATTTGTATCTGTATTTTTTATTTGTTTCTACCCAGCATCCGAAAGTAGTTTTTAAGGACACTGAGAAGGTTATGCTTATCGAGTAGTGTCCTGGTCCTTCCTCTCGATGTGACCACACCTCGTGATTCCTACGCCTGGAATTACAGAGAGCTGGCGACTCTCCTCACTCTGGGTAAAAGTTTGGTCATGCCAGGGACTCGAACCACGGACCCTTGGGTCTGTAGTCAGCGCCTTTAACAACTGAGCCATCCTTGTACCTCACCCCCTCCCGGAGCTTTGTAGTGTTTTTACGGGAATCAGTATTTAATTCAACACAAGGAATATTCAAGGATAGTGGCTGTATCCCAAAGGCTGCCTAGTACGAGGGTTGAGGAAGTGGGGCTTATTTTAAAGGATGTAAAACGATTCGAGGATGTAAATTCATCAGTGGAAAAAATTACTTTGTTAAAGTTATCTGTTTTTTTTCATTCAGGGCTTGTTTCAAGAAATTACCCAAGGTTCTTTGCTTCAATACTATGAGGTATACTTTTAACATGGTGACCATGATGAAGGAGAAAGTAAACACGCATTTCTCCTTTCCAATGAAACTCAACATGGCCCCGTATGCTGAAGAATATCTCATGCAAAATAAAGAACAAGGTAGTTCATTAATTTAAGCTTTTTTAAAAAAATTTCAAATTAAACGAATTTATTTTCCAGATTTAATACCGTTCATTTCTAGAATGTTTTCATTTGTTGAGAACACCTCTATCTAATGTCATGGCAGTTATTATGCTGTACGTCGTTGTCTGTGATCAATGGCTTGCGTAAGAATGCGTAAACAAAGCCCAAGGGGGCTTGAAAAAGTGCAACCATTTCGTGAGCCTATTAACAGCCATCTCCGGCGCGACTCTCTACAAAGGTGGATAATGACCTGAAGGTGGCTCATGATTGGAAATTTTTTATTATTGCGTATGGTCTATCTTTGCCTCAAAATTTGGGGTTGCCTCACACATTTGAAGACTTGGCACACTACCAAGACTAGGCACACCACCAGCATAAAGCATAAAAAATATAACTCTGTGGCCTATTTTTCACAATATTCGGTCGTTCTCATCAGAGTTTCTTGAAGAGGAATTGCATAAGCACAAAAAAGTATTTTATGATAGAATAAGATATTGTTTTACTCAGTGTGAATCTGGGCCTGTTTTTTAGTGTTTTTAGACCAATTAGGTGTTATTAGAGGATTTTGCACGGCACACCAGATAGTATCTTGTTGCACACTTGGTGTATCTCGCGGCACAGTGATTGAAAACACTGTCCAAGGTGAAAGAATATTCTGATGTTCAGTCAAGCATTCTTCATTTTTTCATCTGTTGTTTACAGATCCTGATGACGACCCCCGGTATTGGTACAACTTAGCAGGCGTTGTAGTACACACTGGCACAGCCGACGGTGGTCACTACTACAGTTTTATTAGAGACAGATATTCAAAATCAGGAAATTGGTATTTGTTTAACGATGCTGAGGTGAAGCCATTCGATCCATCGCAAATCGCTGCTGAATGTTTTGGTGGGGAAATGATGGTTAGTATTTTTCTTTATTGTTTGTCGATTGTGCTAGGCGAGCTTCTAATGCAGAATAAGGGGAGATGATAAAGAACACAACTTTCACTCAGGGTGAGGAGGGTCGCCAGCTCTCTGTATTTCTAGGCTTAGGAATCTCAGGATGTCGTCCCCTCAAAAAGAAGGACCAGGACACTGCTCGATAAGCACAGCTTCTCAATGTCCTAAAAACTACCTTAGGATGCTAAGTAACAAATGCAAACAAATTGAGGACAATGATTGGCCAATCATTGTGAGTGATTCAATTCAGACGCTTTGATTGGCCAATAATTGATTGACAGGTGGCTAAAGCCAATATAGTATCAGTTGAAGCAAGCCTTAAAACTATTCCGTAACTTTAACGTTCTGTTCCATGTTTTAGACAAAGACATATGATGCTGTTACCGAGAAGTACATGGATGTTTCTTTTGAAAAAACTCACAGCGCATACATGCTGTTTTATGAACACAGTTCGATGTCTGAAGAAGAACAGCCCCCAAAGCAGGTGAGATTGCGCCAGGAATTGCAAAACTGGATCTGGGAAGACAACATGCAGTTTCTACGCGACAAACTCGTGTATGATTTGAGTTACTTCAATTTCATGTGGCAATTCTGTCACTCCGTGCCTAAATCGATCAACACAAGCGCTTCAGTGATGTATTTCAGTATCAAATTGGCAACATCCTTCTTGCTAGAGACGTTTTTTCATTCGCGGGAAAAACCACACATGAAAAACTGGATGGAAGTGTTGTTAGGGGGCCTAGAAAAATGCCACGCCGCTTGTGAATGGTTGCTTGACACAATGGGCGGAGATGATTGGTGGCTTCAACAGATGTTCATCAAATGCCCAGCTCAGCCTTTGCGACAGGTTTGTTATCGTCTAGTTTCTTGCTTAGACTTTGTTCTAGTTGTATGTTTGCCTCTTTACGTTAAGTTTTCGTTTAGCGCGAAACTCGGGGTTGCAACTTAGAACCATCCTGTTCTATACACCAAGGTCGTTGACTGAAGTATAAATACTGCCATTGCAAATCTTCCTTTCATTAAAAGTTGCCAGGGACAGGGTGGCTGTGCCCGCATGGTCCTCGAAAATATTATCAGGGGATCTGGAACCTCCACCCCCCCCCACTTATCAATTGTCTATACTATTTTATTGTCAGCTTCTTGGTTTAAATTCCTATAAACTAACCTAACTTCGCTGTGAAAGCAGATGACAACATCCTCAACCTCTAATGTGCAGTCATGTGACAAGCTGGCATATGAAGGGCTGGGCAATTAAGTGTTCGCTAAACGACTTTGCGTTTTTGTTTGGAAAGTCACATCGGCCTGTTTGATCAAAGAAATTTGTTTTAGTTTATTCTCGTCTCCTTGATCGACTTAAAGTTGAAATGGCGATTTGATTTAAATATCGTGAGGTTTTCAGATCCTTCTCATCTAAAGCAAGCTGCTCTTAGTGTATCAACGTGTTAGTCGAGCGACTGTTTTCTTTTCTGTTGAGTATAACAGTGGCTTTAGTTTTACAGCAATTTATTTGAAGCGTTAAAGTTAATTTCTATTTTGTAGATGTTTGGACAGCTATGTTTACACGCCATCAAAATTATCAGGCCGTCACAAATCAACGAGTATTGTCAGATTTCAGAAGAGTGAGTTTTCATAGATCTTTTTTGCCAGTTTGAACTCAGTTTATTCTGCCCTCTTGTCCGCATCTGGTTTTATGATCAGAGTTATTTGATCATGATATTTCGGTATCATTTAAAGAAGTGTTTAAATTTTTTGTAGATTTTGACAAGGATTTAGTTTCCTCTTGAAGCACATATTTATTCCTCAAAGTGTATGATGTTTTCATTGCAGTGACAGTGACTCGAACGACGATGGTGAATTTGGTTCTGGATCGCCCATAACGAGGTTCATTAAAACCAACCTCACTTTGGTTAGTATGCTTGTATTTTCCCGCGTTTTTCATGAGATGTGTAGCAGGATTTATTTTGGTTCAATACACAAATCGTTTTGATTGGTTGTTCAGTGATTGACAGGAATATGTTGACCAATAAGCCATTTTCTGATTTCCAATTTGAAGAGCGTTTTTTTCATTGAAACTTAACTTCCAGTTTCGCAGTCGAGCTGTGATTATGGTCATTTTATAGAATTCGATTCAATCTTGAAAATTTTTTATTTTCGCTAAACCGTAATTTCTATGGAACGAGAAAAATGAGGCACCCTACTTGTACAATTTCCTTTATCTGATAAATTTGAAAGTATGAAGTTTTTCAATCTTCTCTCTTATCCATAACATGGAACATTGAACATGTAAATGGTCGTATGATGTAGAAAGCTGCACATTTTCGCATTTCGCGATTAATCGAAGTTTACGCGATTAATTGTAGTGGTTACGAGACAAAGGCTTGGCATTTATGTTTGCTTTATAAAATTTTGAAGCGATTTACATTTTCAAATTTTTGAAGCAAAAACAAAACCCCAACAAATGCAGTGACCTTCAAAAGATGCCTTTGAAACTGTTTTTGCCATACTTGTTCGAAATCGTAACTGTTTTGGTATCATTTCAGTTGGAAGACAACATAAGATCGCATTGCAAAAATCTTGGTGAATTGTTCCACTTTATTTACCAGTTTGTTTCCCTTGGTCAAGAAGAGGTTTGTACTATTTTTTGTCCAATTTTTGTCCTTTATTTTTTGTCCACTTTAGGATTTGCGTATATTGAGTATTTTTTATTTGCTCGAATTTCTGCACATATTTTCTCTCCAAATTGCAGTAGCTTGTAAGTTAATTCTTTTATGATTGATTGTCAAAATAACTTCCATGGATAAATATCTTAAATTTTCTACATAACAATGTCCTCTGTTTACAGCCAGCTTTTTTCAGCCAAAAAGATTTTCTGGATATTTAATTTCAAATAAGTGTCCAGTAGTGGCTAGTCTAGCTAAATGAAAGAGCTCTTATGATTTTCTGACATTAGTTACCATAAATAAATAGTTATGTTCATTAGGCCTAATCGTAAAAATAGCTGCTTTAAGGGAAAATAATTTTCAAAAAACTTTTCACTGCATTAAAGAATCCGAGAAGGTCAAGTAATTAGGATATGGACCTCTCGAAAAGGTCAAGTAATTTGGACAAGTAATTTCAATCAGTCATCTACCTACTGGGCCAATGTAGCAGCTTGCTCATGTGAAGTAGTTTGTTTTGTTGAGGTCTTATCTGAAGGGGAAGGAGCCATGCTGTATATTATTCAGCCTGTAATTTAGGCCTGTTAAGGATTCCTAATTATTTAAACACAACTTTACAATATATATTTTGTGACAAAATTTATTTGAATAGCATCATTCTGGCTTTTCTAGTGTACGTTTATGCTGAATATTGATGCCATTTCGTCCATTGTGCATTTCTATATGGGACTGAAGACTTCTGAAGTAGTAAGTAGACCATTAGGTAGCCGTAGAATATTTCTGAATTGTAACCTCGTGTTTACCGTGATCTACCTTCTCAAAAACATGGTTTAGTTACTGTTACGTAAAACTTACTGTGTGAATCCTTTCTTTTTCCTATAAATTTTGTTCTGCCATATGGAATCTAGTGGTTTTCCAATTTCGAGAAAGGTTTTGTTAACTTGAAGCTTGCATACGCAGTTTAAATTAAGATCCCGTTGATACACACATCTCTGGACAGATAGAGTGGGAAGTGCTGATCTCATCAAAATATATCTTTGAAATTTTAAGATATAACCTGAAAGAACACAATATTACTTTAATTACCTCTACATGTGCAAAATCAACTAGAAACTCTAACAGTTACAAAGAAGATTGCCTGAGACATTGCCACATGAGTTCAGACTTCCTTAAAGACTCATTGCTAACAATGGGCCTTTGCGAGCGTGGCGACGGTCCAAACAATGGCAGTAATTGATTTTAGACAGTCTAAAAATGCATTATGGGATGGTTACGTAACGCAATGGCTCATTGTTAGCAATGAGCCTTTAAACCATTCACCGTAAATTGGCGCTGGTTCTAAAACTTACGAAACATGCAAAATAACCAGAATCCGTCAGCAAACTTCAAATCTTTCATTGGTCATCTCTCAGTTGATATGTAACAATTTTAATTGATTTTGCACATCAGTGTTATTTTACTGTGTTCTTTCTACCCATGCAGTTAAAACTTCAATACTTAACATTTAAAATAGATGTTTATGACGTCATCAATTTGCCACTTACCGAAACACGAGTCTTCTTTTCCAAGGCCGATATGACAAATGACGACGATGATGATTTGGACATGGATGAAGAAGACATATTGTCAATCTTCCCTGAAGAGCGCTACAACCCTAGTGCCTTGGAAAAGATGATTTCCACCATTGCTGTTTTGTTGGACGAGGCGAGAGATGATGGGTAAACACTATTGCCTAGCTATATGATTTTGTTTGATACACGTTTATTCATATTTAGTGACTGGACTTTGACTTTGTCTACATTGCATATGGTACCTAATTTCGAACTAAGTTTGTGCGATTTGTATTAAACTTGTATTAAACCCCCTTGTATTAAACGTCATACAGATATATTGAATACTTTTAGTATTGAGAGAGAGACATAATATATGCTTATGCAAAAAGTGATTCTACCAACTAACGTTAATAAGACATATGCTTTTCGGGCCTTTTTTCGAGATTTTTCATGTAAGATTTGATTTGGTTTGTTAATTTGATTTTATATGTATTTGCAATGTGAAAAGACTTTGTTAAGCATTTAGAAAATGTATTTTTCCATTGTAGACGATTGAGTTTATCAGAAAATGATTATCACGCACTGACTGGCGAAAAGGTTGGTATTCAGAGCTTTGGTTTGGTTTGCTGATTTCCAGTAATACAGAGGGAGCAATATTTCCATGCATTTTAGCCCTGTTAAACCTTTGAATTAAAAATAGAAGATTTCTCTAGAGAAAAGCTCTAGGAAAAAGGGGGCTTCCCTAGGGTCTCAATTGACATTTAACAAAATTGTGGGCTATTATGCCAAATACCTTGATGCTTAGAGGCATTGAGTCATGGTAAATAGGCCTTCTCTATAGGGGGTCATTTGGTTTCAGCGTGATCGCTGCTGTTTCATGTGATATTTGCCTACGTTGTTGACGACTTGCTATTGATGGAAATTGTTTTGTCAATTAGTACGAGGTGAGTTCATGTGACCAGTTCCAGGTCAACCAATAGCATGGCATTCATGAAAATCATGACTCAGCGGATTCTGACACTTAGGGTATACCCAATCCATTTTATCATGACTCAATGCCTTTAAAATTTGTAAGTTTTACAGAGACAACAATGTATCTCTTGGGGATCTTATGAAAAGATCCGTAAGACGTTGCAAACATAGCAATAAATGAAGAACCATGTCTCTTGTTCATTTCTGTAAACAACTCCCTGATACTGATCTTATATTTGTTGATATTCTTGAAGTTAAAAAGGTTTTAAGTATTCTGAGTCTAGAGTTTCAGAAATTGTTAACAATATGGACACTTTACTTAGAGAAACCATCAATAATTTTCTCCCTCTCCATTGCCAAAATTGACATACTGACAAAGGTCGTGAAGAGTTTATTAATAAACGAAATTTAAAGGCAGTCGACCGATATAAAAGTGGATTTAGCCATCTGTCGGTCCATATTAGCCAATCAACAAGCGTGTGAGTGAAATCACACTCACTGATTGGTCAATTTCTTATTGAAAGATGGCCTAAGAACTTTTAGTATCTGTCGATTGCTTCTAATAAAACTTTTGCTTGTTCAATTTTGTTTATTTCCTCCCAAGTCCTTGTTGATTAATGAAGTCATGCTGCCCACGTTGAAAATACTCATGAAAACAATTTATGTAAGAATTTTTCTATACGTCTTGGTATATGCCTCTTTTGTAGTTTTTGTATCCCTATATTCTATGTACATTTTAAGTTCTGCAGTACTTGATAAATTATCATAAAATTTTCGTATATTGTCTATTGATATCGCTCTCTCTCACTCTCTTTTAGGATTTTCCGTTTATATTCCAAATAACAAAAGATGGCATCAACCTGAAGCAGACAGCCCATATCATTTTCAGTCTCAGTCAGTACGATATAGAGATGGCTGAACGCGTAAGTAGCCTGCATTGGTTGTCATACATGGAGTATCTTGAACATGATGATGGCACCTACGATAACACGTTGACACGTTGATGATTTGGAGTTTTTTTTGTTATTTTAACATGCGTCAAACTTGCTTGTGTATCAGTTTTAAAATGGCTTTGAAAAAAGCAAACATTTTACGACATACTATAAACTTTATCGTCTGACACTCCTAAGAGCATAAAACGTCAGAATAAGGGCCCGAAATAACACGATGAAAAATATATACCCATTTGTGGATCGAAATAGGCCAATCAGAAAAACGCAAGCACAAGACCGGTATAGTTGACCAATCAGTGCCGCGAGCCTAAAGGAAAATTACCAATGGAGTCCAAGAGAGAAAACGAACTCTTTCTGTCTACACAATGGCGGCTTGTATCAGTTTTACTAATCCTTCATATCAAAGCTGGCTGGATACACGCATCATGTTATACCAGAAGCATACATGTATTGATAGGAAACTCTGATAGAAGATTCTCATAGTCTCATACTTCATAGTTACGATATTTTTATTTAAAAGATTTTTCATATGAGATGTAGTCAGAAATGGGCACTTATACGCTTTATGACTAGAATCTATAAAATATAATATATTATATAAAATATATACCTTCCTTATAAGATGTAGTTATAAACGAGTAGTCATTAGATCAATTCTTAAGAGATCCTTGAAATTAGACATGGAAAAACCTTGTAAAAATGCTTATTGCTAGAAATTTTTCAGATATTATTCATATCTACATGCCATGAAAGTTTCTTTCTACTCTGACAGATTCTTCAAATGCTTGTAACAGCCATTCAAAAACTGCCGGCCGAGGTAATTTCATCTAGATACTCAGATTTACGATTTTTTGTGACCACAACGTCCTTGATTACCAAAAATATTTGCTAAAATTGGCATTCATGTTTGATCACACTTCGTATGATTATGTTGGTGACATACAAAGTAAACCGGGCAGTTTGTTGTCAATTTTTAGCTGGTTTCTATTGGCCGGGTTCAAAGATAGAGTTACTTTGCAAAAAGTGTTCTAGATTATTTTATTTTACAAAGGGAAGTGGCGAAAGTTTTTGATATTTTTTAAATTATTTCAAAACTTAGAACCTCTCCGTTTGCATCATGCTCTAGAATTCTAAACCTCGTCTCCTTTTTCATTTCAAGCAAATACAAAACTTCTTCAAGCTCCTGTCACTTTTGACGGAACATGATTCTGTTCCAAATCGCGGTCTACCTTCATTCTCCAACCTTATTTTACCAAAGATGGCTCAAGTAAGTATTTTTTGTTATTAACTTTCTATATTCAAATTTCTACAAGAAAACGCCACAGAACTTTACATTTTTCACTAATTTGTTGTATCCGATGTCATATTGTCAGAGGTATGTCATCCCCTCCCCCTAACTTTTCATACAACCTGTGCTTGCTGTTTTTAGCCAACCGCTATACAATATTGTCATTTAGAAAGATATCAAATGATAGAATTTGAAGTAGCTTTTAAAAATGATGAAATTTACCAAGCTCTCAGACAGCTTTGACAGCTTAGATTAAGATCACAGGCATCTCTGATGGCAGTAGTATTCTTATTCACATTTTGCATATTAATTTTCATACATTAATCATATTTTTGCAACCCTGCCTTTCCAAACGAACGATCTGGTTTGGGTTAAGTAACTTGTAATCTGACGTTGTCATCCTAATTCTTTGATTTTTCTTTCAATCTTCCTCTTCTTGTATCCTCATGATTCAAATCTTGTTCATTTTGTAGGTTGCTGAACAAAATCCTGGACTCTATATTGACTGGCTGACGTCACAAGTACCAAGAAACAAAACGGTACTTGATTTTTCTTTGGTAATCATTGTTGGTAACTGGTGTCTTAAATGGTCGCTGGGCTGCTAGGAATTTTATAGCAAAATTCTTTTTGGCTTCAATGGTATGAAATGAATGAAAAGAAGATTTTAGTAATTTGCAATGTTTATTTCTGTTAATCATTGATTGTAAATATAATTATGTTTGGTTTATTAGGCTCACCAATGGACATTGCAGAATTTGGATCTGTGGGTCGAAAGATATTTAATTGCTGATAACAACCCAAGAATAAGAAATGGTTGGTATTTTATTTTATTTGTTGTATTAAATCTTCTTCTCTTGTTCTATTTTGGAGCAATTTCACGCCAGGGATAACTTGTTTGTTTTGAGTGAAAAGGTACAAGGTAACGGCTGGTAATAAAATCATAGTAGACCCATAGCCATTTTTCTAAGGGAACAAGCCGATTAATTTTTTGTGGATCCTCAAAGCTATATGGAAGGCAAATGGCGTGCCCCTTTGATCTCCGACCAGAATCCCGACCAAGCCCTAGCTTCCTTGACTCCTTGACTTCCTTGACTACTCGTCTACTCTTTCCTCTATTGATTGGTTTCTCCGTGCAACCTCCCTTTTTGCCACTTTTATGCTGTCTTTTTATGTCATCCTGTCTCCCTGGCATTAGCCTCTTGTCTCTCAACCCACTTTTCTTACTCCCGCTCTTCTCTTTACAAGCCCTTCCCCAAAATGATTTCCATTTTCTGTCCATGCTCTTTCCCTTAGCTCATCTAGCCCTAAGCTCCATGGTAACGCATATGTATTCTAGCAAATCATACCTACTTTCATCTACTGTATATTTTCTTTTTGTTGCAGGTGCGGCATTCTTGTTGGTGTCTCTCGTCCCAAATCCACACTTCCCGCAGGCCTTCAGGTATGACATTGTTATTAGAAACCCGCCTTTTTCAATCGTGAAGAAAAATTTCTACATCCACTGACCTTTTTGTCATTCTTTTAAAGCCCCCCTTTTCTCGAGAATCTTAGAATTCCCCACAGCCAACCTTTTGAATACGTTTTGGGATACACCCCAAACATATTCCAATTTTCCTTTGAAGGCTTTTCCTCGTAGCTGTTTGCCCTGGAATATCGTTACGTTCCCACTTTTATGTTACTTTTTGAGATTCTTTCACACACTTCTCTCATATTTAAACTGCTATCGTCTAGGGCTCTTTACCTATGAATATTTCAAGGCTGCCCCCTTCATTCTACAGTCTGTGATTCCTGCCCTTAATATTATCACATTTTAAAACCTCCCAGTTCGGAATAAAGGTCTCTTTATATTACCCTTTGAGAAACTTTCCACGTATTTTTTCTTCCCGTGAATCCTTTCAATCTTTTGCCCTTTTTTTCCACTTCATGCACCCGTTTGATTGCAGTTCTATATTTTCCAAAACATGAAAATGTCCTCAGACTTCTTACATCTCCCCACCACTTTCTTTCTATATATACTGTTTTTTAACTGTTATTTCATTAGATTTGCTCTCATAAAAAGCTCCTACTAATTTTGAATTCTGATTTAGGGCCAGAAGCTTTGCTCAGCCCCAAAAGGAATGGAAGGTTAACAGTTTTATCAATTATTCTCATAGCATTTTAAATTAATGTTTTGATATTTGTTATATTTACTACTTTACAGATTGGCTGAAGCCATTTATTGATTTTTTTTATCTTCTATAAAAATAGTAATCACGTTTAGAAGGGTGATAATTTGATGCCTTGATTTCTCATTTTAGGCTCTTGATCAATGATTTGGCATTTGCTTTAGGCCAAAATAACTTTTAATATCAATCAAACATCCCTTTCCATACACATAGAGCTAGCCCTGCCTTTTTGCAGTTATTTGTAACGAATGTCTTAAAATTCATTCCCACAGTGACCAGCTAAACTCGGGATTTAATGCTATTTCATCTATTGTTTGCGCGGAACTATTATTGTCAACATTCGATAATATTCGATCCTTTTTGTCGTAGATGTCAGCTGAAACCAAATTAGTCCTACACAAAGTGAGTTTTCTTACAGACCGCATATTGTGATAATCCAGAAAGGTTCAATTTGTAGGCTAACAAGGCAAATAGCTATTGAATATTTCTGCATTAATTTTGAGATAAAGGAGGACAAGCAGCTATTACCCATTTTATGTTTATATTTTTCCATGTTTAGAAAATTCTTAAATTTATAAAGAATTGAATACTGTGTCGAAGTTACAAATTCACAGTCTCTAGTTTTGAAATTTTACTGTCGCAAATAAGTGATATTTTGTCTCTTTAAATTGAAGAATTGCCTTCCTTATATTTTGATTTTTCTAGACAAACTTCCACGTGTGAAGCAATCTTTTTTGCCTTTTTATTAATTCATTTCACGTTTATTTTGCATCATGTTGGTATTCAATTTTTTCCAATTTTATTCCAATTAAAGTTTGCTCTTCCTTTAAGGTCATATTCTTTTGAAATAGAGCTCGTATGCATTGGAACATATTCCTGCAAAATACTTTTTTTATTGTATCTTCAACAATGCTTTTATAAATCTCAAACTTCTTTCAGATATACATTTACCTGTTGGATCTGTTAAAAAATTTGCGAAAGTATGCGGGTAAGTATTACTTATAAACATAGAGTATATTTCACCTGAGATCTTTTTTCAAACCCAAGAGACATGCTCTCTCCCTCGAGGGCTTCGGGTCTCTTTTATATGTAATCCAATTTCTTTTCCTATTCCCTGAAGAATTTTTCATTTTTAGGCACATTTTTCGTTCGGCATATGAAGGGTGGGATAAAGATTTAAATGCCTGGCTGTAAATCCCTCTTTTTTAGGCATTTAGTGGGTATTTTATGGAGTGATACCAGCAAGAGCACACCCTTTTACAGTAGGAATCTTTCCTGCCTGTCTGTTAAGTATGAGGTCCAGATCTCTAGATCCAAGACCATTTGCTTCACGGGGCCTAAGATACTTGCAGGAGACAATATTCTGGGATCTTTCCTGCCTGTCTGTTAAGTATGAGATCCAGATCTCTAGATCAAAGACCATTTGTTTCACAGGGCCTAAGATACTTGCAGGAGACAATATTCTGGGTTCTGGACAATATTCTAGATCAAAGACCATTTGCTTCACGGGGCCTAAAATACTTGCAGGAGACAATATTCTGGGTTCTGGACAATATTCTAGATCAAAGACCATTTGCTTCACGGGGCCTAAAATACTTGCAGGAGACAATATTCGGGATTTCAAATATCCCTGGAAATAACTTTTATGAAGAAACCTTTTTCGAATGAAAATTGGCTTTGCTGGAAAGCTATACAGGTGTAGCGGCACTGTAGGCATACTTTTGTATGTACAAAATTTGCTGTGAGAAGGTCTCCCGCCTTTCATTGTCTTATATGAATTACTAAATGGCTTTTTGTTCTTGTAAGAATAGTGACGTGCCACTAGTTCAGTGGTTGTTTAAGTTTCGACATGCCAGCGTAGATTGTCCCATGCGGACCATTATCAAATATGCACTGCTGCATAGGGCTGTTTATTGGTTGAATTTTTATTAATACTATGGGCTTAAATATTATCAGGCTTTAGTTTGTATTTTCTGTTATTTTAGATGCAAGTCAGCATGGGACAACAAAACTTGTTAGCTATTTCTCAGTTCTTAACTACTCGCTAGTGTCTCAAGAAGAAAAATTAATGGTAAGCTTTTGAGTCTTTGATGCTAATAAATCGATAACCTTTTTTCTGTAAATCCTCACCTGAAGGCGAAGTTGCCTGCCTCACGAATCATTAAAATCTAAAACAGGCATGGGGCGCATTTACATTGAGATTAAGAACCAGGGTTCTTTCATTCAGGCATAACTCTGGTAAAGGGTTACGTCAGATGCTTGCAAGTAACAAAAAAGGAACCTTTTGTTTTTTTTCACATTCTGATATTTATAGTTTCCTGTTTGAATGCAATTTCATCGTTTCTTCAGTGGATTTTGATCATTTTGTATACACAACGAAACAACAAACCAGAACCTTAAAATTTCAAAATCACTTTTCATATGTAGTGTAATGATTGAAACGATTTATGTTAATAATTTTGTGTATCTTGTTTCAAAGTTCACGCCATATAGTGCTGATTTATGGCAGCTTTTCTACCCAAAAATGACGGAGCCTGACATAGCTGTACATTTTAACAAGCAGGTGTGTTCCTCATTAATGTTTATATTTACTTTTATTTATGTTTATATTTACATATCATATTTATGTATCTATCAATCTTTGTTCATTTTTGCCTCTGTCACTTTTGTGTTATTTAGAAGGACTATATGATTTAGAAAATATGCTTTCTTGCTGCCAGCAAGACGTGTGATATTGAAGATAAAGGACCTAGTAAGGGTTCATTTGCCAATGGCAGCGGAATTTAAAAAGCTTCAAATTCTTTTTCTTGTTGGTTGAACAAAAGCCATGTTTGAGATCCAAAACACAGTAATATATCTTGCAGTTTTCATCTGCCCGATCAAAATCTATTTGAAATCAATAAGAATCTCAATCTAATCGAAATATTTCTTTTTTAGGCTCTTCTCACTTTCTGGTTTCATGTTTGTATTTCCTGCGAAGAAAATATCAGATTTATTACTGAAACACCGGAAGTTTTTCAAAATATTGCTTATAACTACATTTTGTAAGTCTGAAATTTGTTATCACATAACTTGATTTCAATAACAGTGTAGTGTAAACGATTAAGGTTTTCAACACTGCTGTATGTTTGGGTATATTTCAGGTGTTTCAAAAATTAGAATCGTGTTTAAGAAGTAATCATTTTGAAATCAGAAATATCTTATATCAAAATGTTATCTGGAAATACAGTCAAAAATAAATTGGATTTATAGCTTTACTATTATTTGTATGTTAAGAAAGTTATATGTACCTGATGGACAGCAGAAAACTAAGAGATATCAATTCATCAACTCGGGGTATCGATTTAGATAACTTAAAACATGTAGAAGACTTGGTTATATTACTCTTTGATTCTGCAATTCTTTTAAGACATCCAGACGACTTTCTAATCTTCATATTGTCTTGGGGATTCTTCTCCTTTTTTTAAATCCTTGGAGATCCCGAAGCCAGTGGCGGATATTTGGGGGGCGAGGGGGGCGACCGCCACCCCCCAATACTTTAGAGGACAATGGTCTTTTGTTCTAAAACAATGGGAGATGTGACATCATCTTATTAAAACAATAGGCTTGCCCCCCCCCAATATTTGATCAAGTGTCCGCCCCTGCCCGAAGCATTCTCTTTAAGACGGTAAAATTGATTTTTCCTATTTATAATCACAACACAACAAGAAAGATTCTTCATACCCCTTGTTTTTCTTCTAGATCGAATGACGAACCAGAGGTTATTGCCTTCAACAGAAACGCGCTGCCAGTATACTACGGGCTGCTTCGCGTTGCTTGCCAATACTCGCCTGAATTCTGTCAACAGTTAGCGAGCCACCGAAATATGACTTGGGCTTTCAAGCACTTGACGCCCAGAATTAACCAGTATCCACAGGTTTGCTTCATTCTCATTTGCCTCGTTTTGTAAAATCAGTGCCTAGATTTTGGAAAAACAAAGGATACAATCAGTGACACGCCACTTTTTTAATAGGCGGAAGATGCCCCCTCATTCATTCATTTCTCAGCTAATCAAAGCGGCAGACATTTTTTTGGATTTCACTGAAATCAGATTACACATCCAACCAAGATTAACTACTTACACACAGTGACAGGAAGTATAGTTTTCCTTGTCACCGGAGATAATATGTAGTTTCACCATAGCACAGTCCTTGATTCTTTTGATTACCAATCACTTTCCTTTCTTCCAAGGCCGTTGAAGAGCTGTTCAATCTACTTGGTCTTTTCACAAGCAATAGACAATCGGATGAGAATCCTGAGTTGGTCAATGCATTCAGAGCAAAAGCTGTTGCATTGTTTAGCACTTCAATCGATGGCCAATCAGCATGGACAACATTGATCAGGTAAACTTTATCGCGACATTGTATCACAGCTTTCTAACAGGGGCAGCACATTGTAGAGTTAGGCCTAATTACACATTTTGTAAAGCTAAGTTTTAAGATTGCATGGAACATTGGGGAAAAGCACTTAATCGCATAGCAGTTCAATGAAAGGAGAACCATTGTTCATGGTAGACTGCCTTCTTCTTCTACTGTAGGTAGGTATAATTTCCCATTGATATCTATGTATAACGCTCAATTGCGAAGAACGGTGGTGTATGGGGGTCAAGGGGGCTTAAAGACTCCAAGGGGGTTAGCAAGGGGGCTTGCTGGCAATGAGCCATTGCGCTACGCAAACATCCCATAATGCATTTTTAGACAGTCTGAAATCAATTTTGGTTAATCCGTAGAAGTTAACTGCCATTGTTTGGATCGTCACCACGCTCGCAAAGGCCCATTGTTAGCAATGAATCTTCAAGTCAATAAAATTTTGGTTATCACCCTCGTAGGTATCTCTCACGGTTTCCCAAAAGCGTCAGCACTTCCTCCATTTTTGTTCAACTAAATCTCTTCATTAAAAAAAAAGTATATAAGTATATAACCTAACTGGCCTTTCGTCATTTTCACGTTATTTAGTGATCGTTATTTTGTTTTAGTGCGTACAAGGTTTTGTTACAATCAGAAGAAGAGTTATTGATTGTGGCAACGAACAATGGCCTAACCACCTTGTCGGAGGTATGTTGCTATTTAAATCCATGTAGCTGAAAAGCATTTTATTATTACTACTTAAAAACATTTTTAAGAAAGAGAAAACTACACATTAACGTTTAATGGAAGCAAACTTTATTTATGTAATTTAACTTTTATTATAAAGCTGAAAATTTACGTTTTTTTGCATCTTGCAAGCGTTAATCATGTTGACAGAGGCTTCAATTTGCTCTCTTATTTCTAGGCCCTGTTCACCCTGTTTGTCATGTATTATGAAGCTACTGCATGCAATGTTGAAGATGACATTGCTGAAGTCTTGCACATACTGCTGAATGTTATGAACTGCTGCATGAAACACCGGGATCGTCAAGGTAAAGCTTTAGGTAATTATTCTTGCATTTTTACGCATTGCCGTTGGCAATCAACAAAGGCATGAAAAGGGTAGGCTTGATCTTCGATAATTTAGTACCTTATCAAAACGCAGTGCTAGCTTGGGAAATGATAACAGAAACCAAATATGTGTTTGCCTGAATTATTTGACCGAAGCTATTGGTTTTTTTATACCAAAGCTTTATTTGTATCACGTACCTACTAGTAAATTGTGCTTTAGAACGGCATACCCGTGTTCTTTAAGAACACACAGGCCTTTTGAAAAACATTTCGAGGAAACAATTTTAGTAATTACAATGGCAGTTTTTTCATAAATTTATCGAAGATTCAATTTTCAAAGAAAAATTTAGGTTATCTTTCAGCACATTTTACACGTATATTTTTTGTGGGTAGTGGTAAAAACGTGCAAATTGGCCTAAATCTACCTGCGAGGCACGTTTTTTGTCATATTCTTGAATTCTGATTGGTCAATTTGGTATGCAGAATTTAGGTCGCTCTGCCAATCAAAGATTTGGAACATATGCTGGCGACCATACATTCTGTATAAGTACTAACTGGCACCAGAAATATGGTGACCGGACAGTCTGCATAGGTACTAGCAGGGCCCAGAAATATGGCAACCAGACGGTCTGTATAAGTACTAGCTGGGCCCAGAGAAATGGCGACCAGGAAGAAACGAATTCTGTAAGGTTAAACAAGACACTGCTTATTATGGACGATGGTGAACTTTATTCCATCGAATCAAATCTTGCATCTTAATTAGGTCTAATTTCCTATCTGATCTTGAAAATATCATTTTAATCATCTTCTTTCTCTTTAGAAATAAAACGAAGCCTGTTTAGTTGGAAAGAGAGAAGAGAAGTCATGCAAAAACTCGCTTCCATGCTAAATTCCTACTCTCCAAGAAAGATACGGCATTCTTGCACTGGTCAGTTACTAATTTTTATTCATATTCATATATTCATATATTCATATATTCATATATTCATATATTCATATATTCATATCAAAATTTCACTAACGATAGCTGCAAAATTCAGAATTCTTGCCAAACTGTTTATCTTGTCAACAAAATGAAAGTTTTGTTTTGTTAGCCCACGATTGTTACTAAATCTCAGTTGACATAGACAGCGCCATTCGAAGGCCCTATTCACAGTATTGCGTCGTTTCTATGCAAAACAACTTGTGTACATGACATATCTTTGATAAAAGGAAGACAATACTCGTTAGAAAAATATCAATTTTTTTTACTTTAAAATCATTTACTTTTGCGATCTATTTTCTATCGTATTGTGCAAGAAATTCAAATTTATATTTGCTAGCTATCTTTTTAAAGAATTTATATCTTTATTTGTTATTCTTCTAAGAGACTTTTCTTTTGAAGATCTTCTCACGGCGTTTTTGATTCTCTACAACGAAGATACGATCGAGACGCTTGCACCGATCATTTATCAATCACATGTTTCGATTGGAAATCAGCAGAATCCACGTAAGATATTTGAGTCATCATCGACTCGCTGTTTACATTTTCGACAAGCAACTTTGATATTTTGTGCCTTGCTTCTCTGAAATAGTTATCTAGGGCATTCTGTTTCCTCTCAAATATTTTTAAAAATCCCTTTGTGATACTCGTTTGCAACTTTTCTAGGTGAGGTTACACCTTTCAAAGCTGTTGATTTTTGTAACTATATTATCGTATTAAAACACATGTCCAGTTAATTTTGTAAAGTTTTGTTCCAAAGCCTCAGCTGTGCCTTTTCTATGATGCGAATATCATCTAGGCCAACAATTGATGTTTGCCTCTAGTTAGTTAAGTTGAGGATCATCTGTCCACAAATCATTTAAAGTTAGAACTTTATTTTGCTGCTTATGGCATCTTCTCGTATAATTTCTTCATTTTAAAGCCTTGCATAAAAGCACTCAGCCTTAGAATACCCCAAATTGCTCTTTCTATTTTGGAGCTTAAGACGTCTTTCTACAATTTCCCTATATTCAAATTTCTTTCTCTATCGTTGCTGGTATCAGCAATCCCCCTTATCATTTTCTCTGCACTACATTTTAAGTTCTACGCCCACAATAGTCCTACATTCGGAAATCTTTTCAGTTATTCGGAAAGGGGGCAGTTAGCCTTTGATTTCTCACTCAAAAGCTTTCTTAGTACTCTTTTTTGATCCCTCTCACAATTCTTCCTAATTCAAATTCCTTTCCAGCATTGACACGCCTCAAAATTTCCAGATTTTTTCCCTACTAGCTTTTTAGATTAATCCCCACATTACTCTCATGTTTAGAATCCATTTGTTACATTTTCTATGTGTAATTGATTTCCTCTTTACAGTTTTTTACTTTCTATTAGTTTTACAAATGCAATGTTCCTTTTACCTTGATTAAACAACAAAACCACTTTGATTGATATCACAGTTTAATTTTAAAAATGACCTTATTCTGATTTGTCGTTTTTAGCTGTCCCTGGCCAATTTTTCCCAAGACGAGGCAATAAACCCTTACCAAGAAAACTCTCTATAGCTCCTCGTATTCCCGAACTAAATATGGTTTTACATCCAGTGTACATTGAAGCTCAAAAGGTGAGGGTTATTTGATAACCTGATAGACGTTTAGTAATGCGAGTTGATGATAATTGACATGTTGGAGCTAGTACTTCGCGGTGGACGAATTAATGTCTTTTGCCGAATAAGCACCCTTTTCTTGTGAGTCATAGAGCATGCGCAGCCGAAACATATTTTAATGCGCATGCCTCTTTGACTGTATGAAGGGCACCTGGCTCACTTCTTGGCTTATTTTTTTTGGCAAGATTTTGACTTATTCCTATGCGGTCTATGTGAACCTTCAAAGGTTTTAACCCCAAGGCAAAACGACGTTTGTTCGACCGGAAAGCCAGGATAGCTCATAATTAGTCGCAAATAAAATCTAATTGTAAATCTGGTAACTGCCTACGTCACATGAAAACATGATCACGCCATGCCACACAGCACACAGATATGCAAATTGTCTGGGGCAATGATTTTGTTTGTTTATTTGTGATTTTAGGTATCGCTACTTCTGATTAACTATATTATTCGTTATGTAAAGTGAATACCTCCTAGTACCAGGCACCTACAAAGAACAAACAACAACTAATTAAGAAAACTGCTCAGTAACAAATATTCCCGATACGATCATCCACATTACGGGCACCTTCCAATAACAGACACTTCCAAGCAACGGACACCTCCGAGTAACAGACACCTATCAACAACGGACACCTTCCAATAACGGACACCTCCAAGGAACGGACACCTCCAAGGAACGGACACTTCCAAGCAACGGACGCCTCCGAGTAACAGACACCTATCAATAACGGACACCTTCCAATAACGGACACCTCTAAGTAACGGACATCTTCCAATAGCGGACACGTCCCAGTAACGGACACCTTTCAACAACGGAAACCTCCTTACAACGGGCTTTAACTCTTCATGTGTTCGGTATATGGAGATTCCAGTCTATGATTTTATTCATAACTTCTATAAGATAGGTAAAGATTTCTAATTGCTCTGATTATGACAGGTAATTCCGGATTTATCTTTTCAGGGTATCGATGAATCTTACGACCAATCCCTGGTTGAATACTTTTCTGATTACCATCATTTCGTCGATAAGCTATGCCGCTACGCATTGAATGCCGACCAGGTTCCTCGTGTGATAATTGAAATTAGTAAGTATTGCTTAAAATAATTTTCTTTAGATCTGAAAACATTTAATTAGTACTATTCCCCTTTTTTGTTTTCTGCTAGCATGTCTGTTATTTCCATCAAGCTAAAGAGGCTTATTCAAGAAATTGCCATGGCAATTTGAAGTTATTGATTTTAGTGGGTTAAAATGATATATTCTCAAAAGCATACTCTATATATTTGTATTTTTAAACACTATTTATGAAATAAATGTATAAAATATATGCTTTGATATGAGCGGCCTTTCTCTGGTATAATTAGATGTACCTTTAATATTTTTGAACGATTTAAAAATATATTTTATACAATCATTTCAAACGTAACTATTTCACTCTTGTTAGTGTACCAAGCTCTTTCTAAACTGTTTTGGCCTAAGATACATTATTTTGCAGTAATTTGTCATTAGCCATCCTTTCAGTGTTTTATTATCCTCAGTAGAATCTATAATGCTTCCATGGTAATTCTCATTCTATTCAGGTTCGTTCTTTTCATTTAATTATATTTTTTAATATTTCTATATTAAAAAAGCACATTATTTTCCCTTTTCAACGAACTTTAATTATTTTCTAGGCTGCATTCTCGGTGTCGAAGCAATTCCATTGAGACTGCATCTTTTCCCAAAACTATGGCTAGAAGTAAAAAATAAATCTCAAGAGGTATGTTTGCACAATTCACACATTGTGTTTTCACAGAGTCCAGAAAAGTTGTTAACCTTCTTCCAAACATCCCAGGAGGCAAACCTTCCTCACAAAACAACATAAAGTGGGCGTGGTTTGGGTGTGTCATAGGAGCTTCTATTGTTTTTCGTGGACCTTCCTCCGGTCAGTGGCCGTGCGACCGTAATGTTTTCCTGACTCTGTGTTTTCAATTTTCGTTGTTAGGACTTCAGAGCTGTTAGCATATCTTTATTCTTGGTAAATGCAGCCCAATCTAGACTGTACAGAATAATTTTTAATTAACTTTTTGAGTTATCTCTTTGTTTCTTGTTTTAAAAGTTCTTACTGCATATGTAAATTTTATAAGATTAATGACTCATGTTCGCAAGTCTGTGGAAGTTTCTGCGTATGCTGGTCGTTAGAAAAACAAAATCCTGATTTTTCAAGTTTTTAATGAACTTCATTAGGAAGTACACAAAGGAGATATTTTCAGCCAATTCTAGTCATCATTCATCTTTATTTTCCTGACCAACTTAATGATACATTTAATCATTATATGATTGAACAAACATATATGATTGTGTTTTAAAACATATATAATTTGCTTGTCCTTAGTTGTTTCACTAAGTTCTCTGTAGGTAAACACATTTGAAAGGCTTTTTAAATTGGATATGAAATAACTTCAATAACATTTTTTTAGAATCCACGTTTCAGAGGGTGCTTAGAAAAACTAGTTCAATGTGATCCGTTTATAGAGGTAAATGTGTTTATCTGTTATTTTTTTAACTTTCTCGAAGAGATGTTCCAAGGTTTTGGTTGGTATTATTTCATAATGTGAGGGAGAATGATTGTTCAGGACCGTATTTTGTATTGATTCTTGGCTTCAACCAAGTGGTGAGTGATGGCGTCCATTTCTAATAACCCTCGGAACCTCTCTTCGAGAATAGGTCATTATCATTAAATAACTTCTTTCGTTAATATCTTTTATTGCCAATTCGTTCAATTTATTTACATCAATCAGTCTAGGAGTCTTTTCTCTTTTGTAAAGCTCGGTAATGGTTTGTATTGCTTTTGCTGGAAATTCATTTCTTAGTTTTGGTTTTTTGGTTGCTTGAATTAATAAAGGCTTATAGTTGAGATTACTGTTTTCCGATTTTCTACAAATTCCTAGATTGCGGATAGACAACTGTACAATTTTATTTTTGTAGAACAGGATGTTCCTTAGTCGTAACTTAGAGTTTCACACTTAATGCCATGACCATACAACTGACATTCCCCCTGGCAGTTAAGTGATTGCCTTGATTTTATTTCCCAGTATGTCGACACAATCCTTGCAGAAGAGAGGGAATCATTATCAAATCCTTCAGTGTTCAGCTTCATGCTGCAATTTTTACCAAAGGTATTATCTACAATTAATTACTCTAATATTTAAGTATCATTTATTCCAAACTTCATTCGATTATAAACAAGAAACCCAAAGTTGATGTCACCTTTTGATAATTGATAACAATAAGCCATCTGATATGATCCTAAACATCTATCTATACATAAACATTAATGATTTCCATTGAGTTCCGTTTCTCAGAATAAAACGTGATTTGATAATTGTGGACAGATTCACAATAATTATTATAATTATAATTTATACTGTATCTTTATACTGTATAATTATTATAATAATAATTTATACTGTATCTTTGATAGATCCATATGCGAATTTTGAGTGGACAGAAGCAGGGGTTGGTGAACACGGTTGTGAGTAAGGTGATAGCAGACTGTTCCATGCTAAATGATGATGGTGACGAAGAACTCGTCAAGACTGCCCACCGAACCAATGGGGTAGGTTGCATTGTTTCTTCAAATTCATTATGGTCACGTGGTTTTCTAGGTTTCTTAAAGCACACTGTGAATCAAGCTTTCCGTTCTTCATTGCCATTGGTAGTGTTGAAACTGATCAAATGATGTTTCCTCGAACCGATGTCAACAGCATGTTGTAAAACAAATGTTGCTGAAGTCACGACAAACTTGATAATCTCGCTGAATGAAAACGAAACTCAGCTGAGGACGCCTTTTGTCTGCGATTTGATACTTTTAATGCAAGGCAAAAAATATGCCGTGCGTGAAATATTAGCGATTGCCTATTGCTTTTTATAAGCAGTCAATGACCTTAAAGATCTTGTATGAGTTGATGTTGTTTGTGTCTTCAGTATCAGAAATGTGTTGTTGTGGTCCTGATATGTGACGTCATTTTTGATATTATACAAAGGGAAAGGGGCGAGAAAAGAAAACGATTTTGCTTCAACTCACTGCCTTCTTGCACCTTCTGACTGGCTTTTCTAAATAACAGCTCTTGCTGAACACATTCCAAATTGCTGAAATCAGTGTTTAGGCCGGTTTTTTTACTGAGAAAAATAAGATGCAGCAAACAACCGAATGACTTTAGGGCATAAGATAAAGCATGAATTAATTTAGTCATCATCAGGCGGGTGAAATTCCATATAGTGGCATTACTTAAAGTAGGCAATGCTATATACAGCGAGCTTCGTGTGTCTCGGCAAAATTTTTTTTTATTCATAAAAATTAATAACAATACAATTTTACATTGACTATACTACCCTAATTATTGTACTACACTGTGGGGACGATACCATGAGGAGCAAAAGACAATGACTACCCCATGGCCGATACATAAAACACACAACATTAAACGAGGATAGAAAGAAAGATAACTAAAACTAGGTAGACTAATTACGAATACAGAGTAAACAGACAAAAATTTACGAAGTTCAAATGTATACTCCTCAATTGCAAAACTACTTCTCTTTTCAGGATTTAAGAGCTCTTTCCTTGCTGTTTGCTGTTTCCTCACCCAAAGAGCTGACAGTAGGAACATTGCTGACGAGCAGCTTGGAAAAGTTGTCTGATACCTGTCAGGTATACAAAGAGAAACAATGCAAACAAGGTGAAGATGTTCAGATAGAGACAACGCCCGCACAGACAGGAGATGCAGGTTAGCTATTTCAAGCTTTGAGCCAAAGAAAAGAACTTTATAAGTCCTAAATGGAGGATTTGCAGCCGATATGACCAGTTATTTGGTTTTCACCTAGTAACCTCTGCAATTTTTTTACGAAAAACTTTTCAAGGGACATTATCAACTTACAAAATTTAGATACTGATTTATGCATTCCACTTAAGAAAACAAATGGTCAGAACTCTTTCGTGGGGCTCACATGTTGAATCATTTGAAACCTGCACTGAAACGTCCGCCCGTCATTTTCACGTTTAGGCGAAAAATGAGGTATTAAAAACTTTATAAAGCTTTTTATCCTTAGTATCTTTTTCTTTTTTTCTTAACTTCATATCTTTTATAATTGTAAGTAGTCTTAAAAGCATGTTATTAATTTGTAAGTTTATGTCACGGCCTCCTGAAAAACTATCTGCTTAGATTGACGGGGTTAAATAAAGAATTTAAAATTAAATGAAATGAAAAGTCTTGATGAAAGTACTAAGGGCTGCTAGGCTCGACCCAGCAGCAAATAGGTGCCTTGTAGCAGCGAGGGGAGATCTCGCCAACCAATCGCATCGTAATGAACGCCCTAGGCATGTTTCTTTTCCTACTGGCATTTTCCCATGCGCTTTCTGATGGTTTCCCTTCCCTAGAAGAACACAGGAAACATAGCATTTGATATAGCTAAATATAGTTATCCCCAAAACTATTTACCTTGATGATCCATTCTTGAAGTATTCATGTTTTCCCTGTTGTTAAAACTGCACTTCTTCTAAACGAGAGCTTCAGATTTAACTGAACTGACTTAACTGAACACTACAAGAAACTTTATTACAATTTCACAAAATTGCTAGACTGACCCCATGAATTCGTGTCACAAACATCAAGAAATTCCTTCCAATCTCTATTTTCCAGCATTTCAAAGATGCTCTCCTCTAACAAGTTAATGCATTTCATAAGATAGAAATAAAGGTCACTAATTTAAGGCACAGGTGTATAAGTTGTGAGGAGCAACTTGGGGGCCAATTCAACAGTCGGACCCTGATCGCCGATATAAGGGCATTTACAATTGGCATTTGAACCAAAATGGCCAAATTGCTTGCTCCTGTACCAGTTAGTAAACCGAGGTCTACTGAGAAAAACAAATAAGTAGAAGCTCAAGAAAACTACAAAGCAAAGAAAGAAGAGGTGGGATCGGTGGGGCAAGGGACTTGGACTCTACTTGCGAATTGCGAGGAAAATAAGTATACGCTCCGATGGCTACGATGAGCTAACCAATTGAGCAGAAAGAACAAAAGGGTAGTAGCGGTTACCGTGCGTGGGTAATTAGTAGCATGGGTCGCAATAATTGGGCGTCGCCACCGTGTACGGCAATAGGTTCGTGCTTATCATCTGAATTAACTCAAGCTAAAGTTTGCCTCACCACCAGAGCTATTTTGACTTTTCATTATATTCCGTTAAAAACAGACCTGCAATTTCTTTTTTTAAACCATCAGATGCAGAGGAAGATGCCAAAGAGGTATCAGATGCGGAGGCAAGCGGATCTTCGAAAGGAGGCTCTTCTCCAGGCGTTGAGGCAGTGCATGGCGAAAATAAAGACCAGGGCGACAGTAACACTAAAGAGAGCAAGCAAGGACCAATTTTGGAGCCGCCAACAAAAAAACAAAAGCGAGGAGATTCTGTTGAAGTTGTCGAACAAAAGAATGCTGGGGATGCGGAATATTGTGATAAAAATGAAGGTGAAAATAGCTCCAAAGGAGAAGATACGACTGTATTCAAAACAGACGGGGGTTCCGATGATGACAACAACCTTAATGAAGATTCATCTGACAGCATTTCATCTTTATCTTCATCTGATAGTGAGAAGGCAGAGCAAATGGACAGAGATTCCAGGCGCCAAAGTGGAGAATTTAGTAAACCTCTTCAGCAACCAGTACAAACTACAATTATTGATATGTTAAGAAAAAGTTCAAATGAACTCTTAAGCAGCTTGCAGCGGTATTACGATAGCAAATAATGGCAATGCAATTTAGGTATTTTTTAATTAAGTATATTTAAAAATGCTTGTCAACTTCTTTTAGGCCTGCCGAGAGTTTTTCTGGGGACTAGAGCAAGAAGAAAGATGTTGATTGAATGATGTTGTTAGGAATTTTGTTTTGCCGATTTGGGGCCGCTCTCAGCTTGGGACCTGGAGCAATTCGCCCCTGCCCCATCTAGGTGGACTTGACTCCTTTTCAAACCTAACTTACTTGCCTTGAAAGTTATGGATTTTGTTTAACTGTTTCAACTCTACTAGAAAACAGCAAAAAAGAGAACAAATTGGTTCTAGTGAACTTTTAAGAAATTATGTTTTGAAACAAGAAATGTGTAGAATTTGTTATCAGACTTGTTCAGTTGCTAATATCAGGAATCATCTATTGTCCTCTTCATAATTATGAAATGCGATCAGTTTTGAATAACCCCTTGATAGCTGTAAACTTAGCCCCGCCTAGAAAGTCCAGCATTACCCCGTTTATACGTCGAGTTTTCAAAATGGTGACGAGAATGACTTTATGTTCCATCAGACTAAACTATGACTTAAGCTCATTGAAAAATCTAAGTTCGCGCAAAGCTAGTATCGTGAATTAAAGACAGGTTTGGAAGACATGCTAACTGCACGTGTCTTGTTTTCAATTTTTCTCAGTATTAGGTCTCTTCTACCACCCTTCCAAGATCTCAGTTCTTACACGTTACCGTTTCTTAGATAAAAATTATGAAACAAAACCTTCTATATTTCCTTCAGTGGGTCAGGATACCTATTCAATATCGCCTGTCTATTTCGCAGTTCCAGGCGATATAGTATTTCAGAAATAACCATTAAACCTTTCTATGAAATCTGCTACTTTTGTTGACAGAAGAATTGCGAAACTTGGACATCAACAGCTATCGGCCATGGAATATCCACCAAAATAACGAATAACTTCTTAGGTCGCCTTGTATTTTATCTAATTATTAGTTTTCTACCGGTGCTGTGAAATCTAAATTTGAAACGTAACAGGCCATGCCAGAAATATCAAGAGGGTTTGGATGGGTTTTAACCTTCTAACTTCTTGTTATACACGCTTTTTTATGAGGAACCTACCTCAAGGCCTAGTTCCAAAAGTTCCTTATTCGTAGACCCCAAATCATCAAATTGTAGTACCAAAAGTTCCTTACTAGTTCCTTAATTTAATTGTCTAAATAAGCCCTTACACGTAATAGAGAAAGGGGCGAGACAGCATAAGCGGAAACTACTCAATGAAGCACTTGACACACGAATAGCAAACAATCTATGCGAGTATTGGCTGCAAATGAATGGAACCAGCTTTTTAGTTCTTGATGCTTGCAGTTATGAAAAATTTTCAAATCGAAAACTATCTTAGGGATTTCGTTTTTACTAGTATAAGTTCTTTAAATATTTCGGCCTTCTACATGTAGGTTCCTTATAAAAAAAGCGTGTACATACCATGCCGCTCTCTCGTTGCTGTAATCCATCTTTTATTTTCGGTGATCTATTCTCGGATCCCATCCCACCAAATTTGAACTGCAAAAAAGAAAACTTTTTTTATGAAATATACTGATTTGTTTTTTTAAAAAGGTCCTGCATTAACTATTATATTTGAATTTCTTATATTAATAGACGCTAGCACATGCCAATAATGTCTTTATTACCATTAGGAATATTGAACAAATGCAGTTTCGTTTCGATAAAGTGGAATAATTTTAGTTATTTTGGTTTTCTGTACTTGAAAAACTCTAGTGGTGTTAGTTTGCTGTTTTCTCTGTATTCGTTGCTGGAACGTCCGTTGTGCACAGTGTAGTGAATCTCTGTTGGAAATTCTATGCCACAATAACCTAACTGAATGGATAAATTGAAAAGTGTCTTTTTACAGGATAAATGAAAGCCGTATGTTCGGTTCGTAGATATTTCGTATTTCAAATTCAACGAAAATTCTAGTTCTTTATTAATATGAAATCATGACCTCCTATAGAGTTCTAATGTGATAATGTCACAAAAATCTATTTTCAGAATTTTTGAATTTGGATCCCATAGCCTCAACCGATTTTAAGCATATTTGACTAATTTTGCAGATTTTTAAGTATTTCATGCTAATCTTTTATCTTATGTGGTTAAAATTCAGAAATGCTAAAAATAGGTTTTTGGTGACGTCACACTTTAGAACTCTATTGGAATATCTTGACCCCAACGCGTATTAGGTTCTTTGAATGTCGTATTTCTTCCATCCCATCAAACAGTTTTTCCTTCATTCTCTGTTTAACGATATCGATTCCCAACCCCCAATGCAACGTCTCTGTGCTATGCACTTTCTCAGTCTAATGGAAAAGGACAACTGGTTTGTTATGGAAAAAACAGCTTCGACGCATTATTTTGCATACCGTATTCTCTCTTGAATTCCCGCTGCGGGTTTATTAATTAGACCTTCTAATTTTATGTGGGGTAATTAAGGATGTGGAAATATCAGAGAGGCAGGATTGATTTTTAAAGGTGCTTTTTGAAATCGTGCTAAAATTTTCAACATGTTCTTCTGGATTTTTGCACTGAAAATTTGCTTGTAAATTGCGAAGAGCGGTGAAGAAAGTTGGTTACGCAGATTGGCTGAAACGTTATTCGTCATTGCTGTCATCAATGAAAATGGAAAGAGACTACACTTAATTTTTGAAAATCATTCAAAACGCCAATGCCATTGTATATTCATTGGTTTCTTTCGTTCATCAAACTCGCATGCGGGATTGTCAGAGAGGTGGGAATAATTTTTCAAAGTAAAGAAAAATGCCGGGAATACATTCATCCGAAAATATAACATCGGCCCTGTTGTCTCGACCCAGCCCATAACGATTAGCTTTTGTTATCAATAAGCATTTTATTGCTGCAAGACGAGTATATTCATATCCTTTATGTTTAGCCAATTTTTTAAAATAGATTTTTAGATTTTTAGCAGTACCCCCTCCCCTCCAGTACCCCCTCCCCTCCAGTACCCCCTGTACCTCCAGTAACTTTCTGTATTATTCCATGTCCGCATTTATGTTAGCATGGCCTACTAGAAATAATCGAGACAAAGAAATAATCGCCGCCAAAGCTGTTTTTAGATTTGAATAATGGGTCACTAAACGATGTCTACGGTGCAATTCTCTTATATCATTATCTTAAAATGCAATTCTGCTTTGCAAACATTTTTGCCGCGGTGACTGCAATAGGCAGCCATCTTGCCATGCATTTTGCTGTGTTTTTGTTGTTGTTGCTTTTTGAAAAAGAGGCAGTGTTATAAAACTTATTCTCTTTGCAGAAATAAAGTAAAGACATGTCACAAAATGTTAGGCGAGTTTATGCTTTGGGGGCTTTTGGTGGATTGATGGGATTGGGGTATTTGCTGATGAAGCTAACAGTTCCAGATAAAGAAAAGTTATTGGAGGTAAGTTGAATCAAAACGAACGAAGAACTTGCCTTTATTAGGACGACGTTTCTACGATTTGTAGTACTATCTTTTTACAAAGAAACTGGGAAAACTCTCAGTGATGATATATTTGGATGTTTATAGGAGTTTATTATTCCTTCTTTAAAAGCTTAAAATTGGGATCATTAGAATGAAGATTTGATGTCAGATGTCAAAAAAACAACAAATTGCAATATTATCTGCTTACTTCAAGAAATATGATAACATTAATTTCGTTTTCTGAAACTTATCATGATGTGAAAATTGTCTTTTATGAAATAATGTATCTAGTATCTATATCAAATTTTAGCAGGAGAAGAAAGTTGTTATCAATCCCTCTACTGAGGTTTTATAAAATGTCTTAGAAGCCAGTTGTACTTTGTTTCTTATACAAAGCTGTTTGTGAAGAATGTTTACTTCATGGTATTGCATAAATGAAATGTTGAGCATCTTGATAGCAAAGAGAGACACATTTTCATTGAAACATATCATTAAACTGAAAAAAACCTTTTTTTCTATCTTTAGAGAATGTCTGATGATTTGAAGGACCAAAGGAGATTAAACAAGACAGAAGAACAAAATAAACAACTTTTGCAAGTTATACAGAAAAACATAGCATCCGAAGATCCTATATGGAAGCTCAAAACACTTGACAATGAAAGAAAATGAGGAAATAATAGTATGTTGTCTGTTTCATTCTTTGCCTGCCTCAATTTTAACCCAGCAGCTTTATTCAATGTGTGGCTGGCATGAAGGATTTGCAGTAAAGGTTATGAGACAAAAACATATACTGGGTCTTCTTGGTGAAGCTGGGCAAGTGTGATGAGGATGGTATTGAAGTTGAAAAATAGAAACTAAGTCAAAGAGGGTGATTTCTTTGAGATGTGTATTTTGCTCGTTACGTTATTAAGTTATTTGCAATCTGTAATCCAGAAATTGTAGCTTGCACATTTTGTTTGCAAATTAAATTGTGATATGTGTGGACTATCCTCCAGTTGAGTCTTATGTTAACATTTTTCAAGTAACTGCCAGCCTAACTTGCAATAAGAGAAACTCTACCACTAAAATTTATATCTTAAATAGCAGACAGGTTTCTATCTATTTCTAAAGTTAAACAATGTCAAAGTAGACCAGATATTATGTTAATTACAGCCAATGATAGCTTAATAGATTTCCAATTTTGGTTTTTGGTGAATGGTCTCTAGCAGTGTTATGTAATTTGTGATGATCTGTACCTATAAATATGTGATTTAAATTAATGGTAAAACTTTGCAGACATTTGCCCTTGAAAATTTTATCAAATGAATTGGTTTCAATCTCTGTGAATATTGATAATGTTTTGATTCTATGCTCAAACTGATGATTATAATATCAATTTATGTATTATTTTTCACAAAAAACAGGCTAAACCTAAATCTGAAATATTTTTGGTTTATCAATTTAATTCTTTTAGCAAAGCTTACTATCCATGATATTTTGCAGTTCAAAACATGAGAAATTATTTCCTTGATATTTTTTTGCCTAATTTTTCAATAACTGTTTTTTGTCTTATCTTTTGTCTGTTGATGCCTGTGCTGTCTACAAATTTTTTTGAAATTCTTCTTCTCTCAAAGAATTTGACAACCTCAACAATATAATAACATTCCACCCACAAATCTAGTATTTTATTTTTTACTAGCAGAAAATTTTCTATATATATTTCAAACTTACATAATCTGCTGGTTATTTTCAAAATGCTGATTACAATCAGTTGTATATTTCACAACATGTTTAAATAATTTTTAACAGCGCATTGACATATTGCAAATATTTTTGGCCCAAAAATACAAGCTTTTTGTTGCCCTTGTGGTCTTTAGCTAATCAGAAGTTTTGCACATTTCACAAAGGTTCACTCAACTTATGTTTCCATGATGGATAGCTCTCGAAACTTCAATTTGCATGAAATTTGAATTTTTGATTGGTGATCAGGCACCACAGGCGGCCTCTTTTAGTCATTTTCGGCACTTCCCACTCAGAACTTTAAAAAATTTTGGCTGCTTCCTTTGCATGTGCCTAATCAAATCTGAGAATTTTACCTTGCGTTTTGAACATGCAGTGTGACTATATGAAAAGCAAATTATAGCAAAGTTGACAAATCTTTTACTTTTGTAGCAAACAAAATAAAGAAAGCTCTTTTTAACTGACAAAGGAATTGCTTGCCATGTTAAACTTGCAATCAATAAAGCCAGAAATGCATGTTTTTGAAACTGATTCAGGAATACAAAACAACAAACTGATCATGATTCAAAACAACTCAAAACTCCCTATCATTTAACATGTCTATTAATCTTTGCTTTAGATCATTGATAGCTCAGTAACTGTACTGTTTTCAACCAAGCAACAAGATTTGTCTTTATCAGATACAAACTACAGTTAAATTAAACCAAAACTACATTGCAGACAGTAATTTAGACAGCTTCCATGATTTATCATTTTACACCTCTAAAAGGACAATCCTAGTTTGAATAAGAGGAAAAATTGAATAATGAGATCCAAATTGTGTTAGCTGGGACTTCTTCTAACTCATTAAAAAATTTACATAAAGCAAGGGAAAAACTTGTCTAAAAATTTTGCTTAATGTGCTGGCTATTCAAGATAATATATAATTTGTTGTTATTTTCCTATCTTTTCTCTGTTTTTTTTTCTAATTTTTTTACATTCCTTCACAATAAGGCCCCTGTAAGTCTTGCAAAACATAATTTGTTATATCATTACAACTTAATTTCTGAGAATTTATAAAAACAACAGCATCTGTTAACAAAATTATTTCTAAGAAGAAGAGAATGGAAGAAAGACGATTGTGATCTGATCATCTGTATCATGTCTTCGGTAAGAGACTGAAGTTTATAAGTAACGAAGATGATACTTAAGGAATAAATAATATAACCAACAAAAATACAGATTTTTTACGAAGCAGTTTATCTGTTTCCTATAATATCAGAATAGAGTAGGGTTCACGAAAAATACATTGGAAAGAGATTTGGATCAAAATATCTGTATTTGTGACTAAAAGAAGAACTACACTAAAACGATTCAAACTAAACCTTCTCTTGCAGACACGGAAAAAACTGGAAAGGCTCCTTTTAATAGTAGCTCGGAGCTATGGTAAATTAGAATGCTCCTCAATGGCAGATAGGGCAGTGAATGTGAACAATGAAACTGGGTAACGACTGTAGTTGTAATGAACTTCATTTGAAAGCTGGCTTGAACTTCCCATGCTCTAATTCACGATCTGCCAGTTCCAACCAGTAAGAAGACTGCGTTTATGCATATTTCTGATAATGCTTTTCCCGTACATCTACAAGATTATAAAAAAGGTATAGAATAAACCAGCATTAAATGTTGGATGTAAATAACTCAGAATTGTTGTAAAATAATCATATTAATATAGAATACTGCTAGCTTAGTATGAAAATGCTCCATGCCATGTTGAAAGAGCTACCCGCACTGTATAAGAGGAAACCGTTCTAATTTTCTACTCCAAATTTCACGATTAACGCGATCATTGGGAAACTTCGATTTAATTCCAAGAAAATATCAATAACCAAATAAATACAAAAGCCGTGAACACAACAAAAACAGAGCAGTCTGACGTAGATTCCCTAAGTTCTCAGGCCTGAATAATCTCTTTCAGATGTCACATTAAAATCATCGCTTGGCCGTGGAGCTTTTGCTAATAAAGCATAATTTTGAAAAACAGCTTTATCATAGCCTCAAAAGGACTGTGTTGCGCTTTTGAAATCATGGTAGAGAAGCCAGAAAATGTACATTTTCAATCTCAATTCCAGTGCTTCGATAAATTTTGCAAACAGGACCTGTTTATCAAAGGGGAAAGAAGGTCGACTGATATCAAAACTGGGCATCGAGTTTCAGTCTAAGCCAAGAAAGAAAATGAATTTCGATGAAATTAGATATCTCATAATAAAATAATGATTCCTAAAAGGCCTTGTGATTCTTACAGAACTCCGCTGCTCCTATATCGCACTACTGGGATCATATTGTTCGTGCCACTTCTACAAAACTCTTAATAGAGGTTAATAGAGTCTGTTCCAATCTCACAATCTTTTTTCATGGCCACGATATTAATGCATCGTTTGTTAAATGCACAAACAACCAATCAGAATAAAGAACCACCACCACCGTACTCTCCCTGAGCGAGTTACTGTGAATTTTGTTTTGGCGCCAAAAGTCTATGCCATCTTCGATGATAACAAGATTAAGCATCTTTTTGTCTTGAGATGGCAGAGGAAGACCCTCTTCTAAGGCGAGGCTTTCAAGTAGGAATCAACTAATCACGGAGGGAACAGACTGCCTTTAATTTTTCTGGCTCTTCTTCCAAATTCGCGATACGAATGAAGAAAGAGTCTTTCTAATTCATTTTCTTTAATAAAACAAAATTCGAAATATTTGATATAGAACATAGTTATGGAGCTGTTTGATATAGGTTTTCTAATTGGGGCCAGCTCTGTCAGCTTTACTACAGAAGGCGTTTAGTTACGCGGGATGTTCTGCGAGACAGCATCTGTAGCTATAAGAACCAAGATGAAAGGTATTCTGGAAAACTTTGCGACTTGTTCAGAATTGTGTTAAGACATGGTAATATGCATTCTGGTAAGTTGCAACCAGCAAGTAAAAGTTTCCAACAAAGTGACGTCATACGTAGTGAGATCTTCATAGAGCATTGGATCACAATTGTAAAAAGTGTTTCAACATAAAAAGGAAAGAAATTAGCAAACCTATTCCTTCAGGGTCAGCTTGATTGAATTCTTAGCAACGTGGCTTTCTGTTGAAGAATCTTGCGATTGGTTATCTAGCAAATCCCCAACTCTGTCCTAAAATCACGATGCAAAAGAACATTAGCATTATCATTTTAAAAGAAGGTCGTTTCTATGTCAAAGTTAACAGCAGATGCTACATAGATTAAAGTTACGGCTATACTTACATAAATCAAAACTTTTTAATTAAGTTTTGATATCTTGAAAGCTTTCTGAATCTTTCCATTAAGGCAGAAACTTTAAACCTCCATTCTTTTGAACATCGTGTTTAAACGCAAGGATGAAATGAGCCCCCGTGGGTTTTCACAGTATATCTTTAAAGTCCTTGAGAAAGCTACATTGAAGATAATAATTTGATAGAGAGCCAATGTAAAATGTCCTGGCAATACAGTAAATATTTGTGTGTGAAGAGGTTAACTTGAAATCTTCTTGAAATCACAGATGAAATAATGAAGAAACTCTTACCTCAAACGCATCTTGGCTGTTATAATTGCCGCTGTCTGCCTATATTGGAAAGGCAATAGTTACTTAAAATGGTAGTTGCTTATAACATAAATGAAATACAGTGCGCATTACACGTGCTCGTGATATAGATCAAAAACAATTTCCATAATTAAGGAAATCAGCAGAAGATAAATGTAGAAGTAGCAGGTAATGAAATCTGTAAAAGTTCATGATGTGGAATATTGCTCATTTTGAGATCGGAAATAGATATGCAGATTAGGATTAACAGGACATATTATAACTTACAGTTTATGCTGTTAGGGTGGGCTCAAGGGCTTAGCCCCCCGCCCCCCTTGTTAAAATTCAGAGATATTTGGGCTCAACCCACTCTTAATGAGCCAGAATATGGTCAAAATGAACTTGCCTTTGATATGCTATTGATTGTACGTGTGTGAGCAATTTCTATCAGCCTTTGAGAATCAGTGAATAGACAGAATGATTCCAAATACAGAAAAAAGAATCTTTAACACAATAAGGTGTTAGCATGGGTATGGTCTTGGGTCTGGCTTCTAGAGGCTGCCTACAGCACAGCCCCCCCCCCCCCTTCTATCAAATCGAGATATGGAATGTGTCTCAGTTCGTTGACACGAATATTGTGTAGAAATGTAGAAATTTATGGCCCAGAGAAAGTTCAATAAATGAATTAATTTAGTAATTGAGTGGAAGGAAGTTGAGTATTTCGGCCGAAACTCTACGTTTAATTTTATCTGATATTATCATAATTTTTGAGCAAAAGCTAATGACTTGTGAATAAATCACTATAAACGCTTGGTATCCGGCGACAAATCGTGAATATTAAAGAATATTACCTGTTCTCGGATCTTTTTAATCGGACTTGCGTCTTCATCCAACGGTGAACTGGGTCGTTTAATACCGCGTTTTTTAACACCAACTTGTTGTGACGCATCAATAGAAATCTAGAAAGATGATTCAATTTAACAGATGCACAGTCATACCATTACAAAACCCACTATCTCGTTAGAAGTTGCATGGAGACTTAAGGGTGGCTTTTCTCTTTTTGCATTTAAAATGCTATGCTTACTGTGGATTTGTTTGAAAATTTAAACATATTTGCGTCATTTTAACAGCTGTTGCATTTTGAATTTCCATCTAGAGAAAGAATATTGAAACTCTTTGGACAACCGTTTACTGTCTCGTACCTAAAAGTTTGAATTTTCAAAAAAATCGACGAAAGAACAAGAATAAAAAGAAAGAATGGAAATGTTTTTCCATTTTAAGCAGTGAACAACACAAACTGGCAATTTTTAAGATAAACATTACATTATACAGTGCCAGCAAATTCTATGGAACATTTTGGTTGGAGTTGGAAATCTCTACGTTCTGTCTTATAAGGTAAGAATCGTTTTGATTATTAAGGTAGAGGCATCTTAATTGCAGATACCAAATAAACAGTTATTCTTTTAATTAATGGGAAGGTGTATATTTTGCACTTTTGCGTGAGCGTGGGCTTCCGGCTGCGGAAGGAATTCTGCAACTGCACCGCACGAATTAATCATTACACCAATCGATCACTTCGTGTATTAGTGGCATTAGAAAATAAAATCTAAATGAATTTTGGATTTCGATTGGAAAATCTAGTTGTCCTAGAAGAATTAACAGCACTAGAACAAAGATTGCAAAAAGACTGAAAAACCTCCTCAAGCTACATTTACTTGGCTGCTGAGATAAACCAAACCACGTAGCGTTAAAAAGTTGCGTTCAAAGTTAAGTGTTCAAAAGTTGCGTTCAAAAGTGTTAATGACTGGCTGAAAGCTTCAGAAAAAAGTGCTACGAAGTTACTCGAATCTGTGAGTTTTGCTTCGCTTACTCTAAAGGTAGCAAGTAGGCTGCAAAAATCAAACTGAAAAAGTGCAAAATATGGAGGCCTAGTTATAATTTAAACAGAACTAGAAAACAGTTTGAGAATAAATGCGATTGCAGGAAACTACAGAGAGCAGATGCTGATGCAAAAAGACGATGAACAAATTAAAAATTACCCCGCTATCTACTGAGCTTCTATTTTCCTCTAAAGAACCATTGTCGGTTTCTAGAAGTATAAACAAATGTGACTCAACACAAGAAAATAAACAAAAATATTTTTAAGGATCAAACCAATCAAAAGTTTGAAAACACGTGTCCACTGTAGTGTCTCTAATAGACGGGCCTCCGTGTATTAATTTCAGAAGAATTTGCCCTCCCCCCGTCGCAACCCCTATTAAACATTGCCTTTAATAGAAAGATTTACTAACATCCACTCCTTCTATTAGCTCCCCTTTGCTTTTGAAATTTGCTGACATTTTATTGAAAACTGGCCAACATGAACATCCCCTTCTATTAGCAACCCCCTTCTATTGAAAATTGGCCGGAATGAACATTACCTCCCCCCTTCTATTAGAGACACTAGAGTTTGGTGTAGGAAGCATTAAAGCTGAACAATGTAAATACAAAACAAGACCTAGACGTTTTCAGGAAAATTGTGTATTCCAATAAAAGCATAAAATATCACGGAGAACGAGAAAGAAAATATTAACGTTTTACAGCATGTGGTACCTAAAGTTTGATCAGACTTGTGACTATCTGGGGCAGCTTCTTCAACATCACACGAGCTGTCGTCCAGCGGTTTCAATGAAGCATCCGAAGCTTGTCTTTTCAAAGTGCCAGCCTATGGTTGGAGAATACACGTACGTAGAGATAATGGATAAAAAGACGCGCGGTTGAACGCGAAATGTGATGATGATGATGGTGATAATGATGATGATGATGATTATGATGATGATTTTGATGAATATGAGAGTGATACAGAGTCGCGTAATAATGACGTCATAAATATCGATTTTTCGAAGTTTTTTTGACCAAACATGGAGAAAGCACACGATGAAAAACCCCTTAAAAATGAAATTTTTCGATTTTCTGAAACATTGATATCTAGATTAGAATAATTGTAAGAAGTATGACCAGGCCAAATCGTGAAACATTGCAATTTGCTTTCCGCTTGATATTTTTAGGATAATGGAAAAAAAATTGTATGAAGAAAGTGCCAGTTGATACCAGTTTGCAGGTATTGATATGAAACAGTTTATTCTTACTTGACTAGTAGTCGAGCTTTTCTTTTTAATTCTTAAAACCGAGTTTGGGAGAAATTGATGAAGTTGCTTTCTGAAAAAGAAAGAAATATTCAAAACAGAGTTAAGAAATTATGGAAACAAGATTGAAAAACCATGAATTTATATTTGCAGTTCATAAGCCGTCAACAATATTAGCAATTTACCTTTAAATATTTTCAAGGAAAAGAATGTATGACAAACAATAGAGAATTTAGGGCTAGTAGATAAAAAAGATAAAATCTATTAGATAACTCGCAATATGTTAGTGACGTATGCAATGAGAAAAAGACTGGAAACTAACTTTTTGACGTGCTTTGCTTCTATGCGCATGCCCTCTTTGTATATTGCACTTTGCAAGGCCTGTTTTTCAACTGGAAAACAGATAATGAGTTGGAAAAGTTGTTATAAAAGGAAAAGGTAAAAACAAGAATGGAGGGGAGGAAGGGAAGGAAGAGAAGGGAGGAAGAGAAAAAGTAAACAGGAATATGAAAGAAGCAATTCATTCACGAAAGTTATTTCAATTAAAATTATAAATATTATTAGGGTGAGGGAATTCAGGCCAGCTCACCATGATTCGAAAACTTTTAGTCAATAACAGGGGATGGGATAAATGTCTGAAAGAATACAAGCTCAATCGTCAGAAGGAAAAAGCGAGGGTAATTTCGGATAATATATTACCTGTGTTTCTAAAATAGTGAATTTCTGGAGTTAGATCAACGTTGATTGTTTGATCTACAAAAGAAGGGGGTTGGGATTAAAAACAGAAGAACCGATTAAAATAAACAAACAAAGAAAAATGCAATATAAAAACGTATGACAAAGATCCATAGAAAAATTGGCTTGAAGCGGAGAACAGAAATAATGTAGTTTTTGACTAAGAAAGAGCATAAGAATATAGAATGTTGGAACCATGAAAGAAAAAGAATTTTGATATCATCAACAAACCAAAACTGGTTGCTTTCTAGATTATCAAAAAAAGACAAAATTACAATTTGTGACTTTAGACATGCATTTTCTTTGCAATAAATGGCTTAGTTTCGATGAAAATCTGTTGGAGCAATTAAAAAACTTCCTAAACCTATATATAAATAATAATGCCTAACTTACCAACTTTTCGAAACTCGAGTCCAATAAACCATCGGCGAACATTCGGTTTTCTGGAAAAAGATAATGATGCTTTAATGAAACAAAACTATTACAAAGAAGCCAAGCATCATTGCATAGGAAGGTCTTGATAAAGAGGACTACGTAGAAAGCACCGTTGCTTTTTTATTACAAGCTTAATGGTTTGGTATACCGGAGTTGAATTTGAGACAGCCTTTAAATTTCGAACTCATCTGCATCGTAGCAAGATTTTTGCAGAGAACCCATCAAATACAATTTTATCAATTTCCCTTTATCAGGTATTAGGCTGTTTCTGCGGCAATTTATGGGTTCATGCTACCGTTTGCCTGTCTCCTCCATGTCTGTCATCCAATACTACGAAAAAAGTCAGCCCCTTTCTCTTAAATACATCAAACAACTCTCAAGTGGATGTAGGTAAAATAATTCTAGACCTGCAACTAGAAGCATTTGTACTGAGACAAAGCCATTAAGCACCAATTAATACGGTACTTAACGCGTAAAGGCATTTTACAACGTATAATAAAGCCTGAGAGTTTTATATAATCTTTTATCACTTCCATATAAGAGCTGCTAAAAGTTAAGCTTAGGACAGGAAATGTCTTGCTTTTTTATATAAAACTTTGTGGTAATACAATCAAGAAAGCTTTCCTGAATGTAAACTTTATAAATTTCATTTTCAAGCAGGTAGCACATTATAGCAAAATATAAATCCGATTTCAAAGCAACCGTTAACAAATTAAGTACGTACTCTTCTTGTTCCGGGTTTTCAAGAGGACCATATGACGACGGGTTGACATGCGCAAGTTTTACATACTGATTCTTTTCTAACATGCCGACTAAAATACGGACTTTAGATTCTACGAGACCAGCCCTAAGAATGAATAAAAAGAAAGATAAAGTTAGCAAAAGAGCTACAAGTAGAGGAACAACTTAAAATGGCGAAACTTTTTGATAAGCCTTACAATGCAGAGAAAGCTCTCAACAAGGCTTAATTGAATGACAAAATAAGGCAATCGGATTTCTGCCATCTTGTTTCTATTGAAATCTGCAGATCAGTCAAAATTTCCCTACTTGGTAAAGCCCGCTCAAGATATATCAAAAAGTGGTTTTTTGAATCTAACACTATCTGAGAGGCTTGAACCTTAATCTGTCCCTACCGGTACAAAAGCTCCTCATGGGTCACGCAACTATGCCTGTCAAAATATATTAATAAGGATAAAAGAGATTTGCCTTTTCGAAAAGCATGTCTTTTATTAATTCTAATGTTGTTGAAGCGCAAAAGCGAAAAAATATATATTTTCCTGTCCTCAGGGGAGCAAAAAATGGGACTATGGTATGATAAACCTATGTTTAGGGCAAATAAGATAAGCAAGGGCGTAGAATGCGGGGGGCGGAAGGGGGGTGGGTGGGTGTGAGGGGTTGGGTGTGGGGTGTGTACACCCCCCAACTTTCAGAGAACTCGTCGGTAGAATTAAATTCATAACAAAATATTAATGTAACAAAATAATTTCTTTCGGGAAAATATGGTTTTGCATCTCTCACACCCCCCCCCCCAACGAGAATGGTCACGCGACGCCACTGAAGATAAGGAAATTTTATGACTGATTCTGTGCGGGTTGTTTGACGATGGAGTTATGGGTGAAAGTCAGAGTTATTGATATCATATCTAGGCACTTTATAAGACAAATAATCAACATAATTCTTAACAGACCCAAGGCCAATTGACAATATTTGAGATGCAAAATCTCCATACAATACCAAACAAGTGAGCCGGGGGTAGATGAAGAGGGTTTGATCTACAAAGAGACGTATTTGAGGCAACAGTTCAATAAATCACAATAAGCTCACCATTCTAAATGACTTTCCTCTACGTCTGAATATGCCCCAAGAACTATGTAATGCCTACGGAAAAATCAACAATTATTTGCAAATCATCATCAAAAAAGGCCAAAAAGGTTGCCAGGCAGATACAATAAGAGCGGAAAACATGCTTTTGAATATAAGCGTCATCATTAACTGCTGCATCAATTTGGACATCGCGCGGTAGCAAATTGACAAACTTTTGCGGTAAAGCAAATGCAGTCGACTCTGGTTACAGTCAAAAGTCAAACTAAACGTTACTAGAAAACTGCTGACGGGGCGTGACTGTAAACAGAGCTTGAATGAGAAGCTTTGCGCATTTGGGTTTAAGTTTTATGTGACTGTAAAAAGTACTGTGACTTTAAGAAAAGTGACTACAAGCGGAGTCAACTGTGCTTTGAAACCGGCAATAACGTAGGAAGATCTTGCTCACACTGTTCTGATTTCATATGATAACGAATAAATGATATTTTAACCGTTTTGGGTTTGTGTTCACCATTTTGAGCTCTGATACGCATAGATATACAAACAGATCTTGACGGAGAACACAAAGAGAAACGGAGACAAACGGAAACAAACGGAGACAAACGAAAATAAAGGTAGACAAACGAAGATAAACGGAGACAAAGGAAGATAAGGGGAGATAAACAGAGACAAACGGAAAAGCACATTCGAAGTATCATGTCTTAGAAGGACCATGACAATATACCGCCATAGTTTTTGCAGCATTCACTTTGAACACAGAGTAGCATAAACGGAGCCTTACTCCAATCTCATGAATAAACAACAAACCCATTACTAGAAATTACACCAAGTGCCTAACTAAGTAACCAAAGACACTAGAATTAGATTCAAGTTTCTCGATGGAGCAGAGCTAAAACACTGCACCTTTTGGCCGTTATCTGATATATTTAAATAATTAAACACCATTTCAAAGCTATAGTAGATTTCAAAAGAAAAAGAGATGAAAATGGTAACAAAATTTCGATTGTTACTAAGGACATACTTATACCTGTGAAAAAATTTTGATGATGCGAAAAGTGTTTTTCATTCAGCCTTATCTGCAAAAATATCATTATGATATTTCGGCCGTTTTTCGATCGATTCAAAACAATTAAACACCATCTAAAAGTTATTAAAAGACTTAAACGAGATTTCAAAAGAAAAAGGGAGGAAAATGATAAAAACAATTTGATTGCTACTAAGGACATACTTATATCTATGGAAAAAATTCGATGACGCGAAAAGTGTTTTCCATTCAGCCTTATCTGCAAAAACTTCATCCATGACCTTCAGACCTACAAAGGCAACAAAAAACTGCACATTTACAACAAGTTAACTGGACTTATATTGACCAGTGTAGGCTGATGGGGGCTGTTGGTGTTAATTAGGGGGGGGTCTTTTTCTCCTAAATATATGTGCCAATGATCAAGTCAGAAAAACATCAAACTTTGCTTGGAAATGGAGCGTCTGCCTCAAAACAAATTTAAATGCTAGTGAATGAAAAACAAAATCAGGTTAAAATTTTTTTAAAAACCATTCCATGCACACTTATGGATATTTCGTGTGAATAAAACCTCTACAATTTGCTTCTCGTCCGGTACCTTGGACTTGATAGATAGTCATACTAAATGATCCACTCTCCATAATCTTTTCATTAGGTCATTTCTACAGAGCAGCATACCTGACTGGAATTCTTCTTTCATAATGGTAAGCGTTGACACAGAAACGTTGTATGTTGAATTTTGTTGCGGATATGCAGGGGTGATAATCGGCATCAAATGGTAACGGTCGGTGGGGTTGGTCTGTTTGAAAAAAAATAAATTAATTATATAAAAATGTTTTAATTAGGTAGTAAATTATGAATGTCTAAGGAACAAACAGCAAACAATGGCTAAAAAAGTATTCTTTTTATATTGGCGAGCATTTTGTGAATCAAACATCTGATACTCTAGTCTGCGCTTCCTTTCCTCCGTTATTCCTCAAGGCAAATAAAAACTAGAAACCCATCAAATCAATCAATGCAAGAAGAAAGATATCCTGTGAATCTTGCAATGAGTGATGTGACAAATAGGCAGGAACAAAACAAATTGATGACGAGAATCCAATATAATTTTAGAATTTTAAAGTATATAGTTTAAACTAATATTTCGTTCTTGCATACAGGGTTTTATCAGCGTGAGCCCTGTATGTTGGGGCGAAATATTAGTTTTACATTAAATTCATTTAAAAATCAAATTTTACAACGTATTGGATTCTCGTCTTCGATTTGTTTTGTTTCTGCTTGTTACGTAATAGAAATCTTCCTAGATTTAGAAGCAGGCTTATCAGTCTTCAAGAAAGAAATTTTAAAAAAATAAAATTTTTATATCTGCTTGCGGAAGAAGTGTGGGAAAAAGAGGAACATTAATCAGTTGCAACTCACACGGGGTTTCATTCTGTGACACAAATTAAAAGTAGAATGAAGTATAAATAGATCAAAAAGAATACGAAACATAATACCAAATATAAAATCAATTTTGTATCAACAATGTCCCTAGAATATTACACGGTGAAATGTGCTTCTTTTTCATGCGCAATGTTCTCTAATGATGTCACATAATATGTGCTACGTTAACAGTTTTTCTTTTCGTTTTATTTTCAAAATTTAAGGTAGGAAGCCATTTTAGATATTCTTAAATGTCCTATTAAGATGAAAACTTTGATAGATCTCTTAGGTTAAGTGTCATTTTAGTCAAATCATGATAGAAATACGCCTTACTCGCTTATAACTGAGCCGAACATCAACAAACATACATACACGTGGATCCCAGACAGTGAAGCCCAGTTTATTTTCTTTTGGAATTTCTTTTAATAGAACTGGCTGTGGCCATTTCCTGCAATAAAAAATAACAGTTTATAATTTTATAAGACAAAGAGGAAAATTTCTTAGGATCCGTGACCAAATTGTCAGGACTTTGTTTTGACATTTGTTTCAAAATCAGAACATACAAAGGATCAAAATAAAATTGCCGTCCATGGTTGCAAAACAAAGCAAAAGATCTGATGATGACAGAAGAAATCTTTGCGAGGAACCTTGCAGCGAAGAAAAGAGAAGTTTTGATCTTACAGGTTGGAAAATTTGAGGCTGTAAGCGAGTGCAAAAGTAAGCAGATAGATCATGAAAACTTTTAACACCATTTCTTTTTTCAGAAAGCGAAAAATTCATTTTGATTCAGAAAATTTAATCTTATTAAGCAAAAAAATATAGTAAGTGACCCATAATAACAAAGGCACCCCACATAACAACTTTAAGGTCTATTTTTGGAAGGTGTAAAAAAAGCAGCTTGCGAAATAGGCTTGGTAACTTGACAATTGATTATAGAAGCAACGAGGCTGGGTCCCATTTTACCAAAGGACTATATAGCACTGCTTTGTGGGTATGCTTCTATCTGACATTAAACCTTTAGGGAATTCTTAAAGAGCAGATCAACAAGTCGTAAATCAACTGTGAATAAGCTACGCGCAGCTCCAGCCAACTAAGAAATATAAGAACGGCAGAACATACCACTGCGAATAAATACGAAAAAATTTCCAAACCAATGTGCCAGCCACTGCCTTTGGATACAATTGACAAATTCGCGCAACGAGCATTGCCCAGGACACACCACCAAGAAAACCGATTACATTTGAGTAGATTCCATGATCTAAAAAGACACAAATAACAATGATATGAAAGAAGGACTTTAAATGATAAGTTTCGGGATTTTAATCCCCATGAATTATTCTCATGTGTATTCTCTAGGCCAATCAGAAATGCGATTACATGGCTGACTGTAAGGTTGCTCAGAGTTGACTGCAAGTTTTTCAGTGCTACATTTGGCCTATTTTGATCCACAACTGGGAACATTAATATTTCCAAGCTTAAGAATTTTTTATCAATATTCTGGGTTCTTATACTTCGAAGAGTGTCAGAAAAAATTGTCATAATATTCTTGTTCTATTTGGCTATTTCAGTGTAGATCTATAAAATATATACTGCATTGTGCAAAATAGTAAATACTATGAATCAACAGCAAAATTCCTTTAAACGTGATAATTCTAGTTCCGTATCATATATTGTTCCAAACTACGTCATTTATTGTGAAATTCTCTTTTAATTTTGACCGCTGAGCCTTTGCTAAACTGTGATAGGATAAGTTGAAATTTATACAACAAAATGAAAAAGCTTACTTTTTGCCCATAGCTTGATTGATCGCAAAGTCATCCTAAATTGTTCTCTGTTTGGAACTAAACTCAAAATTTCGTCGGTGACACGGCAACCTGCAGAGGAGGAAGAGAGAATAAGGAACATGATATTTCAATAATTGCATTAAAAAAGAAAGAGAAAGAAAGAGAAAGAAAGAGAAAGAAAGAGAAAGAAAGAGAAAACAAGAGCAAACGGCCACAAAAAACAGCAAGGCATTAAAGACAACTGACCATTCAAACTTCGCACGCATTTTGGATCCAAGTTCTTTAGAAGACTTTCATCCAGTAAATTTAAATCATCGGGTATCGTGGGAAGGGCCAAGCGAGCAAATAGCAAATCGATCTGTCGAAGAAAGGGATTGTTTGTCAAAATGTTTGTCAAAATGCTTCATTTAACATCAAAAAAGTCGAATATTGATTTCAATTTGACTTAAAAGGTCTTTTAATTATTTTTGCTGATAGAATAAAGAATTAGATTCTATATAAAACATTTGGCATCAATAGAAAAGGTTTAAAAGCTTAGTCCCGTCCAAACAAAGATTACGTTTTAGGTATCAGGGAGCATTTCTCTATAAGGCGTGTTACCTTCAAATCCGACTCTTGCTTAATTAATGTCAACTTTGAGAATGTTTTCAAAATTTTCTACGAGCAACGGAATATTTTTTTTGGGAAATGTAAGGCAAAAGCATATATATAACTTAATAAAGGGTTAATGGAGTATGCAAACTTTGGCGAGAAAAAAAGTGAAAAATTGTTTAATTCCGTTAAATCGTACCTCGGATAAGTTGTTCTGCTTTTGAAGTCATATCGGATTTTTAAGTCCTACCGTTTTCAAGCAAAAAGTCGTACCCCGGACAAGTCGGAAATTCGCCAAGTCGGATCGGTTCCTTTCTCCTTTGAAGGTTTGACTAAACGGAATCTAACTTTATTGCAAAAGGCACTACTAGAGATTGTCTTAATAACGATAATAATAATAAATGTTTATACAGAAAGCTCTCGTCACTGGCGTGTTTTTCAGAGGGGTCTTAGCTTTGCCTGAAAAGGCAAAATGATCGAAAGTAAAAACATTTGCTAAGTAAGATACCTCAATACCATCGAACTGCATTTTCATCACAGGCACAAATGCCTCTTCGACAGCCTGCAAAACACGATATAAACACCTGAAGATATACAGTCGAACATTCCAGTAATTTCATTACTTTCAGAGAAGTTGGCCGACATCATAATAGCAAAAAGTAACAAAAGCCACCGAACAATTGGAAAGGTTTGCAAATTACAAGATCAAGTCATGTTTATTCAGAAAAACTGGCAGCCGATTGGCACTCGCAAAGAGGGCAGTGAATTTCGCGTTCCTAAAATGAAAGCTAAGGAACAAACAAGAAAATTATAAAGAAAAAATCCAATACTCTTTTACTCTGCATGTTGATGTATAATTTCCCTTTCACATTTTGTAACAGGAAAATTTAGTAATTTACTTCTTCTCTTTGTAATTAACCAAACTGAACTATTTGTGGCAATCAAAGCCGTTGTTTTTTATTTTCTGTACAACATATTAATAAGAAGAAAAAAATCTTTCATGAAATCAAAATTGAAATTCTTCCTTGGCAATTTTCCCCCATTTTTGAACACATTTAACTGACTTCGCACATTTAAAGGTATTTCACACTGTTCTTCCAAGAATTGTGGTTGAAATAAAGAAATTTTAAAAATAGACTTTTGAAGCTGTCACTGTTTGGTGCTCTATTATTTTCTTTGGTGCTGTGTTTTACAAAATAAATGTCTTTTGAAAGTAGCCAATTGGTAAAGAACGTCTTCAACAAAATCCTAAATAATATGCATATTCATCGATGCCAAAATACAGGACCATCGATTGAATATTATAAATTTGAAAACCTACATTTTTTCGTTTTTGCCTCGCTGTTTGTGGCCAATGACAATTAAATAATTTTTCTCCATAAACTATACCGCCCGCTTTCAGCATCTTACAAAAGTTTATAACTAATAAACCAATGATACTGCTATTAAATACCCTAAGATCTTTGACTTCTTCCCTATCCTTGAGAAATTCGTAGAACGAATGAAAAAAATCTGATCGCTCAACGTGTCTCGGAGCTACCAACAGGGTATCGATATCAGCACCTTAAAAGGCAAAAACAAAAACACTAGAAACAAGGTTTGCAAACAAGAAAATCACTTCAAACAACGTATTTGCACTGTAGGGTGTATACAAACAAAGTTTTACATTTTATGCATACTCCAATGGTTTCATTGTTGTCTCTCCTTCCTTTCTAGAGCTATTCTATTTTACAAGTTCTATTCTACTCTGAGAATGAGGATTTTAAAAACATCAACATGATTAAACGCAAGTTTTATATTATCTTTTAGAAAGAACTGTTAAGTAAAATTGCAAATTAAATTTACTTGGAAATCGTGAAAACGCTACAGAAAAAGCTATTAGTATGGCAATTTGGAGCTGATTTCTATCACCCAACCCTTATTTGAATACGCCTCCCTCGAAAACGCCCACAAACCCCCCCCCCCTCCAACAAGCTACCATCTAAACAGTTCTTATACAGGAATTCTCTAGCTGGCAATACGAGCCCAATGTTATGCAAAAGTAATTGGGAAAGCGGGTACATCAAAATGTTGAGCTGCACCTATCTGTTAGAATACACAGATTTTCTTGACACAAACAAATTTGGTTGGCAACATGGTTAACTTGGCATCTACTAAGCAGCTTTTATGCAGAAAAGGGCAGTTACCCAAAGCAACACGAAGCTGAAGCAAAAATAAAACTGCTTATCTAAAATGTGTACGCCAAAGAAAATCACTTGAAAATGAAATAATGATCGTAAAGTATGAGAAAAGGAACAAGTTTGAAAGCCAACTAATTGGGAATAAAAAAGCTTTGTAAGTAAATCTTTCAATTGTAGCAATTCAGTAACGTTGATAAAAAACTCACCTTTGGTGTGAACACCGAGTCGAAAAGAGCCAAAGGTGAAGATCTTCCCGCCAACATTTTTGGCGACATTCTCGGGCATGTTCTAGATAACAAATTGATCAAATGAATTATTAATATATGTCACATGTCTATTTATACAATGTAAATAACAAAATAACAAACATTTTTTCCTAGTCGAACAATTGGATCTGATTGCTAATCTCTAATAGCCAGGTAGAAAGTTAGTCAAAAAAGCGGAAGATTTGTCAACAAGAAACCACAGTTTTCATTGTTTTTGCTAAACAAAAAAATTATAAACAATGCATATAGTAATTCCTCAAATTGCCCTCCCCCCAAAAAAGCCCCCCATCGAATAAGCCCCCAACCTAGAACTAAAAATTGTCAATAAGCCCCCCCCACTCAAATACTCAAATAAGCCCCCACTGCTATCATAAATTCTCCAATTGGACACCTCAATTTGATGATTTTTGCCATCTGAGGTTGCCTATGGCGTTTTATTGAATTATTCCAACAAATTATACTTTTGGTATTAATTAATTAAATGCTCATAAAGAAATTCCTACTAAAATAAACGAGGTCTTTTAGGAATGTCTTCTCAATGTCTACAATAATTCTATAAGCCCCCCTCGTATAATCCCCCCTCGAATAAGCCCCCCCCTCGAATAAGCCCCCATCTAAAAATGTCAAAAATAAATGAGCCCCCAGGGGGCTAATTAGAGGAATTACGGTATAGTACAGTTTCAAAGAAATTTCTACGTTGTTGAATCTTTGTATTATATTAAACTGGAAAAACCGCAAAGAGTTTCTGATTTTTGTATATACTTTCTAGGGCTAACAAAGTTCAAACCTATCAAAAGTCTTATCTTCGGGCCCCTTTTTCACAATCATGAAAAGCCATCTTTATCTTTGTCATCGAATTTAAATCCCTTCCCGTAAAATTATCGGATTTGAAAGCCTTCCTCTCAGGCCTTGCTACAACTCGATCCTAATTTATGATGGACACTGTATTTCAACAATATTTTTCACAATATTCCAATATTTGCAACTCTTTGACTAAAGTCCTTCTCCTAAAAGGAATAATCTTAAAAACCCTTCCCACAGAAATCTGGCGGTTGAATGCCTCCTGCCCTACCCCTAGGCTCAATTGATCTAGAATTTATTAGTCGCATTATTTTTAGTGCCTGTGGAAAACCTCTATTGAAATACATCTTGCTTTCAAAATTACATCATTCTCCGAGTGTTTTTGAAGGGACGGACATCGAGGGGGGTATCAAAATAAGCTTGAGATTTGTTCCATCGACAACAAACTGAATAATGGCACCAAACTTCACTTCTTCCTGTTAGCCTACCATGGTATGCCAGCTGCTTGAGACTCGTAAATTCCTTATTTCCTGAGCATTAATATTACTCAATATAGCAAATTACGATTTCCAAACTGCCATGAAAGTAGGCAGTACGGAATACGTGAAACTTCATCTCGCAAAATGCAAAAAACTCCAATTAAAAACTTGGTTCAAAACAATATAAACTTGTGTTGGTTCAAAAAGAACTCACACAAGAAAACGAGACACTGATGAGAACAAAAATAAGGTATAAATACCTTGGAGAGCGAAACATCGATAATCCATTGCTTTGCAATTTCATTTAGACGACCCAAAACGACCATTCTGTTAAATACAAAATGAAACCCTTATGTTCTAGCGACGTAAGGTCAAAACAACGTTATCGTAAGCATAACGGACAAATCGATTGGTTGAGAGACAAAATCACTGCTATTGGCAAAGATTCTGTCAAAAAACCCGCTTAACAGCAAAAATTAGGCCAATTTTGATCATCTTAGCGTGGTTCACTACAATATCTATCAAAACATTGCTATCTAACCTTTACAAGTATTGGCGCAACTACAATGTCCTCGTGGAACTGCCTTAACACAATCAGCAATCCAATCTTGTGAGAGTTAGCTAATCTAATCTTCTCTAAAGGTTCTATGTACTTTCGTCGATCGTATCTTAAATACTTATATCGAAATCCAGATTTGATTCAATAACTTGACCAGAGCGCACAATATAGGCTCAGATTCGATAATTACTAGATGAAACAATGACGATTTGTAAATCATCCAATATTATTTTTTTCAATTTCCTTCCTCACCAGTCTTAACTCAGTTTAAACATTGAGAAAAAATTGCAAATAACAAAGCAATTTCAAGACAACAATCAAGTCATTTCGACGATGGATATGAATAATAAATTGACGCAGAATAAGACTGGAATCTAAAATTTAATAGGACAAATTTTGTTTAACATTAAAAAACAAAATAAAACAGAAACGAGCAATTTTGAAATAAATTACCGATGTTGTATCTCTTCTTGAGTTTCGAAAATATCAAAGGACTTCAAGGCTTCCTCTAGCTGCTTGTCCAGCGTTATGTCCTGAGAGGAAAATGAATTTCATTAACAAGTACCCTATTAGCCTTTTACCTTAATAGATATATAATATAGATATATAAAGATATATATTTATTCTGATAAGGATAAAACCACGCTATATATGGCTAGTTTGTAGCAAATGTTATGATGACATAAAGTCGTCAGATCTCCAGAAAAGAATCCAAAAAGTTCGTTTTCTTAAAAACAGCAAAATAAAAGAAATCTCAAAGCTTCAATGGTTAAAAGGTTTTTCAGAAAAAACGGTAAAATTAATAATTATTTAGAAGAAAATAAGTTTGGAGGAATGAAATCAGTTTAATAACTGAAAGAAAAATTGGAGACATATCACCGCATACTGGAGGTACGCTGTTGTCTCTACATAATGGAGTGGATATATGGCGACGAGAGCAGTGTACTTGGGGTGTCAAACACGACAGAATAAAATTTTACTATCTCATTACCACTGTCGAGCTACTACCACACTTACAAACATCTATTTCACCGAGATACCACGAAGATACCCGCCCTTTAACTGTCTGAATCTACAAACAACATCACTTGCACACGCTGTAGTGACTTATAAACCAAAAAGCCATCTGCAGCATGCACCATACAGTAACGACATATGAATGCTTGAATAACATATCTCGTGTGAATGTCCAATATGCTTTTAAATTTAAAAACATTTCTCTTTAAACTGTCTCTTCATTGACTTAAGCTAACAAACATGGAGCCAAGATATCCTGACAACAATTTGATCGATCAGTCATGGCGATTGATATGACAAATAAGTCCTGGTCATAAAGCATCTGGGATATAAAAACAAACGACACATGCTCAAAATAAGAGATTCCGGTTAAAACCAGATTTTTGATTTCAACTTCTCAATACAGGGTCAAAGTTCAGAAAATACTAGCTCTCTTTACAATTGGCTATGTGAAAAACCTTTCTACAATATGAATTTGTTTAAACTAAATATATAATTAGAATCTCAAGCAAAGAAACGAAATAGGAACGGACTTAGTTTACGTTAGAGATATTCGTAAGATTCCAATCTAGATTTATCGTGGATAGAGGATGTCAATCTTGTTTTGAGTCTAGATCATTTCAAATTTTGGCTACACTATAGGCGAAGGACCTTTGTCCCATGGATGTTTTCATTTTGGGTACCAGTAAGTCAGACCCAGTGTTGCGTAGGACGAGAGTATGGAAATATGACAATTTAGAAAAACCAAACGTTGAATATTCTGAGGCTAGATTGTTCAGACATTTATAGGTCAAAGCTAATGCTTTTCGGTGTATAAGATTCCAGACTACAGGCCATCCCGATTTCGAGATGAGATCTAGATGCGGTGAAAACTATCAACAGTGGTGAACGATGAGTCGAAAACAAACAGAGCCCAAAAAGACTATGGAAATTGCCCCATCTAAAAAACTATAAATAAAAAAGACCTGAAATCATGGAGGATTTCAAGGCAGAAAATTGTACTTGTTACAAACAGAAGAGTCAGCCCCCTCACATTCTAAAATCTTAGTAATACTAAAAACAGTTAAAAATGGTCAACCCCCTCATATTTTAAAATGTTAAGCACCTCATATTTCCTGTAGAAAAAGCATTCTTTATTTACAGTCCAAAGGTATAAAATCATCTATAAAATGAAATTAGGACCGCCTTCTTCTACTGCGACACAAGTATTTTTCAAAGAAAGAATGAGCCTGAGAATGATTTTCAAAGAAATAAGCTCTTTTCATCAAGAAGATCCTGATGAGATGCAGCGAGATATAGTGTTTACACGAACTTGCGTTTGAACTTGTGTTGAGTGTTTACGTAAGACTGCCAATTAGTTCTAGCCTTGGAAAGAAGCAAATTGGACATGAAGAGAGCGGAAAGCGGGAATGGAAAACGGAGTATGTACTCGATATTTAGAAATGTTCATCAACATGCTAGGCCAAATGCGAGCGCAAGTGTTCTGTAATGGTTTGGCCTGTACAGTTCAAAAATTAAGAAATATTTTGTATCATGTAGTTCTTTCATTTTCTTGCTCAACTGATTTCCCGAAAAAATCCTTACATTTGCTCAAAACTCCGTCCAAGATTGACAAAAAATCTTCCCAATCTTCCTTCTACTTGATGACCTTCGTCCATTATATTCGCTGTCACCTAACCCAGGAAATTGCTTCTCGAGTTGCCTTGAACACAGAAGCTTTGATTAAGTTATTTGACTTTGTCTAGTTTCAAAGCTTTCCCTGGGTTAGTTTTGAATCTTGTTTTGGTTAGTTTTGAAATTTTCGAAACATTTGCAATTGGCAGGTAGCGACAATAAAGTTCCTAAAGGTGACATCCTGGAAACATATTTTTAGAGTTTTCAATTTTGGACAACATATCCTAAAATAACACCACGAACTACCTCTAAACATACAAAATCAGATCAATGTGTTACGAATTTGGCGAGATTTACTACAGATTAGTGCTGTTTTGGCTTGGTTCGTCGAGTTTAGAGCAAAAACAAAATTACTGTGATTTGATGTGGGTGTGTCTTGTGCTCATGTTGCCATATCACAGCCAGATTTTAACACATTTAACTGGTCATGTGATCCAAGTTCAAGCATTTAAAAACAGCTCTTTGCAATGTCATGACAACTCTACGTGAATTACCAATTATGCGGAGGAGAATTTATTGTTCTCCTTTTATTTCTTTATTTTAAGTTGGTGTTTACAGAAGAGCTACAAAAGCCTCATTAAAACCAGCCAACTAAACTAAAACTTTATAACGCTGTTTGAATTTTCCAAATCAGTTTACGGGCCAAAGTTACAGTTTACGAAGTTTGCAAAACTTTAAAGCTTTCAATTTCTTAGAAAATCTTTCCAAATTTTCTTCTAATTTTAATTCTTTCTTTTGCTTCCAATCGGTAAAATTCTTGAAAAATGATAAATCTATATAATTGGAAGCTCTGGTTGCGTGTTAAATTCCCACGTTCTGTTTCTTGTCTACTTTAAAGTTTCTTGTACCGGTAAATTTTTTCCTGACTTGAATGGAACTTATGGTTCCAGGATATTTTCGGTTTTCTGACGTGTAGTTACTGGCACCAGCAGATGGGTCCTTACAGGCGTCACCATGAGTCTCCTGAGGAACACAGGGCCTTCGACAATGCCCTAAGTGCTGCAAAACCCTGACACGCCATCAGAAACAAAGCTTTTATCAAGGTCTGGGAGAGCAGTGCCTCAGCAATTATCTTGAAATACTGAAGGCAAATAAGGAAGTAACCGCGAAATTAGTGCTTGGCATATGGAAAGATTCCTTCTACAATATAAACGGCGTGTTTCAAATGGTTTGAAAACCGCAATCAAGACTAAACGGCAATCAGCTCTCAAACATTTGCCCCATACTTGACAAGGGAACGTATGTTTTGCATATCTCCAAATGTTATTCCAAGACTCTGATCTGGAAATAGCAGGGGCGTCCGTTTTGGGTGAACTGTGTAGTGTTTCATACTTATTATTATGTTGAATAAATACCTCATGTAATGTATGCACGAGAGAAACAAATGGTGAATGCCTATCCATGACGCACGCATTCTTCAATGTTGTAAACCTATCCACAAGTTACAAACTGCAGTATATATACCAATTTGGGTCATACTTGAGGTATTATTGTTTTTATTTTTCGATTTAGAACCGCTCTTGCATTTGTCCCATTTAAAATTGTGCTCGGATTGGTCTCGTTGCAAAATGCTCATGGAACTGTCTCATTCAGATCAACACTTAGGTTTGCCCAATCCGAGACCGTACTTGGGCTAGTCCCATTTAGAAACCTTGTCTAGGTCCTGGGCGCCGAGAGGGGACAAGGGGGAAAATTTCCCAGAGCCTCGAGGTCTAGGGGCCTAATAATTGAACGAATTCCATTTTAAGAATTGAATTTATTAAACATAACAAACCTATGCCTAAAAATAGTAAAACGTTTTAAACGATTGCAAGAAATGACTGCAAGAACTATTCTGAAATGTGTTTTAAGCTGATCTGAAGGGCGTGGTTGCAAAGTTTTCTGCTCGTTCCGCTCGCAGAGGGGGGCTTGTTCTCGGCATTGCCCAAGGGCCTCCTAAAATTTTGCAGCCCTGTTTGGATCGGTGATATTTGGAAACACACTTCGATTGTTATCATTAAGAATCAAGAGGCTAGGAGGCACGTTTGAAAGCTCTAGATCCAAGCTGGACCGCACTTGGATCACAAGCCATTGGATCTGTGCTTCTGTCAGGGCCTATTGGTCTGATTATGTTTGACTTGGCAAATCTGTAATTCTGTGTTTCTTAATTTGCGAACCAATTGTGCTACACGCACTTTTCAGAATAAAGGAACATACAAGTAAAACTTAATTTTGAATATTAAATACTTAAAATATCAACTTAAACTTTACAAAAAAAATAATAAAAAGTGACAGGCCAGCCAAGAATGGTCGGGGCAAGGAAATGAAGTTCCTAAATATGTGTATTATTTTTCTTTTTGCGTGGTTTTTCCAAATTTTTGGAATTGAGAGTTTTATCGAGTTCTTAAAAAAATAAAAAAATTTCTGCCAATTATGCAGCATGGAAGCAGATTTCCCTTTCTGTTAGAGAAAGCGTTTCCAGCAACTGTATCGTTATGAAGCACTATGAATGGTATAAAATTTGTTGGCAGACAAAAACTCCAGAGTTCATATCTAGAAATAACAGCTGTCCTCTAGCTTCGGTTCATCTTACAGCATTATCATTCTATGATAAATGACAAACATTCCGGGAACGAACAGGTCAGTCCAATACACTCCCATTAAATGAGGCGTTTTATTTGAATTTTATAGTCTTTCAATATGGGCGTTGTGGCCATTCATGCGTGGTCTTTCAATTCAATGGTCAATTTAGATTATATAGGGACACAACAGGAGACAAAATCACTCCTAAAAGAATCGAAACAGCAAGTAATGTAACAATGACGAAAAAGCTTTTGGCCAATATGTTGTAAAATGTTTGCTTTTTTCAAAGCCATTTTCTTATATATTCATTGCATCAAAGAGTCCATTGGTGATAAAAATGCCTAAATCCAAACAGCACTCCAAAACGTTTACTATCTGTTGGATTTGCCCATTTAAATCTTGTCTGGAATTTTCCTAGTGGGTGTGAGAAATGAAAGCAAACACTGCATAGATAAACCATCATGGAAAGAAGACAATACTGTTCATATCTTAACATTACCCATTTATTGGCAATGCTCTTGCAAACCAACTGTCAAAAAAGTGGGAAAGAGGACTTTCCTCTCCTCCACAACCTATGTCAGAAACTCTCCTGATTTTTCTGATAATAAACAGAACTTTTTATTGATATGTATTTGACAAATCTAAAGCCTAGCCTTAAATACAGGAATTAATAGTGATTTCATAGCTGATTCAAAATAGTTTTTAATATCAAAATAATTTACTGCTTTGAAGCAGCCCAACCACTCAATTTAAAACTTTCCTAAAGAAAACTTTGATTCACAAAAATCAAAATGGCACATTTTTTAAAAAGCAAGATGCATAAAGCTTGGGAATAATCTCAAAGATATATACTTCAAGATTGCTTTTTTAATTGGCTATTAAACCATTTCTTAAAAACATACATTTATTATGAAATAAAAAGATCATCAAAGATATAAAAAATTAAGCATTTAAGACATATTAAAAAGAGTAAATGTATGATTAAAACAAACCTTAGCTTTAGGCTCTGCTAGACTTATGGGTGAAGTTATTCCATACTGCTTTTCAGTGCCACTTGTTTCTGATGCAGAAATTCTAGAAATCCAATATTTATCAGAATGAATATCACCATAAAATGCAAAGATATCATACTGCTTAAGTCTTGCCAGCACTAAAAACAATGGTAAACTTCCTGTACATAATTCTTGTTGTTTGTTAGGCAGTTGTATGCCAGGGTGAAAGACAGGTGGGAGATGATATAATGGATTTCAAAGATGCATTATTGATTCTTTGATGTTATTTTCTCTTCCATAGGTAACAAATAGACTTGATTGTTGGAAAACAGTTGCATTTAAGATTTGATAGAAAGTAAATCACCAATTCTTCTTAACTAAAGGTCATTATAGATATCTATGTCACCATTATAACCGTTCTTCTTACCATCCTGTTCATACACATTGTGGGTAGTTATAAATATTTACTATTTAAGTGTATTGATGGAATAGGTATTGATCGAGTGTATTAAAGGTATTGATCGAATACGGATGTTCATTCAAAGAGGACCCTCATTGGAGGATCTAGAGCAAACCTTTGGTAGCCCTAAATTGAAGTTAGCACAAAAAGCAGAAACATAACATTAATCTATGACCACTAAGCTCTCACCTAGTGGGAGAGTTCAATAAAGAAAACAACTGTATCTTTCTACATAGGTCAAGATCTTTAGCCTTGATGTGTTAGACAGATTCCTAAACAACCTAATGAAAATACATATGCTTCAAAAGTTCCCATTTCTAAATGGGGCAGTAGTTTGTCTCATTTAGATACAAGGCATGAGGTATACTTGGGAATATCACAAAATTTTCTGACTGTTTAGAAAATCATTAAATTTAACAATATCCTTGCAAATTCACTTATCTTAAGTTTTCGTGGTTGCTTTTGCAACCAACCATGAGCAACAAACATTTGAGAATCTTTCAAACACTTTGAAATGCAGAATTATAGCTTGATGTCTTGTCATATGAAAAACACGAGTAGGCTACAGAAACTTAGATTTGGTTCTTATAACAATAAATAAACTCTGTGGTGGAATTGCTTTATTTTACTTCACACAGGTGTGAAAAATATTTAGCTCAATCGAGATATATAGCTGAAATGATTTTAAATTTGCGTGCTACTTATATATATTTTAATAAGTCCTGTTTTGCAATTGATATAGCTAGAAGATAACCTAAAGGTTGGTAGTCGGTTGCAAAGAGCATATTCTACAAACATTGGACATTAAGATACCAAACTTCCAAACTTGCAAATTATGCAAGATACAAGAACATCTACTGTTCACTGAAGATCATTTGTGCAGCTCTGGGCATATTTTGTAAGCTATGGATACATATTATATGTATATATCTATTTTTTCCATTTTGAATCATCAAATTACTTACAAGTCGATGGGAGAACTTCTGAACAAATGAAAAGAAAAGTCTATTTTTTAAAAATATATAAATCCTGACAAATACATAGGAAGGTAGCTTTTAGGATACTGAGAAGCTTATGCTTATCGAGCAGTGTCCTGGTCCTTCCTCTCGATGTGACCACACCTCTTGATTCTTATGCCGATTTCTATATCAAAATTTTCACATTCTATTATTGATAATAATTTCGAAAATGGCAATAATTTCAATGCCAAGTCTTCTATTGTAAGGCAAAATAAGTAAAATAGTTCAGCTTTGGGTCATTTTGTTATGCTGTGCCTGCATCTGCCATTGTGCATGAATCTGCCAAACTCTGTAGATTGGCACTTTGGTGTATGAAGCAAGATGGTTTTAAATCACAATTCTGTACTCAATGTGATCCAGCTGTTGATTAACATATTTGTTAAAATGCAGCTTTGTTACACTACAATGCTGTTTTATATGTTTTATATACCGTAAATCCTGGAATTAGCCCCCTGGGGGCTTATTTATTTTTGCTATTTTTGGATGGGGGCTTATTCGAGGGGGGCGGGGCTTAAACAAGGGGGGCTGATAGAATTATTGTGTATTAAGAAGACATTTTTAAAAGACCTCATTGATTTTTGTAGGAATTTCTTTATGAGCATTTAATTAATTACTACCAAAAGTATGAATTTGTTGTAGTAATTCAATTAAACGCCATAGGTAACCTCAGATGGCGAAAATCATCAAATTGAGGGGTCCAATTTGAGAATTTACGGTAGCAGTGGGGGCTTATTCGAGGGGGGGCTTAATGACAATTTGTAGTTCTAGGGTGGCGCTTATTCGAGGGGGGACTTTTTCGAGGGGGGGCCAATTCGAGGATTTACAGTATGCGATACTTGATAGAGCTTTAATAATTTGTCTATAGAAATAATGTGATATAGACAAATGTCTATATAGCTTAATTTCTCCCTGACTGGCCTTCAAAAATGAAATTCCTCATAACTTCATGAAGACAGCCATAGTTAATGGATTATGCTTAACAAAAATATCCTTCGCATTTCCACAATAATTTTATTTGTTATGTCTAAGTAATACCAACATAGCACTTAAATTTTACCTCCATACAATTAATTTCTTTTACTGCCGAAATGCTTTCTTTTACTGCAGTTTTCATGACTACATGACCACGTGTGTAATCTAACCATTATAGTAAGTTCCTTCTTACCTAATTATTAAGTACAGTTTTGGAAAAGAGAAATTTACAGACCGCAAACTTGAGATATTAAATGTTTTAATCCAGTAACTAGCTTTTGAAAATATCTGGAGGCTATTATTGCTGTTCATTGGACATTATATTTTCTTTTATTTGGCCTAGTTACACACGGTAGAAACAACTTTAAAAGCAAGCTTTTTTAAAACAATAACGAGGCTCAAGACAACAACCTTTCTGACAAAATGTCCTTTCGTATTTTAAAAAAACTTACCCAGACATCTTGCAGCCTCACGTTGTGAAAACCGTTGATATCCACTCAGCAAAATTATCGCTCAGGTATTCTGCATTCCGTTGCAGTCATGGGCCTAATTCAAAACACAAAATGACAACATTCCCGCGCCTGTATGCAGCTTGTAGACTACAAACCCAGTCAGTATCACAATAAAAATGAACTAAACTTTTCCTTGTATTGAAATTGTACCAATTTTATTCTTCCAAAGTATGTTTAAAAATAAAATTTCTTCTGTGAATCACTGCTACCTAGCGTGGCTGGACAGTTGATCCAGTACAAAATGCCGCACGTTACTCCTGCGCATGTGCATTAAGGGGGTTCCTGATAAAGACATTTGGCATGGTCCATGAATGGAAAAATCCTCTTCTCGGCCTTGCTTCCAAAAACCCACTATTTGGAAGGGGGCAAGGCCTTCCTACTTTTTCGTAGATAAATTGCTATTTATAGATAGTAAATCTGTTTTACGCTATGAGCCATAGAATTTGGAGTTCACAATCACGAGGCATTGTAGCATCGACCTCCTGATGCTCTCACTTGCAACAGATGGTTCCCTCTCGCATCTACCCACTTGGATTTTCAATACCCTACCCCTAAATCCAGCCACCTCCCCCTTCTAATATAATTATTAAAGCTCCAAGGCAAATCTAGTAAGCAGAAAAGAGAGAGTTTTCTTTAGTCCCCGTCCCCGACACCAGGATTCTATTTAGATTTAAATCACCCGGATTTGCTAATACAACTATGAATTTTGAAAAATTGGAAAACTAAGACTGACATAAAAAAATTAGATCAACGAAAATATAAAAAATAAACGATTTAGCATATAGATGTACAGGCAGACGGCTTGGTGCTTAGGCTTGCTTGAAAAAAAATTGAACGACGAAGTAGAGTTCATGATATACGTCCTAATTAATGGTTTTTATCACTGGTTCCTCCAGATTTACCTGGATAATCGCAAATAATTTCACACTGAAAAATTTCCAGGCAATCAGATTTTTAGTCGAAAGGAATACTATCCTGCAGAAGTATGCTTCTCTGAAAAAAGGATAACATTTCAATGTAGAAGGAAGGTTTTAAGTTGCACCGTACTATGAGTTCATGCAACTGTTTTCTGCAATCATTAGGCAACTGTAGTCAGTTTCAGTACTTATCTTAGTGCCAATGAACTCTAGTTTTTATAGTTTTACACTTGATTACCGTGCATGTTATTTTGTCTTACCTTTAAGAATAAATTGAGACTATGTTTCACAGGAGCGTTGCTAGAAACTTTTTACTTGCTAGAAACTTGCCGAGTAGGCGATTTTTCAATTATGATATACTCTTTCAGCCAACGAGAACCTAACTCAATATTACAGCATTGGGCACGCAAATGGCGAGAATGATTACCAGAAAAACTATTAAAACCTTCAAATAGGGTTTCGCCTGTAGAGATTAATTCTTAGAGTAAGCTTGTATTGTAAGGTGGTAAAAATTGCTCTAAAGAGCGCATTTTCAGCGAAATAGAAGCATCAAAATTCGAAAAAATTCCTACCTTCGGCAGCAACCTGATGTAGTAACTATAATGTGATTGTATTTTGCTCGTGTTGCAATAATCAGCAAGCAAGCAAACATTTATCCTATCTCTATGCATATTACCTACCTAAGTAAAAATGGTTCCTATTCTGTTTAATGATTGCACAAGGAAAGTTTTGTTATATCAAAGGAGTTTTTTGAATGAGAGATGCAAAACCATATTTTACCGACAGAAATTATTTTGTTACATTTGGCATAAAATCATTTTGTTAAAAATGTAAATCTACCGAGTAGTTCTCTGAAAGTTAGGGGGTGTGACACCCCCACAACCCCCACATGCTATGTCCCTGAGGAAAAGGGTACGCTTCCTTTCTTCCTTGCAATTCCTTCCCCCCATTCTTCATCCTTTGACTCTCTGAGGCTCTGGTATCCAGGGCGTATCAGGGTATGCAAGCTCATCTCTATGGATGTGTCTTTATTTTATTTACTTGCCAAATCCCCTACTTTGGACTAGATTCTACCACCGGTCAGCTTGACCAGATGTAGTCAAAACAGCTACCTTTACATGACCCCTGTCAGCAGAGCTTATATTTAGCTGGATTTGGGCTTATCTTATCTTATAGCTGGAATTCGAAATATGGAGCTGGATATGAAATTATCTGGAATGGGAAAATTTTTCAAACAAAACCATAAGAAATGGCTTGACTTTTTATTTTGTTTCTTATCACATTGCGTTTGTATTGAATTAGAACAGTTTGACTGAACTGATGCTGGAAAGGTTTTTTTTTGTAAAGGTGTACAACAGAATTTCAACCAGCGCTCAGAGCCACCGAAAGGGGGGGCAGAGGGGGCAACTTCCATCAGGGCCACGATGTCTAGAGGGCAGGGGCGTAACTTGGCCAATAGTTTTGGGGGGGTGAAAAGGGTTTCTGCCCTGCAAAACTGAGTGGTGCCCTGCAGACCTCGTAGCAACGGTTTATCTATAGGTTACTAGTGAAAGCTTTACCAGTGTACACTGGTCTTTACCAAGGACAAACTTCTAAGCAATAAAAACAAACTTGAAACTTCATTGCCTATGAAATTTCTATTTCTCTACGTGAGCGTAAATTGTTTTTTTATATTCACTTCATTTAATGTTGGTTTGCAAAATTAGGCTAATAAACAGCTAATTGGGGGGGGGCACATGATGTAGACAGCGCAACGAAATTTAATTCAGTGGGGCTAAGAGTCGAGTTTAGTGAGGTAGGAGGACCCACCATGGTTGGGTCCGACGTGAAGAAATTTTTTGAAATTATACCTTGTAAAAAGGGCTAAAAAGCATCTTTCAGAAAAAAATTTAGCAAAATACTATTGTGCTAAAAGAACTGATTGTTTATTGAAAATATTATTGTTTATTGGGAAAAATAGGGAGGGGGATGTCATGCTAAAACTCTATTGTTAGACGTTTGGGAAGGAAAGAAACGACAACCTTTCGTTTCAGATTGCACGTAGTTGTGAATGACAGAGGAAGATGTTGTTTTGATTGGGAGAATTTTTTTTCCTGGACAGAAATGTGCAGTTTCTTGTATCAAGAAGGCCATGTTCACACATCCAAAATTAAAACATTGCAATGATACAGAAAATGATTTACTGAATTAATGCAAATAAAAGAAAAATAATAAAAATATACGTGAAAAAGTTAGCAATTAGATGAAACAAAATCGGTATCTTAACGATTTATTATGTTTTTTAGTTCATGCACTGTTAAAAAGTAATAGAAAAAGTGATAGAAAAATTCCTATCTTGACCAAAGTGAGGGACTTCAGCCCCTTATTCCCCCCCCCAGTGACGCCGTGCTTGTCATGAAAATAATTTACAACATTAATTTGCATGACTCAACCTTGCCCTCATAAACATATGCATCAACCATTGCATCCATTGGCTATGACTTTCGGTAAGAAATGCTTTCGCTTTGCAAATAACGGAGCTTTTCCTTACATACCTGTTCCGTTCTCTAAAATGCAATGTCAGGAAGGGAGGTTCATAACAAATACGATATTTCCATTTCAAAATTCCTAAACGGCTCTTTATGAACTTCAGAGGTGGCATTTCTGCGTGGCAATAAAGCTCTTCTTGGCGCCCTGCGAAATCTTCGATTGCCCTGCGAAATTGACTATTTTTTGGATTGGGGGGGGTGTCACACCCCCCCACACCCCCCGGTAGTTTCGCCCCTGCTAGAGGGCTTCGTATAGTAAAGAATGAAATTTACCAAACGTTAAAATATGCCATTAAAATAGAAAAACGTGTTAAACAATTACAAGAAAATCACTGCAAGAAACCAATGACTGCTTATTAAATGCCAATTGGTCCGCTCTAAATTAGGCCATATTACAAAGCCGCCAGTAATACAAAGCCGCTTCTCAAAGTTTTGCGCGCCCTTAACTTTAGCAAGGCATCATACTAGAGACACAGTTACGTCTAAGGTACGACATTCACTGATTACCTTCCAATTTGGTCTGGAATTTTCATTTTTTTTTCTTTTTTCTAATTTTGCAACCGTGAACTTGAGCAGGATCGAGTGGTTTGCCAACCAAAAACGGACATAACGAATCAAAGCCCCGAAATGTTCGTCATGGGCTTCTGGCTGATGAGTTGCTTCTTTCTCCTGCCGTTTTCAAGCTAATTGCTCAAAACATACAAGGGACACACACAACCATCCCCCCTTTTAATCTGAGTTTGAGGCTGTTACCTCCTTTTTTCTCATTTTTTCCATTTTTGGATTTTACACTTTCTTCCCCACATTGGTTTTTTGTTTTTACCTTCCATGGCTATCAAAACATTTAAAGGATGTGGTTGCAAAAAATGTCTGCTCCCTACAGTCACAGGAGCCTTCACTTCAGTTTTCATAGCAGCCTCCGATACCTCTTGGCGGCCCAGCCAACACCTGTAACAGGTTGATCTACTACAATAAAAATATTGTAATAGCGTATCGGTTTGCATTTGTTCTGATGGAAACCTGATTTAAATGGTAAATAGTGCAAAGAAATATCATGGTGATATGTGGAGCTGGAAATTTTTCTTAGAATAAGCTCCGCTGGTAAACTTTACCTATTAGTACCACATTAGCCCGTACCTATAATTAAGGCCATCACTACGGCAGGGTGGGGCACCCCTTGAATAAAATTCTGTCACAAAAACGAGGAACTTTAAGAAATGAACCTTAAAGGCGTTTAGTATGGATTTAAAATGCATAAGACTTCTTTGTTTACTTGAAATTTATATTCGTAATCGTAAAGTATTGTCAAATTTTCCAGATACAGATATGGTTTGAGAGTACCATGTAATTTAGAGTCATACTTTAAATAGACACTTTGTGTCTACCAGCTGGATCCATTTTGCTTACAAATGCACAATGCACTGGCAAATGCACCTTGCCCTCTTCCCGGAGTGCCTGATTCGTTGAGCCTTTCCCTTCCATTGCTGTTATCTTCTAAAAAAATTATAGCTATGTTAGTTTTTTTAATGTGACAAAATGTTTTCATTTTCATTGTAATTCATTTAAGGAGGGTTGCCCTTCAGCAGGAGCTGACTTACAAGGGGCCCTCCGCCCCTTGCTCCTTACAAGCATTTGCTTTCTCAATGTAACAACAGCAACAAGTTATACGCACTGATAAAAGCAAACATAGCAAGGGACAAAGAAAGTTACGGGTCAACCAAGGTGGAACAGAAACAGTTGAACAAATAAACAGCTTTTGCATTAGTTTTGGCACCAAAACTAATAGATTTTTCAGTATGTTTCCACGGCCTAC